TTCAGCATTTCGTTAGAGCCGAGATGCTTCCCAGTGGGTACTTGATACGACCCTGTGAAGGTGGCGGTTCAATCATACACATTGTGGATCATATGGATTTGGAGGTCAATAATCACCACTTTCTGTTGATTTTATGTATCGAAATTTACTGCTTCCAATGTTCTTCACTAAACATTTTACTGTCTTCTTTTCTTTTTGGATAGGCTAGTAGTGTCCCTGAGGTCTTGCGCCCACTTTACGAGTCACCAAAAGTTCTTGCCCAGAAGACGACAATGGCGGTAAGTGAACTAATTCCGGAAATATTCAAAGCTTTTACGTTTTACATTCAAGTTTCATGGGTTATTATTATTCTTTTTTATGACCATCACTTTTTTTTTGGTGGGTGTCAAGTCTCTGCGTCAGCTCAAACAGATTGCTCAGGAGGTTTCTCAGACTAGTGTTAGCAATGGCTGGAGCAGGCGTCCTGCTGCTCTACGAGCTCTTAGTCAGAGGCTAAGCAGGTTTGATATTCATCACTAATTTCCATTCTCTTTGGTAATGTATTCGGTATCTCAATTCATGGTTTCTTTATAGGGGCTTCAATGAAGCTGTTAATGGGTTCACCGATGAAGGGTGGTCAGTGATAGGCGATGGCATGGATGATGTGACAATCCTTGTGAACTCTTCACCCGACAAGCTCATGGATTTGAATCTTACCTTTGCCAACAACGGGTTTCCACATGTTAGCAATGCAGTTCTATGTGCAAAAGCTTCAATGCTTTTACAGGTAAGGGTTTATCTCTTCTATCATAACTGGCCAAGGCCCTAATTTATTCGGTTTTCTGTCATTCTAGAACGTTTCTCCGGCAATCTTGCTTCGTTTTCTGAGGGAGCATAGGTCAGAATGGGCTGACAACAGCATTGATGCGTATTCTGCAGCGTCGATTAAATTGGGTCCCTGCAGTTTACCGGGTGCTTGGGTTGGAGGATGTGGAGGACAGGTTATTCTCCCTCTTGCTCATACCATCGAGCATGAAGAGGTCAGTCAACTTTCTTCTGTAACTTTCGGTTATTTGTTTCTTTCCAGTCTCGGTTGAGAATTCGTTCTCTTTTTGAAATCTTGGAGTTGTTTTCATGATTAGTTCTTGGAAGTCATCAAGTTGGAAGGTCTTGGTCATTCACCCGAAGATGCAATCGTTCCCCGGGATATCTTCCTTCTGCAAGTACATAGATTGTCTCCTCTCGGTGGACCCTAGAGGCATCTTCCATTTGTTAACTTGCATTTTGATACTTTTTCTCATGACAGCTTTGTAGCGGAATAGATGAGAGTGCTGTCGGGACCTGTGGTGAACTCATCTTTGCTCCGATCGATGCTTCTTTTGCCGATGATGCCCCTCTGCTTCCTTCCGGTTTTCGCATAATCCCTCTTGATCTGGGAAAGGTTTGGAATTTCAATGCCCATCTTAGTGTTTTTCCCCTTATTTCGAGCATTTCATCGATTTCCTGAACCGGGTACGTGCACTATGAACAACTCTGAAGCAGGAAGTGCCTAGTCCAAATCGAACCCTCGACCTTGCATCAGCATTGGAAGTTGGGTCGGCTGGAACAAAAGCATCCACTGACGGGTCGGGAAACTCCAGCTGTACGAGGTCTGTGATGACGATAGCATTTGAGTTTGCTTTCGAGAGCCACATGCAGGATCATGTGGTATCCATGGCCAGACAATATGTCCGAAGCATCATATCGACGGTTCAAAGAGTGGCCTTAGCTCTCTCCCCTTCTCACATGAGTTCGCAAGCTGGCCTGCTCACCTCACTGGGTACACCCGAAGCTCAGACGCTTGCTCGTTGGATTTGCCATAGTTACAGGTCTATATCGTCATTTATCTTTTGATCTTTTCTCTCGCTTTCTCTCTGCCGTTTTGCCTCTAGCCTGGATGGAGATGATAGGAATGTAATTACCCGATTTCGAGAAGATGATACGTTTTGAGTTACAGGTGCTTCATGGGTGTTGAGTTACTGAAATCAAGCGATGGAAATGAATCCATTCTCAAGAACCTGTGGAATCATTCAGATGCTATAATGTGCTGCTCGCTTAAGGTACAAGAATGCGATTATAGCGTTATTTGATGGAACGGGTCGTCGGTGTTTTGTTGTTTTCTCCTCTTTTCTTGTTTTGCCCATTTCTCAAGCTGCGTATTCAGAAACATATGCTTGAACCTTTCTTGAAAATTTCTCCGTGATATAGGCTTTGCCCGTCTTCACGTTTGCCAACCAAGCTGGTCTCGACATGCTAGAGACTACATTGGTTGCCCTTCAAGACATCTCTCTGGAGAAGATATTCGATGACAACGGCCGGAAGACTCTCTGCTCGGAGTTCCCCCAGATCATGCAACAGGTTTCTGCGTTCTTACACAAACCCGATTCATTTCACCTCTTCTGTAATGATGTCGTGAACGTTATCTGTTTCGCGGGTACAGGGATTTGCGTGCCTTCGGGGCGGGATATGCCTCTCGAGCATGGGGAGACCGGTCTCATACGATAAGGCGGTGGCTTGGAAGGTACTTAACGAGGAAGAAAATGCTCATTGCATCTGCTTTGTGTTCATCAACTGGTCTTTTGTGTGAACTCTTTTGGTTCTGTAACCACCCTGTCCTGTCTCGAAATCTGCCTGTTGCTATATCTTCTGGATGACGACTGCTTTGTTGCTTTGGGCTTGTTCTTGTCGAACTCAAATGTTTCAGTCTGGTGGAAAACCTGAGAACAGTATGTGGATTGAAATCCTGCGTGTGGATTGACTCGGTTCTTGTTTCAGAACTTAACTCGGTTGTGACTCAGTCCAGACATCTATCTATCCATAAATGCTTTGTCCAGGTAATGGATGATTATTACTTATTAGTTGTCTTAAAATGAATTTACATAAACATAGTTTTGTGAACTAATTGATATGAAAATTGATTTAAATAATTTTAGGGAAAAAAACTCCAACTTGATGTATCCTTTTTAGTCGAAAATTAGTTTTCTATTCAATCATTTGATGTTTTTCAAAATAAATTATAATTTAAATATGTTCAAGACAATTTTGTCTCTGAAACTTTATAAGAACGCCGATAACTTTTGCCCGAAGGCATTTTTTTGTTTTTTCTACGAAAGACTTTATTTAATTAATTTTTATATAAATTTAATTTTTGACTATTTTCACTAATTTATCTAATTCATAAACTCACTTATTATTTCTAATTCACTTATCATCATTTGTTAATCTCTGATAACTTTAGTTTGTGTTGATGTAGCATACAAAATCTAAATTTATGTGTTTTTAGAATTAAAATTTATTTGATAATTCAAGTAGATTTAAATACTATTTGATGAAGAAGTATTTGATATAGTTATTAAAATGAAAATTTTAAAGTTCTTGTTCATCAATTTTTAAAAATACTGAGAATAAAAATTTTTAGTTCTTTTACAAAAGAGGCAGTTCAAAAGCGTATGTACCATCATATAGTAGAACGCCTAGTCATATATATACCCCACTAATAATTTATTTCATATGAATAACAATTATTTTATACGTAAAGCAAAACCTAATGTCCATAAATAGATGGACTCTCAAATCATACGTAGTGCAATCTAAAGTACACACACAAAAGTTGATATGTAAGTTGTTTTTTCTCACTTCCACAAAAAAAATATTTTGTTTCTTTTCATTTTTTTTTATATATTATTGATTTTGCTTTCTTTAATAAAATGTGAAGGCGGCCTTAAAGAATTATTTTTTTCAACCAAGAGATATTTTGAATTCTAAATCTCATATCTTTTAAGGTATTAAATAAAAAAAGAATTTAATCTATAATATTAGGTAATGAAATAGTTGTTTTTTACGTAACAAGTTGGAGTTAAATCTCATATTTGAGAGCTATAATATTAATTTCTTAATATCTAAGAAAAGGTTATCGGACCAATGATATTTTCGATTATATTCTATCGAACAGGTTATTTTAAAATATTTACACAAGAATGGTAATAATAATATTATCCTTTGTTATAGTTAACAAATTCGAAGCCCGAAATATAAAGGCATTATTATATATGCGATTTCTTAATAACCCTTAAGAATGTCCCTTTTTAAATAACTCCATAGATGTAACAAATACCAATATCAAACCATTAGTGATAGTACTTGGAAAAAATTCCATATTTTGGTTACACAATTCCAAAAATTGAATATTTATTCACCGATAAATTCAAGTCCGATGACTACAACGATATGATCTTCAAATTTGGATTGATACCTTGAATTCGGGTATGAGATGACGAGAACTTGTCACTAAATTCGTCTAAAATTTAGAATATAATGTATTTAGATTCAAAATCGGATAAAATGCACGTGCTAAATTTGAGTTTGATGCCCTGATTTTGTTGTGGTATGGTAATGACTCCTCTAATCTCTTTGATTTAAATAGTTTTGCATTATAAATGTCTAGAGGATTAGAAAGGTTTGCGGTTAAACGTTATTTGCCGTATCAGTCAGGTCTTAATCACACATATAACGAGATGGTTACGTTAGTCTCGTTGGTCCAAATTGTACATGTTATGATTTGATAATCGTATTTATTTATCCATAAAATGTACTTGTTAGACTCGTTCTTTAACACTGTTCGACAACAAACCACACACATCAAGACACGATATCGGCTAAGTACATTGTCTAGATTCGAATCCTCATCAATATATTATTTTAATAATTAACATAAAATTGTGTAACGTTGCACGTTTTCAGTCCATCTTTTTTTAATAATATTTAATTTTCCTCTCTCTCTCTCCCCCCCCTTTATATACCACCCCACAATCACACTTCTCGTATCCTTAACCCATAAGAAATCAAAGCAAGAAACACAAAAATCTCTCTCTCTCTCTCCCTCTCTCTCTCTCTCTCTCTCTTAAGATGGGTAAGGACCAAACAGTAAGCAAGAAGGTCTGGAACATAATACGTTTTGTCCTCTTCATGTTACACAAAGGAGTGTCAAAGCACAAGCTGGTCGTCGACCTAAACGTGATGCTCAAACGCGGCAAGAACCTCATGTTCCACAGCCGCCGCCGCGCCGCGAACGCTAACGCGGCTTCTGCGTTCCGGCCGATGCAGCCGCACGAGTACGAGTTCAGCTGCAGCAACACGCCAAACTTCACATTCCCTTTCCACATCGCTTCCAAGTCCAAGAGATCAAGCCTCTTCGCGTGTGCTCACGCGCCCGAAACGCTCGAAGACGGGGCCGCCGCCGCGAGAGCGGTGTTCGAGCTGCTCAACGGCGGTAACAACGGTAACGTAAACGCCAACGCGGCGGTAGAGGCGTTGACGGCGTTGTCACCGTACTTGCCGGGATTCGGACGGACTCCGTTAGTGAGGCCGTTAAGGGTGACGGACTCGCCGTTTCCGTTACGGGAAGAGGCTGACATGGAAAACGGACACGTGGACAAAGCAGCTGAGGAGTTCATACAGAAGTTCTACAAGAACTTGAAGCTACAGAAGAAGATGATCGAGTTCAACTAAGTCCTCGATGTTTTTTAACTCTTAGTGTTCCATCCTCAAAAAAAAAAAAAGGAAAAAAAAGTGGCGTTTTCTATATGTTTTCCCCTAAATATTCTACTTTTTTTTTTTCTCATTAAATTCTCAAGGTGTAATGATATTTTTTGGGTGTTATATTTTATCATTTCTTGATAGAGTTGGATTATCATGAATAAAAAATAACAATCAGAAGGTGTAATAGTTTATATTGTAGAAAAACTATAGACATATACATCTTCCATTAGAAAAAGATATGTCCCCTGTTTTTGAGTAAATATTTTTTTAATGTAAAAAGAGGTTCATTTCAATGATTTTAAAGCGTTTCATTTCATGGATATTTTTTTTATTTATTCTATCTAAGATTTTTGTGAAAATAATAATATTATTTGAGATTCATTGTTTGGTTTTTATGTATTTATATGTATATAATATATCTACATATCCAGATGTTTAAGTATTTGTTTCTGTTGTTTTCTTTCTCTACACGCATGCGCACACGTATATTGAATATTTATTTTACGTTATAGGATGCATCCAAAGGCTATATACTTTTTTTTTTTGTCAAAGCAAAGGCTATATACTTGTCCATGGACAATAAGTTTTCTGCATGCCCACGAGAAAGCTATACGCCAAATACCAAATGGATACTGTCGATCCTCGTATATTCTTATATATACGTCCTTCTTCTAAATATTTTTTTTCTGTAAATAATTTTATTTAATAATAAAAAACAGACGTTTTTATATATAAAAATGAATAGAATAATACGTATTATATCTAAATTATATATATTTATTTTAAAGATACTTGAATATGATATTTTATCAAAACAGAATTGAAAGAAAATATTTTTAAAATATTTTTTTAAAGAAAATTGATTTTTAGTAGAACTGAAATAAAACCCTAATCAAATGAAAATCGATATAAAATGACTTTAACATATTTGAATTAAAATCTAACTGGAACCTATAATATTGAACCTAAAATGGATGTAAAATTACATCTTCATATTGTTTATCACATTGAGGGGAAATAGACAAGGAAACTCCATAATTAAGGGTTTAACTTTGCAAGCCCGTGGTGTCTTTTTATAAAGCAAAAGAAAAAAGTATTTTTTTTTCCTTTTTCAACTTTTTTCTTTAATTTGCTTTTTCACTCCTCTGTCTTTATAAAATTATTGTCCATATTTCAAATGGAAATATGAAATGTTTCTTTGTGATTCACAAGTTTGAATTCATAGTCGTATCAAAACCCTAAATTAACAACTCTACCACTATCTATAAAAAGCTTTTGGTGGGTCAATATAAAAAAACTTTTTATAAAACCATTTATTTTAACTATTAATTTATAAAGTAAGAATGCAAGAGCAAGCTCCCAAATATTCTTTCCTTAGTTGGTATGTAAATTAAACTTATAAACACTACTAATGTTATATATATGATGATACTATAAGTTTGGAGTTTTTTTGCTAATTGTTTGTTTAATCTACACTATGTTCTAGACATATACACACATAAATACATGTTTTTTTGTAATCAAAACTTCTACTAAAAGCTTAAGAAATGAAAACATTTTAAAAAATTATCATAATGCTTTCTATTGTTACGAAATAACATACACACATAATATATAATATTATATACACACACTATATTTTTTATTAATTAAATTTTAATTTTTTAGAGAAACTATTTTTTTTTTATAAAATGTGTTGAGACAGAATCCATACTTATCATTATCTCTCTCTCTATATCTATCTATCTATCTATATATCTATCTATCTATCTCTCTCTCTCTCTATATATATGTATATATATTCAAACTTGATTAAATGAAAACTGTTTATTCAAGGTTCCTGATCAAAGCCGAAATTATGTGGATGGTCTGCACAAACTTTAGCGTTAAGAGTACCCTTTTAGCTGTCATTATATCATACCTTAATTAAAAATTATTTCGTATGATTTTCTGTCCTGAATATTGGATAAGGTTGCCCTTCTCGTTATTATTGATGTTACTATATTAAATTTGATTCACTTTGATTCGGTTTCGATTTTATTGAAAAATACATTTTCTTAATAAGTTTTTTTTTTATTTTTTCAGATTTTGCAATATTCGGTTCGATTAGGTTTCTGGATATTCGCTTTTTAGAAATATTACTGAAACATTCGGTTTAGTAGCAATAATTATTGTTTTTATTCAGTACGGTTCGGTTCTACGGAACTTAACCGAAACGTTCACCCTATTTTCCAATTATCATTGGACTATAACACTCGATTTACTCTGTGGGCCGAGAACCCTCGCAACTCTTGTCAATGCTCTCGCCATCCATGGGTACGATTCGAATCTTGCGAACGGGTACCCCAATTTCAGGGTTTTTTTTTTCTTTCCAACCCTAAACCTTGTTACACGTGTTCTTCGTCATTCCTTTTCCATTATTAGGGTTTCTCGTCTTCTTCATATTCCTCAATCGATTAGGGTTCTTTTTCCTTGTTTCTCGTCGTCGAACCCTCGCGATTGCCTTTATGTTTTTTCTTTTAATATTGCTGTTGCTTATGTGAGTCTAGGGTTTTTCTTCCACTTTTTGAAGGGTTTTCACGACTATATAATCCGAGTCGATTTAAATAAAAGGATCCGATTCGGATCCAATCAAGTTTAAAATAAGGTTATTCATTATGGTCTCTCAGCCAAGCGGGCTCATTTTATAAACTTAAATTGCATTTACTTTCTGAGTTATTTTATTTTCAGTTAGTCGGCCAATAAGTTTTCCATTTTTATTTGAGTAATTTAAAATAATTCCTTAAAATATAAGGAGGATGTTAAATACTATTTTCTTTATAAATTTGGTTTTGGTAAAAAAAAAAATATTTGGTTATAGAACAAAATTTACAACGTGAATAAAAATTAATTTTGTTAATATAGACAATAGGCATATATAGTTCATACGATTTTGTCATCGGATACTATTTTTAGATTTGGGAAAAAAATCTTACAATCGGGAAAAACAAAAGTTTGAAAATTTTGATATGTTATAACGTTAAAGTCTATCAATATTAAAATTATTAATTCATAAATATGAGGGAAAACAGATCCAATTATAAAACGAAAGATTTGGTCCTTGTGGACAGGTTAATCCATTATCCAATAATTCAAGAGAAATAAGTGAAATCAGTAGACTAACAACATTACATATAAAAAAATCTATACATTGAATCAATATGTAATAATAGCATAAATGAAAGCCCCATTTTATGCATAACATTTTTATAATGCACACCCACATAACATTTTTTTCATAATTATAGATTATTATATATCGAAGCAAAATAACTTGTAATTATACGAATATCCTAACGACCACAAAAAATCATCCAATAAAACTGTATCCCAACACAAGTTTGTAACCTAAGATAACCCATATAGTATAATTTATTAGTAGAATATTGTATATCTTTAGAGGAACATTAGTTTTTTTATTTAATTTCTTTAAAAGTTAAAGATATTTATAAAATATATTTTTCGGACACTTTTGCGAAAGACAATATATTTATAAAAAAAATTCTAAAAAATATATATTTTATTTTATTACAAATTTTAATAAATGTAATCTAAAAAATATTTTCTTTAGATTACAATAATTAATAAAACGCTAGTAGTATATTTTCTTTCCAAGGTAAAAATGATTTTGACTAAAGCAAATACATGAATTATCAAATTAAAGAAAACGTTGAATCTGGCCAAAAGTTTAGATATCGAACAGAAACAAAGTAATAGAAGATGTACGGACGGACTTGCACTTGATGCATGATGATGCCTAACTATTTTGGTAATTGAAAATATAATCTAAAGTCTAGAGGTTAGGTGGTCCGACCAAATATCATATTGTTAGAAATTAGAAGAGGTTCTATTTAATGAATATATTATAATACAAATAATAATAATAAAATAAAGATTTCTCGCTCATGCGTCCACGTGAAAGTGGTTCACTGATCCTCCAAATCCAAATAATAGGTTTTATGGAATGCATGCAATAATAACTTTTTTTTGTCCTTTATTGGATTTGGTGACTTCTGATTGGCTAGATGTATATGTGAACAGATATGGAGTAACGTGTGTATATATATATTATGTATCATTTTCTTACGGACAATTATAAACTTGCAATATATGGACGGTGCGAATTGATTCCGGTTTTACAACAAACCAGACCACACTACCAAATTTAAATTACCAATTAACAAAACGCCATCCGAGAATAAACGGGCTTCGTCTTTGTCCATTTTGCCCTTGAAAGCCTCCATTTCGTCGAGAGTTTCTCAAACCCTTTGAATGCTTCAGAGGCTTTTCCACGGTCAAGTCCGCAGATCAGTGCAGCAGACTTAGTATCACGTTAGTTTTGAACCCTGGAATTTATAATTATATATTTAAATATCGTCACTAAGTAATTTTCACGTGAAATTATCATTTATTAATATAATTATTGTTACGCGCCCCGAACTATTTCTAAGTTGTAATTTTACAGTGACTCAACCTTATTTTGTGTATGTTTTCTTGTATAATGTTAGATTCGTATTATTTTTTATACAAATGGGTTGAAAATAACTGACTCTAACGTCGCATATTATATTATATAAACAAATGGATTCGCATTAGATATTCGAATTCCGGTTTCACTCCATTTTATAAAATATTATAAAAATTCTCAAAGAAATTTTTAGAGTTGTTGTACAAGTTATGGACGATGGAATTCCATATAAATTGAAAAGAAGCATGGTCAATATATCAGTTCGATTCTTTACCTGTTCACCTGTCGTCTGTGAATTATACGACTGATTTACTTTCCATTTACATTGCAAACTCGTGCATGTGGGTATGCGATTTACCCAATCAGACATCCGAAAGTTAGCGGTTGGAGTTTCTACCATTATTAAAAAAAAAAAGTTACGGACTAATGAGCACCACCTAAAAATCGGTGCGTCAATATGACGATTTTGTAACATCATCGACTCTAACAATAACAAAGTATTTGTGTAATAATTAAATAAAGTGAAAGAGAGAAATAATGTAAATATTTGGACCGTGGACGGTGGACCCAGCAGAGATTATATATGTCAAACTATTTTGACCTTTGTAGACGCATTTTTCAACACCATACACGTTGTTTAGATTGGGTGGGTGAGTGGAAGAATCCAAGTATCGAACAACTCTTTCATATATATATATATTTATATTATTCCATTCATACATATATGTGGTCGGTAAATGACAATAATGACTATTGTATTTCTCCCCCCCAAAATAATGATTATATTATATATTATGATTCATTTTAATAACATGTACTTAGCACTAATTAAATGAGCATAAAAGAAGAATTACAATTTAATAGGATTTAGCCAAATAATGTGACAGCTTTTATATCGTAAAATGACGTCGATTATGGAATTACTAGTTTAAATATTAGGAAGAAATCAATAAGTGATATTTATATGTCACAAATTCCGATTTCAGTGCTTTTTTTTAAATATTTATTAGTGGTGATCTTTTGGTTTCTTTATAAAGAACCGGATCCCACTCAACAACCGAGTTCATGAAATTAATCAAATTTTAAAAAATAAACATTTATTAAACAAAATTAATGGCATTGAATATGAAAAAAAAATGAACAGAATCTAAAACCAGTTTTAAGTAAACAAGACTGAAATCGGTATAAATAACAAATTTGGCGTATTCACTTTAAAATTGAAAAAAACTTAACCCAACGATAATCGAATCGAAATTCGAAAAATGCGTCCTAACAGGCATGTTATGAAAAGTGGCTATATAAAAAAAATTATCCATCGTTAAAAAAATCAACAAAAATCGGTTTCGGGATTTTCTGTTGGTGGTTTTTTTTTACACGTGAGTTATTTTTTGTTTCATAAAAAAAAATAATGCTTTTGTATATTTTACAGTGATAAAAATATAAGAATTTTATAGAAAAATACAAAATCATTATATATTTTCTCACTTGAAAGATTAGATGGCTATTCCAGATATAAGTAGCGAGAAATTCGTTTTTAGTGAATACGTATATATCTATACACACACACGGGTGAAGAAAAATGGGAAAAACAAAACGTGTAATTACAAGGTAAAATAAAAATTAATAAAAAAACAAAAAAAAAATATTTGACGGGAAAAGACTCTGAACTTTATTTTTTTGGCAAAAGAAGAATTCTGAACTTACGCTGTTTTACTTTAACAATTTGGTAGCGTTTTTCATTGAAATTTCAATTTTTTTAAATTAAATATTCCGACATTTCAAAGCTAACATAGTACGTCGGAGTGTTATATGTTAGTGTGATAATGATACTAGTACCACGTCAGCCAAAAAAACAAAAAATAAAATTAAAAAAAATGCAAATGCATTTATATATTACGTGTAAATATATGAGTATATTTTTTATTTTTATTTTTTGTTGATGTGGGCTTGAAGGGGTTGTTACGTATTGACGTTAACATGTCGGACAATTTGCAAGTTAAAAAAATAAAATAAAAGAATGGAAATGGTATTTGGAATCGCTGTGAAAATAATTAAAATTCATAATAATCTCACCATTAAGGTCAAATTGGTGTTTTTTTTTTCTGTAGAAAGTGATGCATGATCATATCTTTGAGTTAGAAATTTTAAAAAAATTGTTTGTAAATCAGAGTTTATTTTGTGCGATTTATTCTTCTAAAAACGGATACAACTGATATATGATATACACTAAAATATGAACGAGAAAAATAATTTCTACTTTTTTTAAAAAATAAACATAAAAAACACTTCAAATAATTTCTTAATCAATGAAAAATTTTGACACATATATTTACGATAAATATTGAAAAAGTCACTTATTCTTTTTTTTTTATGTATTTATTCAATTATTGTAAAATTTGAGAACATTTGTTTCAATTTATAACATGGATATGGATAAAGATTTTTTTAGTAAATACCTATTTAATATTTTAAGAGGTAGATACACTATTAAATTGATCAAGTAATCTGATTTATTTCTTAAATATTCAATATATTAAATAAGATATTTTGGTTTGGTGATCTAATCTTTCGCATTTCTTATTTATTGATGATATCATATTAATCTATCTTATCACATTAAAATTTTTTGAAATTAGAGAGCTAATAATATTGGAGATAAAAAAAAGGATTAATAAAAGATTGCAATAAAAATTAAAATTCTGAAAATTAACATTCAATAAAATTTAGAAAGAATATTATGAAATTATCAATTTAAAATAATTGAAATAAAATTTATAGAAATAAAAAATATATATAATATTACAATTGTTATATAAAATTTATATAGTTAGCAAGTAGTATATAATGCCACTAGTTTTGTGTATATCGTCATTTAAATTAATTTTATATTTGATTTTGATTTTTTCTATAAATCTCCCATAATTGTAAATGTATAGTATATTTATAATTATTCTTATCTTATTGATTTAAATATAAACATATATCATTTTTTAAATGTAAAAAATATGCTTTTTTAAATATTGAGAAGAATTACTGATGTTTTTATACTTTTTTAAACATCGAGAAGAATTATTGTTGTTTTATTATATCTATACAATTTCTAAATGTGAAATCTTTTAAAATATTTATTTAATATATACATATATATATGTTAATAAAGAATTTTGGTGAAAACATAATGTAATCATTCCAAACAAAAGTAGGTATTCACTATGAATATACAAGAAAGAGTCGTTTATACAAGATTCCAATTTTATTCCTTGTTAGATATATAGACAATAAAGTTTGGTTTATCTAATCCATTTTATTTTTTAAAATATCTAAGCTATATGAAGTAATATATTTTTGTTTTAGCTAAGATATCAGATTAAGTATTAATAAAATAAAGTGTGTTATCCAATCTATTTATTGGGTATCACATGTTTGGAAAAAAAAGAAATAAGAGATATTATATATTAAGGGGCTCAAATAAATTTAACTCCTACTTCTACTTTAGTTGAATTTATTTATACTTTTTATTAAATGATATTCTCATTAAATTTTTGTAACCTAACATTTTATGAGAGAGAGACAGACAAGTTATGAGAACCAGCCAAGAGATAAGAGTCCCCACCAAACGCAAAGTTAGTATTTATAGTTAAAATACATTTTTGAATTTCATAGATTTCTGTTTGGTTCCCGAGAAAATCAGAGCAAATAAATGACCGTGGACTTCATTCATCGAAACCCTCCACGTATCTCCTAATATATGTATATATATATATATCCATGAAACCCGCTTGATTCCCTATGGTTCTCTTTATATTTTCCGAGACATTTTCTCTGCAACCAAACATCTTCAAATCCTAGGTATTGCCAGGATTCATCTAACCCAGAAAAAAAAAAAAGACCAGACAAAAAGAATCAAGAATCAAGAATCAAGAATGGAGAAACAAGGGACCATGTCGAGGAGCATAAGCAGAAGCCTGAGCCGAGCGAACAAGACGCTCGAGGAAATCTTCACGGCGAGCGGATCGTCAAGACAATACTCGAGGAGAAGCCATTCGGCCGACCAAGACGAAGAAGCCTTGAAATGGGCCGCCATCGAGAGGCTCCCCACGTACTCTCGTCTTCGGACAACGATCATGCAACCGTTCATGGAACGTAATAGTAACAATCTGCATGCGAACCACGGCAAAGTGGTCGACGTCGCGAAGCTCGGCGTCGATGATCGTCAGAAGTTCATCGATACCATCTTCAAGGTGGCTGAAGAGGACAACGAGAAGTTCTTGAAGAAGTTCAGGAAACGAATCGATCAGTAAGTATATATATATATATATATCCGATAAATCTCCCTTATATATATATATATATTGATATAATACGAAAACGATATTGGCAGGGTGGGAATAAAGCTACCAACAGTGGAAGTGAGATATGAGAATCTAACAATAGAAGCAAACTGTCATGTCGGAAGAAGAGCACTTCCGACACTCCCAAACGTTGCCCTAAACATTGCAGAATCAGCAATTGGTATGTTTGGTGTTAACTTAGCCAAAACCACTAAGCTCACCATCCTCAAAGATGTTTCTGGTATTATCAGACCATCCAGGTAATTTAATTTAATCCTTATTTAATCAAGATTATAATATTATATATAACCCTTGATTATATATAATGTTTTGGAGATTTTTTTTTTATGAATTTTGTATACAGAATGACACTATTGTTAGGTCCACCGTCATCAGGGAAAACGACCCTTTTACTGGCCCTAGCAGGAAAATTGGACCCAAGCTTAAAGGTTACAGAAAGATTATGAATTTCATTATTAAATTATTATTGATAGATTGTAATTAAGAAAATGATTTGGGCAAAAGCAGGTGACGGGGAAAGTAACATACAATGGGCATGGTCTTGAAGAGTTTGTACCACAGAAGACATCAGCATACATAAGCCAAAATGATGTTCACGTTGGGATCATGACTGTCAAAGAAACTCTTGATTTCTCTGCTAGATGCCTAGGCGTCGGTACTCGATACGGTAATAAACGTATTTTCCGAACGACAATACGAAAACGATGCTAAAAATTTACGATTTTATCTACTTTTGATATGATAATTTAGAGATCGAATTTTTCGATCATTTAAATTTTACCTGAAACACGAAACTCGGATGTAGAGTTGTTGAGTGAATTAGCAAGAAGAGAGAAGGATGCCGGAATTAGGCCGGAGGCAGAAGTGGATCTCTTCATGAAGGCATCTGCAGCCAAAGATCTTGAGAGCAGCCTCATCACTGACTACATTCTCAAAGTAAATTATTATTATTCGATTTCATTTTTTTTATACAAATTATCTCATATGTTTTATGAAATAAAGTTCGTTTTATCTTAAAGTTTAGTTTATTAGAGAATTGCATGAATTTTGATACGTCACGAAATTGGTTATAACTTTTAATTTTATTTTTTTTTTTAAATTTGAGGTAGTAAGTACTATTTTATAGTTCTTTGGCAATATTTAGAATAAAAACAACTTACGGGGCATGAGTATAAATCCTGTATAACATCAAGGGCCAAAATGAAAACAAACATTCACCTAATTCATACTCCCTGTTTTTTCTTTCCGCCCTCGAAATTTAGGGATATTACAAGAGATGCACCAAACTTTAAATACGATCAATTTGATCCAAATTTCTTCACAAGTTTTGTAGAATGTTACTAACCGAAATGACCCATAAATCAATTACATTTCTTTTTAAATAATTTTAATATTAATTTATTTAACCAGATAATAGGGCTTGACATATGCAAAGACACGTTGGCTGGGGATGATATGATAAGAGGCATTTCTGGTGGTCAAAAGAAAAGGCTCACAACAGGTACCTGCTCCCTCGAATGCCATCTTCATGATTCACCAAATGAAACATAAATAAATAAATAAATAAAATAATATTTTCCTAATATACATATATACATGAGAAAACCATCGCATATTTATTTTTAAAAAAAGCATAATATTAATCCAATGCAGGAGAAATGGTGGTGGGGCCTGCAAAGACATTGTTCATGGACGAGATATCGACCGGTTTAGACAGTTCCACGACGTACCAGATAGTGAGATGTCTGCAGCAAATGGCCCGTTTCAACGACGCGACGATCCTCGTGTCGTTACTACAGCCGGCTCCCGAAACGTTCGATCTCTTCGACGACATCGTTCTCTTGTCCGAAGGTCAGATCGTCTATCAGGGCCCGCGTGAAAACGTTGTTCACTTCTTCCAGTCGTGCGGTTTTACATGTCCCGACCGCAAGGGCACTGCCGATTTCTTGCAAGAGGTATGAACATATATTTCCCGACATGTTCGAATTATCGATCCAAAACCCGACACTGATTAATAACATTGTAAAACAATAATAATAACTTGAACGTAGGATAGATAATAGAATCTCGATTCGATCAAACATACCGATTTAAACTGTTGAGATCAAGAGAGAAAACGGTAACTTAGAACACAAGAAAACGCTTGGAATCTATCCAGTTTGGTTTTCTTGTGCTTCAAGTTACCATTTTCTTCTTTTATATCAACAAGAACCTGAGCTTAAGAGAAAAATGATCGATTAGATGCTAAATATTACGAATTTTTTAGAATATGAGCGGGAAAATTTTGAACCAGGTTGCCTTGTTGAACAGGTTACTTCAAGAAAAGACCAAGAACAGTACTGGTCCGACAAGACGAAACCATACAGATACATTCCCGTGTCCGAATTCGCAGACCGGTTCAAACATTTTCATGTCGGAATCAATCTTTACAGAGACTTATCGATACCTTACAACAGGCTCAGATCTCACCCGGCTTCTCTCGTCTACGAAAAATACTCAGTTCCCAAACCTCAGCTCCTCAAAGCTTGTTGGGACAGAGAATGGCTTCTCATGAAACGAAATTCGTTCGTCTACATCTTCAAGACAGTTCAGATCATCATCATGGCCGCCGTTTCATCGACCGTGTTCTTGAGAACCGAGATGGACACGAGGAATGAGAGCGACGGATCTTTATACGTCAGTGCATTGCTTTTCTCCATGATCGTAAACATGTTCAACGGTTTCGCCGAGCTTTCCTTGATGATTCAGAGACTTCCCGTGTTTTACAAGCAACGAGATCTCCTGTTTCACCCTCCTTGGACTTTCACTCTCCCTACTTTTCTTCTGGGCATTCCTATCTCGGCCTTCGAATCGATCGTTTGGGTCACCGTAACTTATTTCTCGATCGGTTTCGCTCCGGAAGCCAGCAGGTTATCCCGAAAATCCGATAGATTTTGTATGAATCCGTCCGTGGTTTGGATAACGAAATGACCATGCGATGGTGTTTTTGCAGGTTTTTTAAGCACTTGCTGGTAATATTCCTTACACAGCAAATGGCATCTGGTATTTTCCGGTTCATCGCTTCAACTTTCAGAACAATGATCATGGCAAACACCGGAGGATCTCTCGTTCTCCTCCTCCTCTTCTTGCTCGGCGGCTTCATTATTCCTCGAGGTAATCTCGTCGTGAGAAAGAAAAAATCGCTTTTTATACCTCACCTTAGACTCTAAGTCCTGCTTCCATTGCTAAGGCAAGAGAGCTTCAATTCAACAGGTGAGATTCCAGTATGGTGGAGATGGGCTTTTTGGGTATCGCCACTGAGTTACAGTTACAACGCTTTGACAGTGAACGAAATGTTTGCTCCTAGATGGATGAACAAACAGGTGACGACTTATAATCAGTGAGTTTTCTCTTCTTTTCAGTGAAAAATTCGATCTAACTCGGTAGAACGGTTTCTGAATCTTGTAGGGTTCTGATAACTCGACGAGGTTGGGAATCGCGGTTTTAAAGAGCTTTGACGTTTTCACAAATAGAAACTGGTATTGGATAGGTGTTGCATCAGTTCTCGGGTTTGCGGTTCTCTTCAACATCCTTTTCACCCTCGCCCTCGCCTTCTTAAACCGTGAGTATCATCCTTCATTCGTCTTTTACATTCTTTTGTTTTGCATTTCTTCTACGACTAATAGTAATGACTCCTCGTCGATTCCAGCCATCGGGAAGCCACAAGCAGTGATTTCTGAAGATACTGCAGAAGAAGCAGAGACCGAGAAGGGACGTTTGAAGTGGAAACCGGGTAAGTCGGGTTATATTTCGGGAAAATGTGTACTTATAAGACCGACCTTATTCACTATGTGGCCTGAACATTTCAGATATGTCAAGTAGAGCATTTGATTCTGAATGTAACCGGGCCAAGAAAGGAATGGTTCTCCCTTTTACTCCACTGGCAATGTCATTTGATAGCGTTAACTACTACGTTGACATGCCGCCGGTATAAATGCCAATCCCCGCCATCTCTCTGTGTCGGACTCGAAAGCTATAAATGTTTTGATTTTAATTCGGACATTGTAACTTTCTGGCACAACAGGAGATGAAAGAGCAAGGAATTGCAGAAGACAAGCTGCAACTGCTTAGGGAAGTGACAGGAGCATTCAGGCCAGGAGTTTTGACTGCTTTAATGGGTGTGAGCGGAGCCGGGAAGACGACTCTGATGGATGTTTTAGCGGGTAGAAAGACGGGTGGATACATCGAAGGAGATATCAGAATTTCTGGTTACCCTAAAAAGCAAGAAACATTTGCAAGAATCTCCGGTTACTGCGAACAAAATGACATTCACTCACCACAAGTTACTGTCAGAGAATCTCTTATCTATTCCGCCTTTCTCCGCCTCCCGAAAGAAGTTAGAAAAGACGAGAAGATGGTATTTTCTTAACCCGATTGCTCCAAAATCTTTCGGTAACTAAGGAAGAGGATATGGCATCCTTCGTTTTTTTCGTAGATGTTCGTGGATGAAGTGATGGAACTAGTAGAGCTAGAGAATCTGAAGGACGCAATAGTCGGGTTACCCGGGATAACGGGGCTATCGACTGAGCAGAGAAAGAGGCTAACCATTGCAGTGGAACTGGTAGCTAATCCTTCGATAATCTTCATGGATGAACCGACATCAGGGCTTGATGCAAGAGCAGCGGCAATTGTAATGAGGACAGTGAGGAACACAGTTGACACTGGAAGAACAGTTGTCTGCACGATCCACCAGCCAAGCATCGATATTTTCGAAGCATTCGATGAACTTTTACTGATGAAGAGAGGAGGACAAGTGATTTATGCAGGTCCTTTGGGCCGAAACTCACACAAGATCATAGAATACTTCGAGGTAAAAACACCTTTCGATCCATTATCAAAACCCTAGATTCAGGTTTTCGGGTTCAACAAAATCTGAAAGCTTTTTCCATTCTTACAGGACATTCATGGAGTTCCAAAGATTAAGGAGAAATACAACCCGGCGACATGGATGCTAGAAGTGAGCTCAGTAGCTGCAGAAGTCAAACTCGGGATAGATTTCGCCGAGCATTACAAAACAACATCCTTGTATAGGTGAGTTCAAGAACCTAAGCCGTAAAAGCAAAATCTCGCTGGTACATAGTCAAATCTCTGACAAAACATATCTACACGTATATGTATATGTATGTATGTATAGACGAAACAAAGAACTGGCGAAGGAATTAAGCACGCCGCCACAGGGAGCGAAAGATTTACATTTCACGGCGCGATACTCGCAATCGGCATGGGGGCAATTCAGATCTTGCTTGTGGAAACAGTGGAAGACTTACTGGAGGAGTCCTGACTACAACCTAGTCAGATTCTTCTTCACATTAGTTGCTTCCCTCATGCTCGGCACGATTTTCTGGAAAGTGGGAACGAAAAGGTTCGTCGAATCTTCTAAAAATAATCTCCCGTACAGATAATATCCGAAATCAAAATCTTATTATACGGTACAAATTAACGATCTTGTATGAACAGGGACAACGTTGGTGATCTTAACATGATCATTGGAGCAATGTATGCTGCAGTTTTATTCGTCGGGGTTAACAACTGCTCGACGGTCCAACCGATCGTATCCGTTGAACGAACGGTGTTCTACAGAGAACGAGCTGCCGGAATGTATTCCGCCTTGCCTTACGCCTTGTCGCAGGTTACTTGTGGAAATTGAAACCTGATAAAGACGATGATAATGGCGGTAACTAGTGGTTAACCCCTGTTGATATATGCGCTGCAGGTCGTATGTGAAGTACCGTACGTACTAATCCAAACGACGTATTTTACGCTAATCGTGTACGCGATGGTGAGCTTTGAATGGACAGCGGCGAAATTCTTCTGGTTCTACTTCGTTTCCTTCTTCTCCTTCCTCTATTTCACGTACTACGGGATGATGACGGTCTCCATCACTCCGAACCTGCAAGTTGCAGCCATATTCGCCGCAGCGTTTTACGGCGTTTTTAACCTATTCTCCGGTTTCTTCATCCCTAGACCGGTAAAATTCTCGTTACTTGTTTCACAAGAACCTCTAACCGCAGAGAATTCTCGTTACTTGACTCACAAGAAACCTTAACTTTCACATGTTTTCTTGAGTCTGATCTCGTAGAATCGTTGCAGAAAATTCCCAAGTGGTGGATTTGGTACTACTGGATCTGTCCGGTGGCTTGGACGGTGTACGGGCTGATCGTGTCTCAGTACGGTGACGTGGAAGATAGGATCCGGGTTACGGGTATGGATCGTGACCCGACAATCAAATGGTACATCGAAAACCATTTCGGGTATGACCCGGATTTCATGGGTCCTATCGCTGCCGTCTTGGTTGGCTTCTCCGTCTTCTTTGCTTTCATGTTCGCTTTCTGCATACGGACGCTAAACTTCCAACAGAGATAGAGGGTTTGACCAGTTTTATCCCCCTGTGCCAACTGAGCCAAAAGAGGGTTACATTGATTTGGGTGTCCATGTTTTTGTCTTTGTTATACCATATAAATATAATACGTTATGATGACGATTATTTGTATATTTCTGTTGCGAAATTATGTGTAACACAAAGCTTGTTAGAGCTGCAATCGCATATTTTAATGTCATTATAAAAATTTTAGCTTTTGCGAGTTACGTACTTTACCAATAATTATTAATCCTTTAAACCTAAGCAATTTAGTCCAATCCATGTTGAAAACGTGATCCTATTTCAAAAAGTACTTTTTTTTTGTTCAAATATAGATGTGTTACATTTTTTAAAAAACCTATAACTACGTTAATCTATAAATTATAAAAAAAAAAAGCATTTAAATCCAAAAATATTGTGAATATTCTCGGAAAATAAACCAATTGAAATAACAGGAAGAAGAAAAAAACATGTAACCCTAAAATAGTCATTTCAACACGGCGACAACGTACGATTCTCCATGATCCTCTGCAGATTGAATATCGAAATACCGAAATTGCCCCTTTCCAGGCACGTAAGAAGTCCTCATCTTCTGTCTCTCTCTCTCTCTTCTCCCCACAAATTTATCGTCAAAGATGTGTATAAACTGAGCGTATTCCCCTATTTATACACTCAAAAGGGTCTCTGATTTTGCATTTCGTTTCCCGAATCGAGTTGTAATCGCTTGCACCGCCCAATGACTCGCCGGTGCTCGCATTGCAGCAACAATGGGCACAACTCTCGCACGTGCCCCACGCGCGGCGGAGGAGGGGGCTCCCCCGTCGCCGCTGTGAAGCTGTTCGGCGTGCGTCTGACGGATGGGTCGATCATCAAGAAGAGCGCGAGCATGGGGAACCTGTCGGCGTTGGCCGCGGCTGCGGCGGCGCAACACCACCACCATTTGCCGTCGTTCCCGACCGCGTCGATGAATAGAGATTCGCCGTTGTCGGGTCAAGTGCGTGACGCGACCCATCGGACCGATGGGTACTTATCCGATGACCCGGCTCATGGTTCCGGGTCTTCTCACAGACGAGGGGAGAGGAAGAAAGGTGAGAGATTGATTTGGGTTATTAGCCCGGTTGATAATCTGATTTATTGATGATCATGTGGAATCGGTTTTTTTTTCCTGATTCGCGTAGAATGGGTTTAGTATATGAATTTATTGTATTACAGATCAAATTGCGTTCTAATAGTACGAGATTAGGACAGCGGACATGGATTGTTCAAAGGGTTTTGCGTCTTCTTGACGTTGAAGCAAATGGTTTCAGGACTAGAGAATCGTTGATTCTCTCCATATTTCTGGTTTTTGTTTACCATTTAAGCGTGTAACTGTATGAACCAGGATCAGAATGTCATAAAGCAAGATGAAGTGTATGCCACGGCAAAAAACAATTGCAGCATGAGTCAAGGATTAGGACTCTGGTCTTTGGAAACGGTGAAAGTTTGATTCTTTTATGTTCGCCTGAGATGGGGAACTCTTGTTTGGACACTATACCAACTACCAAGATTGAAGATCACTTTCGTGGATGGTTCTCGTGTCTAGTCTTAGTGTTCGTGAAAAGTTTAACATGATAAGGTTTCTGGTCGAGATGAATTAGAAGCCAGCTCTTTAGGTTTTTAATGTGATGGCATTGGCAATGGCACCTAACGTTTCTAAGGCTGTCTTTCTCTGTTTTCACAAATTGAGATATGACCGGTGTGATATTCTTCTCGATTGGTTACATCTCGCGCTTGTTATAATAACCCGAAAGCGGCTTTCTTGGTTTGGGAAACAGGTGTTCCGTGGACAGAGGATGAGCATAGGCTATTCCTTGTCGGCCTTCAAAAACTTGGTAAAGGAGATTGGCGTGGTATATCAAAGAGCTATGTCACCTCGAGGACTCCTACACAAGTGGCTAGTCATGCTCAGAAGTATTTCATCCGGCAAAGCAGTTCCAGCCGCGTGAAAAGGCGTTCTAGCCTTTTCGATATGGTGACAGATGATATGGTTCGCATCTCTTCCTTTCGATTCTCTTTTTGTCATTTCCAAGACACGATTTTTAACCTCTTGTAGTGTCTCCTTCATTACCAAACATTTGAAATTACCCGTGATTGTCTAAATTTCCTGGAAATGCTTGGAAACTTGTGGTACCGTGGTTAAATCTCATCCCTTTTCGCTTTCTTCAGGTCATCGAGGCACTGCCAGGAAAAGAAGATCGAGCTTTTCATCTTTCTCCTTCTCTAGAACCCGAAAACTCAATCTCCCTACCTTCTCTGGATCTCTCACTTGGGACTGCGGAACGTGAGCCAGCATCAACTGCCTCACAGGACAGAACCAAGGAACCGAAAGACGAGATCAATCCATCAAATGGGCTATCTCCAATGCTCGTACCGGGTATTTTTCCGTCTTGTGTCCCTCTCAACTACAAATTATGGTTCCCGACGGCTTCGACTTCCCCTCTGGGGCAAGGATACGGCCTAGAAGCTACCACTCAGCATCAGGTTCTGAAACCAAACCCGGGTTTCAGCAAGGAACGAGCCAATGTGGATCAGTTGGTCGGAATGTTGCAGCTTCGTATTGGAGAAGCAGAAGGAAACAAACGCGAGCCATCTTCGGCTTTTCACCCGAATGGTTCGGACTTGAATCAAGGCAACAGTGCGATTCAAGCGCTTTGATGACGAATCTGTGGAATTAGGAATCATATAATTCTCTTTGTTTCTTTTCCTTTTTTAAAAACATGAAATTAGAGGTCATATATATTTATATATGTTCTCGTTTTTGTAAGCATCTCCAGAATTTAAAACTGTAAACAAAATTATTTTATTGAATTACAAAAAAAATGTGAGTTTTTGTATCATGTGATATTGAATAAGGCTAAATTAGTTCCTTCAAACTTATTTTATGTAAGTAACGAATTCAGATAAATCTGATCGTATAATTGTATTTATTTATCTATTATAAAGAGATGTACGTGGACGCCATACTACGGACGTTTAGATAAATTGATTATATTATTTATAATGAAAATATTACATATTTTGAATACCCACATGTAATTTTTTTTAACCACGCAACATGAATTCCGCAATATTCACAAAGAGTACTCATGAATTCTATAATTGCATTTTTTTTTAGAAACTCTTAGAATTTTGAGTTCAATCTCAAAATATTTACCATTCTATAGTTAATTAAACTTAACTTGCATAACTTTATTAAAAAAAATTTCTACTCTACACATTCGAATTTTAATTCCTTCTAATACCTTAATTTTATAAACTCAAATTATATAACCAGTAAACTTAACTACATTAGTTTCTTAAACTAACATCTATAAATTTTATAAATTACTTTATTTTTCTTAATTTTTTTAGCTCATTTGGTTATATTTGTAGAATTAACGTAGTTAGAGAATTTATAAACGCAAAACAAATATTATACAAAAGTAGTGCTATTCGTAAATTGCATTCTGATATAAAATAATAATATTTCAAGTCATTAAAAACGTAAATAAAATTATCAGAATTAAAATCAAATATAACATAACATAAAATATAAACAAAAATTAGAAAAATGTTAATAAAAATATCTAAACAGAATCATAATATTTCTAAATTCATTATTGTTATCAATTTATCAAAATAAAATCTTCAAAATAGACTGCGGAAAGAAAATAAAAAATTTAAAATTTGTTAAGGGTCTGCTCGTGTCACAGCCCAAGATTCCGTAGGAGAGAGGGGAGTGATCGCCGATGCGAGAGGCATGGACAATGGGCGGGTCCTGACGAATTTCTGGGTAGAGGGTATAGGGATGAATCGGATGCACCAGAATGAGAGAGATCCGAGGGCTATGTAAGTATGAGACTACGCAGTTTAAGATAACTTAAATGAATTAATTGAACTACTCATATCAACAAGATGAATCTATCTTTTCGGTTAACATCTCGAGAGAATTCTAAAGTTAAGCGTGTTCGCTTTGGAGTAATCTTAGGATGTGTAACCTCAGGGGAAATACTTTCCGAGATGTGTGCGAGTGAGGACAAAACATGCTAAAAGATCTCATATTAATGTGTGGGGACAACTCTATCATCATTCCATAGCGGTCTCGAATTTGGCGAGTGGAATCGCCCAACTCGCGGTTCGTCAACTCATTTTTCATGCGATTTAAAATTTTAAAACATCTCCACTAAATAGAGAGTTGATTGCGAGTCCCGAGTCATCAACCCGTTTTACATGATAAACCACTTCATGGGTTTCCTTAAAACTTAGAGCCCTTGCGATCCTTTGACCTATCCATTTATTTATTCAATTATTTGTCTTTTAACATTCTTCCCTGTTAGTATTCAATTATCTGTTTGTTTCTTCATCTAGTTAGTAAAGCCGTAAATATTAAATAAAAATTGGATTAAGCATGAAAAATCTTTTGTTTTATATATACTACTTATTTTAATATCACAATTTTGTTGTTCATTTATTTCAAATTTAACAAAAAAATATATAATTTTGAACTATATTTTCCGGTCTTTATTGACAGATCTGTCAATGGGTTAAAGACCAGCAATCTTTCCGACATATTTAGGGCTCAAACCCTAAATCATATACACTACATAAACAATTTAGTGTTTGAAGCGTGGCAAAGTAGAGATTAAAATTGACCATAAGATCAAAAAATATATATAAAAAAAAACTTTCCGACAACCTTCGATGTCCTCGGAGTCTGTCTATTTACTGCGTCGATTTTCTATGTCCTTCACTTTGGATTTGCTATTTGGTTGAGTAAATTTTAAATAATTTCAACACATCTAACAACAATATCGAATTTGAGATATAATAGATTTAAATTAATTTTAGAAATGGAAGTATTCATATTATTTAAATATCTGGGACGCCATTGTTTCGTATTTCAGACATCATCCGATTTGATCGGATAAAATAATGCTAAAAATAGGGGGAGGGAGCATATGTTCTCTTTTGGTGAAGGATAAGCAATCGTGATGAGAAGAATGGATGCTGCATTGGGAATATCTCATATGAGAAAAGGACCCTAAAGGCAGAATTTTGTATGATTGGCATTAATATTATGATGCCAAACACAAATTCTTTGATCCTTACAAGAAGCTCATTCTAAAGTGAGATGTGTCCAAATTTCCCCCATGATAAGAGAGTGACATGACTCACTCTTATGTTCCTCTCTTGTGTTTGAATCTACCACCTCTATGGTTGTTGGCGGTGACACAAAAAAATGTACATTAAAACGACTCTCGTTTGTGAATCAGTTTGTTTTTACCGAATTGAGCTGAAAAAAATCTAATCAATTATAATTAAAAAAAAAAGCCCGATGAGCCAATATATCACTAGCTGAGTTCATCACAGACTAATTCGTTCGACTAGGAACTGGCTTGTGAGCCAATTTTTTTCTAAAAAAAAATTATTATATTTATTTTTTTATATTATTCATATTTTTTATATTTTTAAAATATTTTTAAAAAATATTTTTTGTTTTATATTCGGCGAAGTTCATATAAAAAATCAATTTTTGATCTCATTATTTTTTTAGTAAATTAGAATATTAACAGATAATTATTTATATAAAACTAGTTGAACTATTCATTTCAAATAAGGATGATTCTTTTTCGATTTTGATTGAATACGATTTTTTTTCTTTCGGATTACTAGGAATATCTAGTTCATAAATATCTGAAAGGTAAGTTTTTTCATAAGAGTGATAGAGGATAAAACACGTGTTAGCACATACTTGGAATTAAACCTTGTAAAAAAAAAATATCTAACATAAAGCAGAAGATGCTGAAACACAAGTGGAGGATTGGTTTAGGTTTCTTTGTATGAGTTACCCTCTGTCAATTATGCAGTTTACCAATGAAATTACTTGTCATAATAAATTGGGTGCTAAAAGGAGGCAAAAATGTTAAATATAAGACACAAATTATTCATTAAATTTTAAATAATTACATGAATTTGTTCAAATTTTATCGATAAATACATAAAATTTTTATCTTATAAAAAATATATCAATTTGTGATTTTTTTCACAAAACCTAAAAATTATATGTATTCGTTTTTTATATTATTTAGAATTTAGTTTGGATTTATTTTTTAAAACAATTTATATTAAATTTTGATTATTTTGAGATTCACTCAAACTCAAACTCGTTTAAATTTTAAATTTAAAAATATATGTAATCTCTGTTTAAATCTGATTTAAAAGCATCTCAGTTTAAATACCGAATATAATTTTGTAATTATGACAACATGATGCTCCAAACGAAAGGAGAACAGAACAGATTTGTTCGAGAAACCAATATGATATTAATATTCTGATACCACTCCATTATAAATAAAAATAATTTTTATAACATTTTCACAGAAGGATGTAGACAAGTCTTTATGTCACATTAATATTTGGTGGGCAGAGGAATAAAGCTGGCAAAAAAAAAAAAAAACTGAGAATGAATCTCGTCTTTAGCTCCGAGAAGACAAGACAAAGGAACATGGATAGATAGATTGTGCCTGAAATTTTATTTAAAAAATAAAATAAAAAAGATGTTTGTATCAATCATTGTTTTGCGTTTTTGTTCATCCTCGATAGTTTTTTTTTTTTTTCCTTTTTCAGTCACAAGTTAATTGATGCTTTTTCCCATTCATGATTTTAATAAGATTACTTTCTGTTTTTCATAGAACAATCACTATGTAATTAAATATGTTGAGCCACATAATTCGCTTTACATTATAAATAAATTTTATGTTGTTTAACAAAAAAAAATATGTTTTGTCGTTTAGGTACTTCAACTATAGAAAGACATATTTTGGATCTCATTCCATTTTTTTAGGGTTTTGGATTTTTCAATTTTAAATATTATAGATATTTAATTTTATACTAAATGTCAATTTGATTGGATTTGAATTCTATTCAAATTATGTCCGGATGCAAATATAAGTTTATTTTAAATTTGAATTTATTAATATATTTATTTTACAATTTTTTTGGTTTATTAGGTTAACGTTGTGTTCCATTTGGAATTAATTCATTGGTTTAAATAAAAGTATACACAAACAACTTTTAAATTAAGTTTAAATATATGTATATGTATAAATTTCGTTTGGATTTGATTTTTCAAATACTAATATATATTATGAATCCTAATTAAATCCTAAAACGTCTCAATTAATCCAAATGTTAGACATTTGTTTCCCAACATAAAAATATATGTTTTTATAAAAAAATTATGGATTCAGTTTTTTATTTTTTATTTTTGTTAGGAATTGATACTCTTTAATTAAACCATTCTAAAATAAAAAATAAAAAAAAGATATAATAAGGTGGAGGATGGCGAGAGTTTTCTTTAATACCAAATAAAAACTAATAAATTTTGCTATTAATAAATAATATTTAATTAGTAACTTTAGGCCTTTTAATTTTATATTTGATGATTTGTTCTTGTCTTTCACTTCAAACTACAGAGGATTTTATTCCAAGAATTTTTTAGTTTATTATTTAAATTAGTACTATAATGTATAATATGCTGCCCTTTGTCGGGTAAAAGTATTATTGATCAGATTATTTATATGGTTAGTGTATTATTTCTACGCATTCCAAATAATCACATGTTGTCCCCACTATTGTAATCATGAAAAGTGTATATTTGTCAATTTACTAGAGAAATGATAATGATTATCTATATCTTCATAATCTGCGAATTTATGTTAGCCATAATATTTTGTGAAATCTGAATAATCCAAACGGGACAGGCACTTTATTATATAATTCGGAATATTTTTCTCAAACTGTACACCTTTTATGTGAAAAAAGAATTGCAGATATAACTTTTTCAATATCACTTTGCCAAAAATTCTTGTCCAAATACATTTTACTGTACACCTTTTCCCGTGACAGATGAATTTAAGTGCTTCAAGAATTTTAGGATTCGTCGGTCCAAAATTCCAAAAACATATGTAATTCTACAATTTTATAATAACGCGAGAGTTTATAATATCTTTTATTGCATTTATACCTAGGTCTTATTAATTCAAAGTGTAATTTCTGTACGTTCACTTGCCATCAAATAGGTAAAATGGATCTTTTTACACCGTAGGAGATATTATAATAGATTATAATAACTAACGTTATGATAAAAACCTAATTTACGCTGATTCAAACTGTCATTTTATTTTATTTTCCGTAATCAAATATGCATTCACAGTAGTTTATATAATAATTACATATGGTACGAGGTTGATTGTCTCTGATGTTTAGGGTTAGCGTCTGAAGTCTCTTAATCATCAAAATGACCCATAGGTTTACGTCGACAGTTCATGCAAATGATACGTCCACGTGTCATCAAATTAAGGCGATAACAGCGAATATACATTTTTTTATTTTTATTTTTTTACCTTTTGGGTAGAGAATACCCATCATTCATATGTGCTACGTTGCAGGTTCCACCATTTTTTTTTATATATTCTATCTGTTTTTCTTTTCCCATGATGTGATTTGAAATGTTATATTCTCTTCTCCCCTATGTTTGTGTATATATATATATATATGTATGTATGTGTGTGTCTATATATATCCCAATCGCCCATTTCATTACTCCATCGCCATTTCAAATACACAAGAAGAACAAACACCAAGCATTTTCACACAATTTTGTTTTTTTTTTCCTTCTCATTTGATTTGTTTTTATAAGAATGGAAAGAAACATGCATAAGCAAGTGGCAATCATGAAAAAGGCACTCTTTGATAAGGTTCCCCATCTCCATCGTAGCTTTTTTTTCTTCTTCCCCAATGATTGTTTCTTCTTTTTTTTTTCTCTGTCACTAGTTATATAATATATAGTTATACATTTTTTTTATAGCCTAGGCTGTGGAAATTTGTATATATGGACCCTTCAACATATATATAAATAATTACAAAATTCGTTGATCGTGGGAAATAAGAAAATTTAAACGTGAATGCAGGGATATCTGGACGAACAATTCATGGAATTGGAGGAACTCCAAGATGATGCAAACCCTAATTTTGTTGAAGAAGTTGCTACATTGTACTTCAAAGATTCATCTCGATTAATCAACAACATTGAGCAGAATCTGTACGTCCAATTTCATTTGTGTTTTTTTATTTACCTACAAAACACATGCCTACTTGTTCTAGAACAATATATATATATATATATATATATATATATATATATATATGGAGCACATATTTATTTATTTCTTAATAATTAATAACCATGCAGGGAAAGAAGTCCTCTTGATTTCAATAGGCTTGACGCTCACATGCACCAATTCAAGGGCAGTAGCACGAGGTGAATATATAGTACATTAGTTTAAATTTTTTTAGAAAATACATAATAAACTAATTTTTAACAAGAAGGAGACATGATTATATGAGCTTTTATAAATATTTTATTTTATTAGTTTTAATGAAGAAACGCATAACAAATAACACATGCATGTGCTAATTAATTAGTATAAACACCTAAACATACACAAGAACGTGCAAATCACAAATCCAATATATAATGAATTCTTCAAATGAAGAGAAAATTTAATTTGCATTAATAATATTCGTATTCTTTTAAGATCAAAGATGATACTTTAAGATGCCCATCGCTCGAACTATTTCATCACATGCAACTGTTGCACCAAATGGGCCACTTGCGTTGGCACTTGATAAATACATACATACATACATACATACATACATACATACATACATACATACATACATACATACATACATACATACATACATACATACATACATACATACATATTGTTAATCAAGTTTCGATTTCATAACGCGTATAAGAATCTACTTTGGTATGGAGTTCATTCACAATATAAATAAAAATAAAATCATATATATATATATATATATATATATATATATATATATATTTCTGCAGCATTGGAGCGAGCAAGGTGAAAGCTGAGTGCACTACGTTCAGGGAGTACTGCAGAGCCGGAAACGCGGAAGGGTAATCTCGTCTTTTTCTTACATTGAGTGGACGAAAATATGGGGTCTAAGTGAAAAACAACCAAAATAAAAGGGCTTTATTTGTATCAATTACTGAGCCTTGAAGTTTCACTTTATTATGTTTTCGACCACCTAATTCTTGTTTGTACGGTAATGACCAGATGCTTGAGGAGTTTCCAGCAACTGAAGAAAGAACACGCAACTCTGAAAAAGAAGCTTGAAAGTTATTTTCAGGTAATCCAAAATTGTTTATATATACATATACATATATACATATACATATACATATACATATACATATACATATACATATACATATACATATACATATACATATACATATAATATACATATAAATTAAGCATAAGATAGGACTGACGGAAAGCTTTTGCGTTGGGCAGTTGGCGAGGCAAGTTGGGCCAAGGGAGACTGCATGTAGGCCTAAGTAACGAGATGTATTAGGCTTCGTCGGTGATTATATATATATATATATATATATATATAAACCCATGAATATGTTGTATTTTCCTCTAATTAATTTTCATATCCATCTATATGTATTGATATTATATATATGTTAGTAGACAGTCCAATTTTCTGTTAACCTTTATTCGGAAATTTGATAAAATGAAATTGATAATATCTTTTCCTTTTTTTAGACAAGGTCCAAAACTTAAATATGCTATTTGAAGCTCTTCCTCGTAAATATATATATATATATATATATATGTATATGTGTATATTACGTATCAAAGAATAATGCAGGCTTAATGTAGGAATAACATGCTAGCCTGACTCACAGGAGACACAGAGTAGTTAGCAATAACTTTTTAGCAAAGGTAGATTTTTTATTTGACAATTGCAAAAGGCATTCAATTCAATTCAACGAATACCCTTCTTCCGATGAATATACAAAACATATCCCAAATATTACCAAAAAAAAAAAAAACACTAAAGATACATGCAATATATATATATATATATATGGGTCTATAAAATGTTATGAAATTAAGGATAATTTCTTTAATTACGATAATGCACCAAATAACAAATGAATGTTTTTTTTAAGAAAGCAATGAGTATAGAGATTTGATTTTTTTTACGATGCTTTAATGCATTTTTAAATGAAATTTCAAAGAATACAGAGTTCCGATATAATACGAGAATACTAAATATCTGTGCAGATAAATAGTGGTTTTTTATTTTATTGTCATATTATTTCTATCCCAATTCAGTTCAAATTCAATCTTAAAAAATTATTTCAAAAAAGTGGTTTTTTAAATTTTATTGTCATGTTTAATTCTAATTCAATTTAAATTCAATTAATTTAGTTTTGAAAATATAATTAATCAGTTTTAAAATTAGCTTCATATAAAATCACACACACACACACACACACACACGTTATTTGATTGGTTTTTGTTTATTTCAATAAAATATCGTCACATTAGAAAAAATTAATTGAATAATAATCTTCAAGAAAAAAGAAAGAAATATGAAAAAGAAAATGGCATAAATGGGTAGATTCGTTATTACGAATGGGTTTCAATTAATAATGAAATAATTGATGGCCTCAAAGCGACGTAAAACCACTCTCATTTATTGGTCTCACCTCACTCTCACAACCTCCATCCCCCTCACTTCAAAGCCCCCTTTATCTTATTTTATATCTTTCCTCTCGTGAATATACATACATATATATATATATATATCTATAGATATTCGCGACAAAATTATATAAAAATAAATATCAGAGCCAAACCCTAATTTTAATTTTTAAAATAAAATTAAAAAAAAAAACTTGGCTGTAAAGGTAATCCATAATTACCCAATGTTCTAAGGATTTGAGTTCAAACTGTTGCCTGGTTTTATGAAAGAAGAGAAAGTGATCCTTTTGTTAGTTATCTGAGCATCTAAAATCTTATGTTTTCGAGTTTCACTTAGTGTTGCTTGCTTTACTTGTTCGAAGTCAAGTTCTCATGGCCGGATTTTTGTAATGTCTGACGGCGGATGCTTCTAATCTTGTTTTGGTTTCGTGTGCAGATTGATGAGAATGTTGCAAGAGAGATCATAAACCACAGATCTCTTCGCCACCCGAATATAATCCGGTTTAAGGAGGTACATGTGTTTTCTAGATATGATGAAACTGCTCAGTTGAAGCTTGTAACTTTATAATTTTCTTGCTTAAAGGTTGTTTTTTTGGTGTTTTCAGTTGGTTTTGACGCCGACCCATCTCGCCATTGTCATGGAATATGCTGCCGGAGGTGAGCTTTTTGAGCGTATATGTAGCGCGGGGAGATTCAGCGAAGATGAGGTGAGCTGTTCAAATTGAAATTTGGTTGCGGCGTTGCTAGTTACTTTACTTTTTTAGGTCTGAGTTTCAGATTCTGCAGACGTTTAGATCTTCCCAAAATCGACATCTTAGTGAAACATGCAACTTTAATTTGTAGCAGATGCTCTGACTGTAATATTTGAGACTATGATAGTCATTGTTCCTCATCCTCCTCTTTTTTCCCAGGCTGCCAGACAACATAATTTCCCTACACATGTGGTTATATAACAAAGGTTTTTTTGGTCCTCACCACTCGCACAAACACCAAATTTCAAAAGCACATTACCAAAGATGGATCAAACCTTAAGATATCTCAGAATATCCTTTCTCTTTTCCCTTGCCGTTTTTCTGAGTTCATCCCATGCTCAAGATTCCACAACCCTTGTCCCTGCAATCATCACATTCGGCGATTCGGCCGTCGATGTGGGCAACAACAACTATCTTCCGACCATTTTCAGGGCCGATTACCCGCCTTATGGCCGAGATTTCGCCAACCACGAGGCCACCGGACGGTTCTGCAATGGCAAGTTAGCTACTGACATCACCGGTATAGTTTACTTGTGGTTCAAGTAATAACCAGACAGTGTTTCTTGCTGTTCAAGAAATAAAAAGGGTTAAGTTCTTTTGTCTTGTGTTTCTTCATATGCAGCTGAGACTCTAGGCTTCACTGCTTACCCGCCTGCTTATCTTAGCCCTCAAGCTTCGGGCAAGAACCTTCTCATCGGTGCGAATTTCGCTTCCGCTGCTTCTGGTTACGACCCGAAACCTGCGATCATCAATGTGAGTGAACTGATTTTGGGATTTTGATCAGACACAGATCGGTTTTATGTTTCGTAATCATGACACTTTGATCGATCGTTTTCTGGGCAGCACGCAATCCCGCTGTACCAGCAGGTGGAGTATTTCAAGGAATACAAGAGCAAGCTCGTGAAAATCGCGGGAAAAACCAAATCTGAATCGATAATCCGAGGAGCAATCTGCATTTTGAGCGCCGGAAGCAGCGATTTTATCCAGAACTACTATGTCAACCCTTTGCTATTCAAAGTCTACACTCCTGATCAGTACGGTTCTTACCTCATCGACAGTTTCTCGACTTTCGTCAAGGTACATTTCGTTTCCTTCTCCCGAATTCTCAGTTTCCGGACGTAATATGCTCATACAGAGAAATAACAGTGTTTTTGAACGGTTCACTCAGGACGTTTACGGCCTCGGGGTGAGGAAGATCGGAGTAACGTCTCTTCCACCATTGGGTTGTCTCCCGGCGGCAAGGACCATTTTCGGTTTCCACGAGAAAGGATGTGTTGCAAGAATCAACACAGATGCTCAACAATTCAACAAGAAGCTTAACTCGGCCGCCTCAAAGCTCAAGAAGCAATACTCAGGCCTTAAGATCGTCGTTTTCGACATCTTTAAGCCACTATACGACCTCGTTCAATCCCCTTCGAAAAACGGTAAATTCTCTGTCACATGTAAAACTATACATGTAATCGCATTGTATCCAATAACGTTTCCGATCTTTTTATTGCAGGGTTTTCCGAAGCAACAAAAGGGTGTTGCGGAACGGGAACAGTCGAGACGACTTCTCTCCTGTGCAACCCGAAATCGTTCGGAACATGCCCGAATGCTACTCAGTATGTGTTCTGGGACAGTGTTCATCCCTCTCAAGCTGCTAATCAAGTTCTTGCTGATGCTTTGATTACTCAGGGCTTCGAGCTTCTCGGCTAAATGCCTCGTTCCTGATCGATATCTGTATTACCGAAATATTACAATCGATTTGTCAAACGATTATATCTTTCCGATTTGTCCATGTACTGTCATCAATCCATGAATGATACATTTGTTTTGTACTAGAGAAGAAGAAAAAAAACTACACAGAAGGTTCTGGCATTAACATTCACTTTGATGATTTCCTTCGCGGCTTCTGTTCTTCGGAAACTGAATCATCGAAATGTAATCTTCTGAAACCCGATGATCAGATCAATATCCGTAGCGTCGGCTAATTGGTTTGGAATTTTCTGCTTTCACTGCCACAAGCATGAGAGGATTTCAGCAGTACAGCTTTCAGAACCGATGTTGCTTCGTCTAGGCTCACAGTAGATTTCGAAGCTCGGGAGGGCATTTCCGCGTCTCCAACTCCGTTTCCTTTGCCACCGAACCTATGTTTCCGACTTCCAACATTTCGGGTTTTGCCCTTAAGGTTTGGCAAGAAAAAAAAATATCAACTAAGGAAAAACTTGAACTAATTCAAGATATACTTATGGATACAAACCTTGCTTTTGCTGAACACCGTTCTTCTGTTCACCTCATCCTGTGGCTGGTTTTTCTTGGACTGTGATTCTCCCGCAGGAATCTGAGATTTTGAAGGAAAACCCAAGAAAAATGAGAGATCGTGGAAAACCCGAACGTTAGCAAGGAGGAAAAGATCGGAAGGAAATGCTTACATATGAGGTGACGTAGTTCGGGAGGAATGCCTGAGAACCCATGTAGAAAGAGGATCGCCCGACATGGAACGGCTGAAGATATGCGTACGAAACAGGCATCGGTTGATTGTGAGACTGGACGGGAAAACCTACAGGAAGGTTCGGAACGGAACCGTATGGAACTTGGCCTGACGGTTCAGTGAAGAACTTCTGCAACCTCTTGACCCGATCCTCTTTCCGCTCTGCCACTCGGACAACCAACGACTTTCCGTCGACAAGATATCCTACGAACAGAGTTCCATATTCATTACTCAATCAGTATGAATCCGATAAAAAGATCTGAGAATGTGAAGCCTCTCGAGTTATATAGATCATACCGTCGAGATCTCTCTTCGCCTGTTTCGATTCTTCGCGGTTAGAGAAGCACACAAACCCGAATCCCTTACTTAGACCATTCTCGTGACGCATCACTTTTGCAGAGACAACGTTCCCGTAGCGTCCGAAAATTTCTCGCAGCCTCGTCTCATCTACCGATTCACTCAGGTCCTTCACGTACAGATTGAACCGCTTCAACGTCTTAAACCCGGAAATAAACTTCTCCTTGAGTTCATATTTCAGCATCTCTGTCCTTTCAGCTTTGGTCTGAGCCCTTCCGACAAACAAATTCTTGGATCCTAACGAAAGAAAAAGTTGTCATGAAATCACAAATCCATATGACAAATCTCTTTGATCAAAGATGACAATTTCTTACCAAGAAATGCTCCATTCAGGGCCTCTGTCGCATTCCTCGCACTTTCTGGCTCGAAGAAACTCACATACCCGAAACCTCTCGATTTCCCGGCTCCATCCCTCGTGACCGAAACGCTAGAAACTCCCCCGTATTTGGCAAACGTTTCGAGCAGAAAATCCTCCGTCACATCTTCATCCAGATTCTTCACATAAAGGTTTGTGAAATCATTTTTCCCCGACTTTGCTGCCCTTTCAGTCTTCTTGATGAATTTCGCTACAAATCTACGATATAGAACAACATCAAGAAAATCATTGCTTTACTGAAACAATGTCCAAACTTTATATTGTGAACATACATACAGTTTCTTCCCGTCGATGAGAGAGCCATGGAGAGCAGACCGAGCGGATGCAGCGGATTGTTCTGAATCGAGCTGGACGAAGCCGAAACCTTTACTCTGCCCGTTTTCCTCGGCCACTTTGCAGGAAAGTATGGTCCCGAAGGGGCTGAAGATACGCTCTAAGCAACCACCGGTGATTGAACTGCCGAGGTTTTTAACGAAAAGGTTGCCGATTCCACTCCGACGCTGTGACTGATCCTTCTGGAACCACATTATCCTCATCGGTTTTCCCTTCAAGTCAGTGTGGTTCAAGCAAGCCATAGCATTTGATGCTGCGTCCAAGATAGAGCAAGAAGCAATACAGAGTGATATCAGAGAGGAAACAAAGACCTTCTTTTTCATCATTGGCATACAATCTGCCGGAAAACCCTAAACAGATTGCAAACAAATTTGGAGAAAAAAAAATGGAGAATTCAATCACTTGGCATAATGATACAATATGAGAAAGACAAAGGCATCGATCATTGCAGAAATCTTCTGGAAACGGAAAAAACACACACATGTGGGTATGAGATTTTAGGGTTTTAGATGGGCAAGAACGAAGCTACAAGAATTAATAAGCCAAGAGAACAAAAGGGAAGATGACCCAGAAACCACGATCCCAAACAGAGAACATGGAAACGAAGAACGTAAATTCAAAACAACAGATTTCGAGAAAAGAACGATGAAAACGAAGAGAAAGGAGGAATCTTTTTTTTTTCTCTTTTACCATTGAAGCGGGAATCGAAGTTGACGTAGCCGTAGCGAAGGGATTTTCCGGTGGCGGAGCAGCGGCAGAGATGGGCGGAGACGACGGGAACCGTCGAGGAGAATTTGGCGATGAGATCTTCTTCCGTCACGTCGGCACAAAGATCGCCGACGTAAAGCGAAGCTTTCTTCACGGAGCGTTGAGGGCTCCCAAACAGCGCCGTTTCTTGCTTCGCGCCCGCCATCGTTGTTCGTCTGAGGTTTTGTTCTTTTCTCGGGAGAGTACAAAAATGGAGCAGAGTGAAGTATTCAAGAAGAGAGAGAAGAAAATGGAGGAAGAGTTTGCAAAGAAAAAAAATGGAGGAGAAGAGAATGAAGCAGAGGACTCTGTATTTGTATGCGTCTGTTATAACTATAAGCACCAGAGCAGCCATTGGTACGGACTACACGCGCTGCGAGTACCGAAAGCATCCAACTCGCCAATCTTTTTGGAAATCCGAATTGGGTTTTTTTTTTTTGTCACGGAGCTGAATTAGTTTTTGGGCTTATTATTTTCAGAAATGTTATAATGGAAGGACTTATGTTACAGTCATTGCCTACGAATATTTACGTTTTTTTAATTATAGAAAATATAATTTGATTATACAATGTATTTAGATTTATTTGTTAATCACAGTGTATTTTTTTAAAATATCAATTATCTAACATACAATTAATTGTTTGTGGCATTGTCTATGCCTTCATAACAATAATCTTTTGTTGATGTTGTCAAAGTAAATTATATAAAATTACTAACAGACAGAGAGAGAAATAATAACATACATGTTTCATAATTTCTATTTTAAAATAATAACATAAAATTACACATACTATGACAAAACTGAATTAAACATATAATCGGGGATATATATTATATTATTTCAGTCGCATTTTCCAAAAAATACACACATTTAGATTATGATTGGTCCACATAACAACATGGATTTACAAAGACAGAATTATGTAACTAGTTTCAATGTTTTATTACTTTCTCTCAGAAAAAATATGACACAGACTTCTTATGAAGCTTCTTGTCCATGGGACCAGAGTTCTTCCTCAACGCCTCTGCGAATTTTATCAACTCTGTTTTCTTGCAGTGATCCGATCCGTTTCCCGTTCCGCCTTCCCGCAGTGTTCTGAGCACGGAATACGCGTTTTCGCTCTTGCGACGAGCGACTCCAACCTCTTCCTTCGACTCCTCCTCCTCCTCTTCCGCCGCTCTGTTTCGCATCAGCATCTGGAAATCCATCGAGTGCCTCGATCGAAGCCGAGGCTTTGAGCTGCTCGAAAGACGGTCCCGACAACCCTCGGGTGATCGAGTTTTCTCGTCGTGTATCTCTTTCCCGTGTAGAAGCCTCCTCAGTTTCCGCAGAAGGTTCTTCTTTCCCGGCTTGCTCGCTTTTCTCGCCAGCAATGTGTCCACTGACGAGTCGTCCAGGAATTCCGAGTCTGTGATCAGGGATTCGAGAGAAGACGACCATTGGTCATCGTCGAGGTCGAGATCCACCGTGTGTATCGTATTCTCGTCGAGCCCTTCTGTTTCGGCGGCGTACTCGAGGATTAGCCGCTTCGCTTTTTCTTCGGATTTCGGACTAAGAGTGGTGCTGAGATCCCTAGCGACGGTTTTACCCGTCGGTGGCTGGTAATTCCTGAGCTCGTAGCGTAAACAAGCGTTTATCCACCTGAGATAGACAAGTTCCTCGAGGTCAGTGCACCGATCCGATTGAATCTGCTCGATTCCCCTCTTCAGCTCTTCGTTTTCGTTCCTCAATCGGATACTTTCTTCTCGTAACAGTTCTATCTGCAAAAAAACAAGGTTGATTCCGATCAATATCGATAATCGGAGAAAGCCCTGGAATTCATATGTCGTACCTCGGGATCCTCCAGCTTCGAATTCGCCAGGAGCTGAGCCGATTCCAACTTCTCAGCCAGTTCCGAATTCTCGATCTGCAATCTCGTGTTCAAATCCTTTAGCTCATCGATCTCGGCCTCCAAATCTCTTAACCTTTGCACCATTTTATTGGCATCTGGATCTGGTAGACAAGCCTCGAGTTCTTGTTCTTGCAGCTTAGCCACTCGGTCGCGAAGGGACAAGATCTGATCCCTGTTCCGCTGAGTCTCGACCTGCAGTTTCTTCCTCAACGTCCGAATCCGAGACTCGGCAGCCTCAAGCTCGGAGACAACCTTTGCGTGGTCCGAACACTGGGTCCTGAGTTTCTGGTTCTCGGCCTGCAACGACTTGATCTTGAGATTAAAAACCCTAGTCTCCATCTGGTTTAGTTTCAATCTGTTCCGAAGCTCCATCGCGACTTTTTGCTGTTCCTTGAGGCTGTAATATTCCAACAGCTTCGCCTCGAGACTCCTCTCTCTCTCGTGAAGCGCCCTGATCGTGTTTCTCAGCTGTGAAATCTCGTTCTTGTCCTCTTCGCTCGGGAATGCCAAAGGAGCAGAAGCATCTGACCTCGGGGTTTCGTTGTCATTACAGACAGACGAGTCGAACTCTTTGATTACATCTTCGAACTCGGGCAAGAGGAACATGTTTTTGTCGTCCACGAGACATTGGCTGTTCGGACAGAGATCGACAATGGAACGATCGTTACTCTTCTCCATTTCTGCATCTTCTCCCTGACGATAACCGAAGCGTATCGAAGTTTCAGACAACAACTCTGATCTAATATGAACATTAAGAACCCGAAAACCGAAAAAAGAACCGTGAAAGTATCTCTGATTGATTTCAAACAAGTAAGTAAAAGAATCGATCTAGAGAAAAACCAAATCAGAAACTTTACTCGTCTTGTAAAGATTAGATTACAAAAGAACAGAACTTCTCAGTTCATGATATTTTCATATAAGCTGAAAACCAAACTAAAAATAGCAAGTCCAAGAACACAGACAGAATCAGATTTACAGGGTCAGTTAGTAACTTACGATGATGTGTTGATCCAAACAGCCTCCGCATCTATCATCTGAAACACCACAAATTCAAATACGGTCAGACCCATGAGCCATGAGTGACTGATAAATCAGGGAAAAAATATGATAAGGATCAAACACAAACACAGAAACTCACCAGGAGATCGAACGGGAAGAGAGGGCAAAGTGGGTTTTGTCCTCCGATGTTTCCGGAACCGCGAATAGAGAAATCCGGCGAAAGAGACGGCGATTGCGGCGCCGAATTGAAGCACAAGCAAGTTTATGTCTCGTTTGTGTTTAGCGATGATCATAACTACATAAACCCACCCGATAATTTCAAACTTCAAATCGTAAGATCAATTGGATGAAGATGACTGAATTCATTTGTCTCCATCTGCAAAGACCAGAAAATCAAACGACGAAGAACAAAAAAAATCTTTGAAAATTACACCAGAAAGCAACTAAGATCAAAACTCATATACCCAGAAAGAAACAAAAAAAAAAAAACCTTATTTGGCAGAAAGGACATTTTTTGAATCAAAAAGGTAGGAACTTTCCTTTCCGAATCACACCCATAAAAATACAAAATCAGAGATTTGATCCATAGACATTAAAATAAAGCAAAATCGAGGGAAGATCATCGAACCCATGTATCGCTCGATCAAGAAACAAAAGTCAAAAGCAAGATGAATAGAATCAAACAAGCAGAGTAGAGGAACTTACCAACCAAAACCAACGATCTAAAAGCTGTCCGAAACGCGTAGGTTTTTGCTTCAGAACTTCCGAATCAAATTCTCCCGAGTGGAGCAAAGACAAAAGGAAGAAACGAACAGTTTTTTTTGGGCATACACGAAATCTCAAGTGGGTCGAGGAAAGTTTGATTCTTTCGGATTTAAGAGCATGATGGGTACATTTCGCGGTCTGATGTTAATCGTTGGATGTGAAATTTATTCGTGGGGGCGAAGATTTGGTGGAGGAGAAGTGGAACACGAAGAGGAAAGCCAGAGGTATTGGTTGTACGATCACGAGGGAGGGATCGTGGAATCGAGAGTATCGCCAGGTGGATTGAAACGCTCTAGAGAGAAGAAACCATAACAAAGACATGATCTTTGCAGTAAATTATTTTTAAATTAAGTTTAATAATGCGACCTTTTCTGCTCATGAGGCTTGGTTGGTCGCCTAATAAAAAAATGCAATTTTCTATTGGAAATTTCTATGCCTATATATATATATATATATATTTGGTTCCTCCGCTGATGGATTGTTAGCAGATAAAGAAAGATCAAGCCGAACTTTGTTACCATTTCATAAAATAAATTTCTTTTCCCGGAATTTTGATAGTTGCAACAACAATAAAAAAAAAGCATGGGCATTCGAGTAATAAATGTATTACATAAAATTCTATTTACCTCTAGTAAATGGAAAAAAAGAGAGCATAAATTAAGTGTAGATTTTTTTTTAAAAAAATGTATTGAACGAAGATTTATAAACTTTAAATAAAAGTTTGCCTGTGGAAAGAAGGCATGGAAGTTGAAACCCAAAAAGGAGGATAAATGGTTGTGGTGGGTTCAGCCCGGCCCGGCCCGGCCCGTCTCGTTGTAATTTCAGAATTTTTGGGTCGGACTTGGCCCAATCCGTTTTTAACAAGAAAATTACTCGGCCCTTTCGGATAGTCTTAATTTAATTTGCGAGTCAAATAAATCGACGAGACAACATTAATAAAAATAAAACATAATAAAATTTGGAGAAAAAAAATCTTTTTTTGGCTCGTGAGTCTGTTATTGACTCGTCGAGTTGGTCTGTGACTCGAGATGACTTGACTCACAAAGTCGTTTTTTAAACGACACAATATATATATATATATATATATATAATTTATCGAGAAAATATATTATTGAGGGAAAATTTATTTTTATGATAAACATCTTTAAATTTATGGAGATATTTTACAGTTTTATTTAAAATTTTACATAATTTATAGAGAAAAAAATTATTGATTGAATGGGCGTGTGCCAAATCCACCACTGTATATACATATAATTTGATTTGTGTAAAATGAGTCGGTTTGGGAATTTATGTAATTATAAATAGACCACCCTAACTTGAAAATTATGAACATCTATCTCGAAAAAAAAATGTTAGAAAAAAGTAAAAGAAATAAAATATAAAAGGTTCCTCTTGTGAAAAATTTGAAGCAGTAGAAATCATCGATATGATTTTAAAGATTACGTTTTGAAAGATGGTATTAAGAATTCCGGACTACGTTTTTTAAATAAAATAAAACTATAACGATTCTGATTTAATTATCTTTCCAATAATCTTTACACAAAAAATCAATTTGTGTGAAGCAAAAAAAACTTTACGTGCGAAAATTATCCGTAAAATACTCAATTTTCTCGAGATAAATTTTCCATCTTTTTAATTTGTACCTCTAATATGTTTTTATTTATAAACAATCAAAAGACTCTTGAAAATAACATCATAAATTTAATTAACCTTTATCCCAACTATATCTCTTACAAAATTGAGAAAATTCAAGTGAATTTTATTCTCGAAAAATATTATAGAACAAGGGCATAGTCCCATAATCAGCCTTATTACTTGTACAAAATTAGAATTCGAACATGTCCGATTACTTATAATACGGAAGCGTTGTAAATGACTAAATTACCCCTATTAAATGTTTGCACGGCCACAATCGAAGACGTCAACCATTTTTAATTGAATGAAGGGGTCCAGTGGCCGTCCGTCAAGTCGTTAGGTGAGTGATGTGTTTGTAGATTTGGTCCGGAACCATCGATCTATCGACTGCCATGTTTGTATGAGACAGAAAAAAGCATATATCTCTATATATATATAGTTTTTGGATCCATGTGAATAATGATTATAAAACGACGTAATTGGAAAAATACGGTCACGTCAAAGACGTTGAAAATTTCATGAGTTACGGGTTTTAGGGCTAATCTATATATGTAGATAGAAGGAGACAAAGCAAGTTCGGTGACAACAAGAGGCACGTGACAAATACCTAATCTCATATTATTGGATATACGTACATGGAGATTAGAGTTGTATATTATAAAAATTAAATGTTCACACGCACCAAAGAGGCTCTATAAATACCCGATTATATATCAAAGTGTTTCATCACTTGGTTTTTTCTCACCTTGTCAAATTCAAATCACAGATCACAATAAAAAAGATGTTCATCTCTTCTTCTTCTTCTTCTTCTTTTCAATTTATCTTTGTTCTTATGATAGCGTAGTCTTGCTCTTTTTTTAGGTTATATTTTTGTCAAAGTATAATAAAACCATAGCCGTTCCGATTTAGGTATTGAATGGATGGCTTTTTATTTTGGGTTTTTGGCTTTAGTTTTGGTTTTTGGTTTTTTTTTTGTTTTTGGCTTTTGGTTTTTATAGATTTGTAAATCCAAAAAAATGTAGTTTTTAGTTTTTAGTTCATTTTTTTCCATAAAATAATTTTCCTACCTTTTATAGGAAAACCAAACTTAAAAAACTTGATTGACAATTTTTTGAGTTTTTAAAATCTAAAAATTCCAAAAGTTTCTCCATTCAAAACCTTAATTATCTTTCCAATAACCGTATGCAAAATATCCATTTGTGCGAAGAAAAAAAAATCTTAAGTGCAAAAAATTATCCGTAAAAATACTCAATTTTCTCGAGATAAATTTTCCATTTTTTATTTTGTACCTCTAAGATGTATTTATTTATAAACAACCATAAAATAATTAATTTAAAATTAAAGAATATCTTTTGGTTTAAAATGATATTCTCATTAAATTTAAATATTATTTTACCTATATAAATAAATGGATATTAAATATGAATAGTGAGATATTTATGTATGTATGTATGATTAGTTTCGTACAATCAATAGATGATTCATAAATTTATTTAACCTTAATCCCAACTATATTTCTTGGAGAAGGTAGGTGTTAGTTATGGAGCAATTAACTTACAATTACTAACAATTCTTTTTTGCTTTTTTGATAATTCATAATTTATTTAACCTTAATTCCAGCTATATCTCTTACAAAATTGAGAAAATTCAAGTGAATATTATTCTCCAAAAATGTTGAATTTGGTATTAGGAATATTACAACACATTCAAGATGTGCAAGTTATAGAATAAGGGTGTATAGTCCCATAATCACCCTTATCACTCGTACAAAATTAGAATTTCAAATGTCTGATTATTTATAATATTAATTCCACAAAAAACTCTAAACATGTTAAAATGTTTCATACAAAACCCTTCAAAGTGTAATCTCCTATTAAAAAAAAAGTATAAATTTGACAAAACCTTCTACAAATATTCAAAACTTATCATCTTCTTTCATATAAAACATTTGACTTATTTAATAAAAAATATTGCTGATGTAGTATAGTGAATTGCTGGCATGGCACTGACAGAATTATCACATCATCAATTTAAAAATTAAAATATATAAATAAAATTATAATACTTACACATATATGTATATATTGATATATATATATATGTATTTGTATATATATATATTTTTATATATGCATGTTTATATATATATGTATGTATTTGTGTGTATATATGTATATAGATATATGTATATATATTTGTATATTTAAAATTTTAAATTGATGATGTGGCACTAATGTGGTAACTCAATCAGCGTCATATCAGCGATCTGTCATGCCACGTCAATAATATTTTTTTGTCATACAAGTCAAAGGTTTTATATGGAAGAAAATGATAAATTTCTAATTTGTGTGGAAGTGTTTGTCAAATTCAAGGTTTTTTGTGGGAGAGTGCAAGTTGAGGGTTTTATTGTGATCCTATACCTTGTAACTCGTGGCCGTTGTCTATTGTGGTTTGGTGTACCTTTAATTTAGCGTCAATCTTCTTTATTATATTATTGAAGGTCCATCGGACATTTGATTTGATTGACTTTTTACACATCCTGTAACACGTTGGATTTGCTCCCTCAACGTCTTCGTACCATGTACTGGTACCTAAACTCGAAATACATTCGAATGGAAACATTTGTGATATATTGTTCAATTATATTATATCACGCAACAAATACCAACTACAATACATGACAACTTTTAATTAATTCATATGGTGAATATACTGACCATATAAACCCCCGACAATGCCATTTTAACTTCGATGTTCCACTTGCGAAGCCTCTTTCTTACTTGGTCAATGATTTTCTCGAATGTATAACGTCTCTAGTGAAATCATTCACAGAAATCCAAATCATTAACTATATCCACCAAATCATTGTTTAGATCTCTTCCATTGTGCCACGATCCAGGACTCCTCCAAGTAACAACACCGTAGCCAATTTCTTCCGATGGGCAATCTTATAGATTGGCGTTTTCTCCAATTGTCTAAGCACACTTTCCTTAGACACCTCTCTCTTTCCAAAGTCCTTAAGTCTGAATCTCTTTCCTCATGAACTCCTATCTTACTGGATATTCACCGTATTTCAATTTGTATATGAGAGTCTGTTCGATGATGGAGTACCTGATAGGTACACCGTTGATAACGAATCATAACTCACAATTGTCCTCCACCCTCACTGCATGGTTCATGAGGAATGCAGTCAGTGGCATCTTGAAGGTGTCGTCGGATTTGGTGTGAAATATATGTTGGAACTGCGTCTTCTTAATGAAGTGCGTCCATTTGTCATCTATTAATAACTCTTTAAGTTTCTTCATTGTCTTCGACGGGTAACACCTCATTTTGTATACATTAAAATTGATGAGACCATGTGACCTAAATGACTTTGTGGCGTGTGACCATGTGACCTAAATCACCATATCATCTGTGACCTTGTGTTGTTCTGACTGTGACAGCTCAAATACCGTAGAAGGATGGAGAGTGATCGTCGGTACAAGAGGCAGAACGACTCCTGATGAGCTTCTAGGTATGGGGTACAAGGATGAATCGAAGGCACCACAATGAGATGAATCCAAGAGTTGTATAGGTATAAAACTACACAGTCAAAGATAAGTTAAAAGAATTGATTGAGCTACTCATAGCAACAAGATGCATCTATATTTTTGGTTGTCTATCTCAAGAGAACTCCAAAATTAATCGTATTCATTGTGGAGTAGTCTTTGGATAGGTGATCTCTTGGAAAGTACTTTCTGGGATGTGTGCGGGTGAAGAAAAAACACACTAAAAGGTCTCGTGTTGGTGGTAAAGACAACTTTGATATCCCGTAACGATCTCGGATCATTACAAATGGTATCAGAGTCGGTACTCTCCCAGTATGGTATGGTTCGAAGACAAACCAGGCGAAAGCTGATAGACCTGTGATAGCCCGAATACCGTAGGAGGACGGGAAATGCTCGCCGGTGCGAAAGGCACGAACAATGGGCGACTCCTGACGGACTTCTAGATAGAGGGTGCAAGGATGAATCGAATGCACCAGAATGAGAGAGATCCAAGAGTTGTATAGGTATGGGACTACACAGTCAAATGAAACTTAAAAGAATTGATTGAGCTACTTATAGCAACAAGATGCATCTACCTTTCGGTTGTCCATCTCAAGAGAACTCTAAAGTTAAGCGCACTCGCTTTGGAGTAGTTTCAGGATGAGTAACCTCTTAGAAAGTACTTTTTGAGATTTATACGAGTGAGAACAAAATACCAAAAAGCCAGAAGGTCTCATGTTGGTGTGTGATGACAGTTTTGATATTCTGTAGTCATTACAGTGACCATATAATCATGTAACCTAAATCACCTTATGACTTGTTGCCATCTAACTTGTAACCGCACAATCGTGTCACCTAAATGATCATCTCACATGTGACCTTGCAACGATACAATCATGTCACATATACGCCCAAAATTTTAGTTCAAATCTTCAACCCACACTCAAACTCAATAACAAAAAATCTCAAAATCAAACAAATATGCAAACAAATCGAAATTTAACTTACCATGTGTTGGTCTAACTACACAACCTCCATCAAATTCTCATTCTCGTTTGAAGATTATGACAAAGACAAATTTGAATCCATGTTCTATGTTGTCGTTGTTAGTTCTTCTTCTAATATACTCAGATTTTGTTGGGTAAATAAAATTTGTGAGAGAAAACAAGAATTAGGCCATAAATCGATGAGAGAGAGTGGAGAGTTCGCCGATTTTGCAAAGAAAAGAACAATCACGATTAAGAGAGAGAGATGGAAGAGATCATGGTTTAGAGGAGAGAGGGTTGAGACGTGGCCTAGAGGAGAGAAAGAGAGTCGTTTCTTCCATTGAAGTTATTTTATTTAATTTTACTTTATTTTTTTAATCTATCACAAGGTTTTTTGGTCTTTTCATTATGTTATGGAGATTTTTGTATCTTTTATTGTGTTTTTGCTTTTTTGTTTTCAATTTTTTGTTCGGAGGGGTAGAAGAAATAGTTGTAACAGTTTAAAGATATTTCAGATATTTTCTCATTCTACTTATTTTCTAATGGAAAAATAGAGATTGGAGAAATGTTTGTGTTATTTAAAATGGTAATATACTACGTATAAAAACAGTCGCAAAATTTGGCGGATTAATGATTCGGTATAAGCTCCTATGTTTTATTTATAATATGAAAGTTCACCGAATCTTTGACCTGACCAGAGACGGATCTACATACAAGTGAATGGGGGTACATGCCCACTCAATCAATTAAAAACCATTTTTTTTCCATACAAATTATAGAAAATTTTGAATAAAACTGTATAATGTCCCATAAAATTAATATTATTTATAATAAAAATAAAATTGCCCCCTTTAAACTAATTTTCTAAGTCCTCCATTGGACCCGACTATATCTTCCAAAGGACTAATAAACAGGATCGTCTATTAATAAGTGCAAACGGTGCGCCGGAATAGAGTCTCCAAATTTTTGTGGCCCCTTATTAACTAAAAATATATCGGGAGGATATCGGGAGCGCGTTCCGCTCATATTCAAGAGTTGCAGATAGCTCTGACAACTATCCCCGCCCATTCCGATGATGTCGGACCGGACATCGCGCTATGGAAGCATGGAGTAGACGATTTCAGAGTCATCTTCTCGGCGGCCAAGACGTGGGCACTACTCAGGACCCCGTCGAACCCAGTAGATGGCACCCACTCGTCTGGTTTAAGCTAGCGACACCGCGATACTCTCTAGTGCAATGGCAAGTCTTGATGAAGCGGTTTCCAACCAAAGACCGTCTTATCCGATGGGGTCTTGCGATTGATCCTCGTTGTTGCCTTTGTGATGTGGTTGATGATGAAACACATGACCACCTTTTCTTTCAATGTTCCTATAGCTAGAGTATCTGGTCTGTATTTGCAGGTAAATGTCGGAGAAATCCCCCTATAATGTTGGATAATTGTATCTGCTGGTTTGAACAGTAAGGAGTTGATAGACACAAACATCGCTCACTTATTGCCAATGTGATCTTGCAGGTAACAATCGTTTGATTTGGAAGGAGCGAAACGAGCGAATTTTTCGGGGAAATAGGAAGCCCTCAAGCGTCATACAACTACACATGGACAAGACATTAGGAACATTCTCTTAGCAAAACAACAGTTTATGCCGGGCAAATATGTTACACTTTTGGAAAACTGGTTCCGCCTTACTTTATCGACGAGTAGAAGTTTTTTGGATTAAACTTTCTTTTCTTCCACATGGTATCCAGTGGCTAAATCTTCAGGGGCATAGTACCGAGTTGTAAAACGCTAATATTTATTGGTATATATTCACATTTTACAAAAAAAAACTAAAAATATTAATAATATATAATAATTAAAATTAATTATTAGTAATGATGGGTAACAATTTTTTTAATTTTATTTTAATATTATCATTATTTTAATATATAAATTAATATTTTTTATCTAAAATTTAGAAAATGTAAAGTGCCCCAAAAAATTATGAGACGCCCTGCCGATGAAATCCATGTGAATCGAAAAAGAGTTTTGCTCCTTTCTTTTATCGGTTGAGCCACCTCATGTTTGAATAATTGAATCTACTGATGGGATAAATTAAAATGGTGAAACGGGAGAGCAATTTCTTAGAATCCATATGAGTGATAGAAGTTCCATGCAATTAATAGTAGCGGACTGTCAATGTCCTATGTGGTACTAGGGTGGGGTTTTGGGGGTTGGCAAAAATATCCCAACCACATATATATTAATTGCAATGGACCAGAAAAATATTTCAATTCGAATTATATATAGATTATATTCGGGCTGTATATGTAAATTAACGATTGGATTGGGATTTCCAAAATAATTATAAAAAAAAAAATCTGGATTTAGCTATCAGAATTATTTAGTTACGCGACATGTTTTCTCCTCTCATGACTAGATATCTTATTATTTGAACATAACTCAAATTTGGATGAGGGATTCAAAAAGTTCGATATTCCGAAACAAAAAAAAATATGTGGATACCCGATTTATATCTGTGAAAGATTAAATGACTAAATTGACCCTGTGAAAATGTTTTCACACGGCCACATCGAAGACGTTAAACATTTCATTAAATTGGACGGTCCAGTGGCTGGCCGTCAAGTCATTGCAAGGGCTACGTAGATGTGGTCCGGACCCCATATATCCCTCTACTATTATTTTTCTATATATACTTCAGCTCACACGAAGAGGGTCTACAATGGACCATAGTTTTCGGATCCATGCGAATAATGATTATAAAACGACGTAAATAAGAAAAATACGGTCACATCAAAGACGTTGGGCAATTCACAATTAAGTTATGGGTTTTAGGGTTAAGCTATGCTACAATGTGTATGCATCATATCACATTAGATTAAACCGGTGTTCACACGTGGAAGAAAATCTAAACCGGTGTTCACACACCACAGAGGCTCTATAAATACACGTTTCTTCTTCTTCTTCTTCTTCTTAATGTTTTTGTCAATTAGAATCTTGAATATATTGTGTGTGTTTGGTTAGGCGTTCCAAAGATTATTAAAATCTGCGACGATGTCTGGTAATGGAGCTGATTCCTCGGTCTCTTCATCTTTTGTTAGACTGCCACTGATGGGTGGTAACGGAGGAAGCGCATGGGATGATGGAGTCCACGACCGATTAAGCAAAGTGTATGTCGGAAAGGGTAAATCTTGTGTCGTTTATATCGAGTTTGTCTACGACAAGAACGGCAAAGCCACAGCACATGGGCATGGGCATAAACCAGACGAACTTGAAGAGGTTCTTTCGATTTTTCATATACATGTATACCAATAACTTTGTATATTCCGTTTGCATAATATACGATATAACACATCTATGAGACCTTTTCTTTTATGTATAAAACAAACGTTGCAGTTTGTGCTTGCTACAAATGAATACATCACATCAGTAGAGGGATCCATCAGCTACGTCGATCAATATGGTCGTAGTCTCGTTACGTCCCTTGCCTTCAAAACATCGACGGGAAAAACCTCGAAAGCATTTGGCTATGTGTCTGATAACAAATTCGTGGTCGAGAACAATGGTCGGGAGCTTGTTGGGTTCCATGGAAGGTCAGGTGAAGCTCTTGATGCTATTGGTGCTTATTCCTCGACCTTGTCTCCCTCAACTAAATTGTCAGCCCAAGGAGGACCTGGAGGGGACACGTGGGATCATGGAGTTCACGGGACTTTAAGAAAAATTTATGTCGGAAATGGTAATTCTTGTGTTGGTTACATCAAGTTTGTATATGACATAGGCGGCAAAGAGGAGATACAAGAACGTGGGATTAAAACAAATGAACCGAAAATGGTATTTTCCTCTGTTTAGAAATGTTTACATGTAGTTTTGTATATCGTATGATCTTTGAATATAAATGCTTGAACTATTTACAACAATAATAATGGGGATGTTCCCCTCGAATTGAATTGTTGCAGTTTGCGCTTGATGATGACATAGGCGGCAAAGAGGAGATACAAGAACGTGGGATTAAAACAAATGAACCGAAAATGGTATTTTCCTCTGTTTAGAAATGTTTACATGTAGTTTTGTATATCGTATGATCTTTGAATATAAATGCTTGAACTATTTACAACAATAATAATGGGGATGTTCCCCTCGAATTGAATTGTTGCAGTTTGCGCTTGATGCTTACGAATACATTACATCAGTGGAAGGAACCGTCAGCCACATTGCCCAATACGGCAATCGCCTCGTTACTTCGCTTACATTCAAAACATCAAAGGATAGAACCTCCCCGACATTTGGATTTGCAACTGGCCAGAGATTTGTACTCGAGGACAAGGGTCGTGTTGTTGTCGGGTTCCATGGGAGATCCGGCGATGCAATCGATGCTCTAGGAGCTTATTTCTCGATCTCGCCCTCCCCCACTAAGCTGCAAGCCATAGGCGGTTATGGAGGAGATCCATGGGATCATGGGGCTTATAACACCCTAAGAAAGGTGTATGTCGGAAATGGAAACTCTTGCGTAGGTTACATCGGGTTTGTCTTTGAAAATAGTGGAAAACAAGAAATACGTGAGCATGGGATTAAACCAAAAGAACTGAAAGAGGTGCTTTCTACTCCTGCACGCAGTTTTCATTTCCTATTTGAATGATTTCTTGTGACAGAATTGTTTTCTTTTTTTGTTTTTTGGATTGAATTTGTTGCAGTTTGTGCTTGATCCTTACGAATACATTACATCAGTGGAAGGAACCGTCAGCCACATTGCCCAATACGGCAATCGCCTCGTTACTTCGCTTACATTCAAAACATCAAAGGATAGAACCTCCCCGACATTTGGATTTGCAACTGGCCAGAGATTTGTACTCGAGGACAAGGGTCGTGTTGTTGTCGGGTTCCATGGGAGATCCGGCGATGCAATCGATGCTCTAGGAGCTTATTTCTCGATCTCGCCCTCCCCCACTAAGCTGCAAGCCATAGGCGGTTATGGAGGAGATCCATGGGATCATGGGGCTTATAACACCCTAAGAAAGGTGTATGTCGGAAATGGAAACTCTTGCGTAGGTTACATCGGGTTTGTCTTTGAAAATAGTGGAAAACAAGAAATACGTGAGCATGGGATTAAACCAAAAGAACTGAAAGAGGTGCTTTCTACTCCTGCACGCAGTTTTCATTTCCTATTTGAATGATTTCTTGTGACAGAATTGTTTTCTTTTTTTGTTTTTTGGATTGAATTTGTTGCAGTTTGTGCTTGATCCTTACGAACACATTACATCAGTGGAGGGAACCTATGGCTATATCACTCAATACGCAAATCATCTGGTGACTTCACTTACCTTCAAAACATCAAAGGGCAGAACCTCCCCGGCATTTGGATTTGTAACTGGTACAAGATTTGTCCTCGAGAACAAGGGCCATGTTCTTGTCACCTTCCACGGGAGATCGGGCGATGCAATCGATGCTCTCGGAGCTTATTTCTCGATCTTGCCATCCCACGTAATTAGGTTTCCAGCCCTAGGCGGTAATGGAGGAAACGCATGGGATGATGGTGGCTACAACCGCATAAGGAAAGTGTATGTCGGGAAAGGTATGCAGTGTATAGGTTATGTCAACTTCGTTTATGACAAGGGTGGAGAACTCGACCCACATGAACATGGCACTAAACGAGACAAACCAGAAGAGGTGATCATTCATATAAATATATTCAAGATTTCCCATTAACAAATATATATATATATATATACATATATATTAAAGATTTCACATTCTCTGCCATTTTTTTTCTTACAAACATGAATTCTTCTGGTCGATGATTGCTACAGTTAGTGCTTGATCCTGATGAATACATCACTTCAGTGGAAGGAACGTACGGTCTGGTCCGAGCATATAACGCTCGTCTCGTTACGTCACTTACTTTCAAAACGTCGAAAGGGAGGACCTCGCCGACGTTCGGAGTTGTGAACAATTCGAGATTTGTGTTCGAGAACGACGGTCGCGAGATTGTCGGGTTCCATGGACGGGGAAATGAAGCTATCGATGCTCTCGGAGCCTATGTTCTCACTGTCTGATGAAAACGGACACATTGTATTATGTCTGTTAAGAATAAGCGGCATGAGTTCTTCATGTTTTCAGTTCTATGTATTGTCTCGTATGCTATTGTCTTTGCTTCTTCATGAACAATAATGGATCGTGATTAAATACTAGAACCGATCAAAGCTATTTTATTTTAATTTCGAGCGGTTATTGTATCGATTACGGACCGAACCGAAGTGTTGTAATTCGGTTTGGGATAAATCTATTTACTTGCTATGGTTGTGCTTTTAGTCCTCTTTTTTTTTTCTCCAATAAATCACAATTTTGCATTCGATTAGATTCGTGATGTCATCAGATGGGTAAATCCGTATGTCCTGAAAAATATTGAACGTCATGTCCAAAACTCTATAATTATATTTTAGAAAATCATTTAAAACAATTTCTTTTGGGATACTGCTGCTTCAACGTGATTTTTTTATTTATCAAATACATATTATAATTTATTTGGATGATAAAATGAAAACCGACATTTATTTGGACATTTTTGTTCGAAAATTATAATCGTTCTTGTCATATTTCATTTTGACTTGGTGATAAATACTACGACCTCACAATGGCCCAGAATACCGATTTTATTTTGTGTGAATCTCAATTAAATTATACACATATAAACGTTTTTTCAAAAAAAATCATAGAATATGATATAAATTAATTAGGGGCATTATCAAAAATAGCTTTATTTTACTATTTTGATTTCAACATATACCCTTCTCCACTTGTGACCATGTGATCCGAAATATAGTGTGGTCACATGTTGATCTCATTACTCGTAACGTTAAATTTATGTTGTTTTAATCAAATGATTAATAAGATATATAAGGTATAAACATAATGAATTAGCGTGGTCATTATAAATTTAATGTTATAATCAATAAAATCAAAATTTGATCACACTATACTTTGGATCAGATGGTCACAGTTGGGGAATGGAATGTGTTAAAGTAAAAATAGCAAAGTAAGGATGTTTTTTATATAATGCCAATTAATTAAATATGGTAAAAAAAAATCCAATTTTTATTTATTTAGTATCCGAACATTTAAATATATGAACATTAATGAGATGGAGATAAGATACTCTTAATAGTCAGGTTAAATTTTGGATTTCAACTATTGGATTTAGGGTATCACATATACCTAAATAGTAAATACATAGTAAAATATCCCATAATGATCTTATTCATTTATTATATTTATAAAATTATCTTAAAAAGACTTTTAACCCTCCTCCCTCAAGATGTCAAATGCAAATATTCTCTCTCTCTTGACTCTTCTTTTCTCTCTCTCTCTCCTGAAAGCTGCATGCACGGCCAGTCTCTCACACTATCTCTCTCAAACTCTCTCACAACCACGTTGTCCCTTTGTCGGTGGAGCCCGCTCGGCTCTATTTCCTCCATGGTCTCCTCCTTACTTGTCCCCACCTCCTCCTCCTCCACCTGGCCCACTGGTTAATAACCCCTCTAAACGACGTCGTTCTAGGGTTCCACCGCCCCGCCTCAGCAGGTCCCTAATCACATCTCGACATGATTATCCAAATCTCCGGTTTCGAACCTCACTAAACCAAAATCGGATATAAATAGCCAAAATACGACTTGTCGTCAAAGGCATAACAATGGTCGTTTTACCTCGGACTGGAATGTTTTGGACTAGGGTTCTTGTTCATATGAACACAGATGCAAGAGTACTTTATGTTCTTCCTCTGGGCGGATTGAAATGGGATCTAAACTTTTTTTTGTTAAAGAATGGAATCTAAACTTGTTTCAAATATAAAACATTTCATCTACAGGAATTTAAACTTGTTTATTTTGCACCGGCCAGGAAACTTCGACCATGCGGCGGAAATGGAGGGACTGCATGGGATGACGGTGCGCATGGCGGCGTGAGGAGGATATACGTCGGACAAGGCGATTCGGGTGTAGTTTTCGTCAAGTTTGTGTACGATAAGGGCGAGAAAATGGTAGCTGGAAACGACCACGGGAAGAAGACTATACTCGGAACAGAAGAGGTCATTTTAGGTTTCTATATCATTGATTTATAACCTAGGTTTCCTAAAAATATTGTCCCTCAACATGTGTTTCTTGTTCCGATTTCACAATCTTTTGCAGTTCGTGCTCGATTATCCGGACGAGTATATCACGTCGGTTAAGGGGCGTTACGATAAAATCTATGGAAAACGGGCAGAGATCATCACGATGCTTAGGTTCAAGACGAACAAGAGAAGGTCTCCGCCGTTCGGACTTGATGCCGGGACGGAGTTCGTGCTCGAGGAGAAAGGTAGCAAAATCGTCGGGTTCCATGGAAAAGCGAGCGACGTTGTTCATCAAGTCGGAGTTCATGTCTTGCCGATCTCCAACTGATCAAGCTCTAGATCTCGACCGTCGTAGAGACGAGATTTCTATATGAACCTGTCGAATAAGTGTGTTGTGTTTTCTGAACTTTATGTTTCTAGGCAATGTTCTCTTACGTTGTCTGTCTTTAATTTGTCTCCATGATGAATGATGCATTTCCCTAAAATAAACAAGGCTCGTAAAACTTGTCAACACACTACAAGAACTTGCGACGAAATTTTTCGTCGCATACAAAATTATGACGGAATACGATGGTTTAGCGACGGAATGCGGAAAAAAAATTTACGTCTCAAAGAGTCGTAATAACAAACATTGTTTGCGACGAAAATTTCGGTAGTAAATGCTAATTTTAATTATTTTTAATTTATTTTATTTATTTTTTAGAATTACCTACGGATTTGCGATGGAAATTTGCAAATACTAATTTCATTTTTTCGTTATTTTCCATGAAAATTTCAAATTTTCGCGGTTTTATTTCGTTTTGCGACGGATGGCGACGGTAATTTCCGTCGCAACAGGAAATAAAAGCACCGACTTCGTCTTCTTTCTTCAGACTTTGAAGTTTCAAAAAAAAAATCTTAATCTTCTCCAATCCTCTTCAAACGTTGTTTTCCTCTGAGATATATCAAGGTATGTGTGTATATATCTTGTATGTGTATGTATATGAGTGTGAATATGTATATATGAGTATATATGGATTATATGTATATTTTGTGTGTATATATCTGTATGTATATTTTGTGTGTATGTATGTTTATGTGTTGTTAATGTGTGTGTACTGTATGTATGTATGTATGTATGTATGTATGTATGTATGTATGTATGTATGTATGTATGTATGTATGTATGTATGTATGTATGTTTGTGAATGTGAATATGTTTGTGTGTGAATGTGTTTATATGTGTGTGAATGTGTATGTGTATGTGTGTGTATTTATGTATGTGTATGTATGTGTATTTGTATGTGTGTGTTGTGTATATGGATGAATATGTATGAATATGTATGAATGTGTGTTTATGTACGTGTATAATATATATGTGTATATGTATATGTATATATATATATGTACGTGTGTGTGTTTATGTATGTGTGTATGTGTATATATATGTATGTTTGTATATGTGTATGTAAATTTATGTGTATGAATGTGTGTTTATGTATGTGTATATGTATATATGTAAATTTATATGTGTATATGTATAATGTTTGTGTATATGAATGTATGTGTATGTAAATATATGTATATATATGTATACATGTTTATGTATAATATATTATTTTTTATATTTTTTAAAATTTTTAAAAATATCTGCGACGGATTTTTTCGTCCCTTTTCCGTCACAAATTTGCGACGGATATTTCCGTAGTTTTTCGTCGCAAAACGCAGATTTCTCTCGTCGCAATTTTGCGACAAATTAACGATCGACAAACTTTTGCGACACCGTTTTACGGACGAAAATTGTTCCGTCGCATTCCGTCGTAATTTCGGACGTTTCTTGTAGTGACTGCACATTGATCATAAGATTATCTCTTGTAAATTAGCACTTTTGATTTTCATTCGAATTATTTTTTTTTAACAAATCCTCCATTTTTCTTGTGGGAATTGAGAAAGAAAGAAAAAAATCAATCGTAAGAATTACCGATAATAATTCCTTGTGTTTTCCACTAAAACAAACCGGCATATTTGTACGCACGAATTTGGTGTTTGGGATTTTTTTTATTTGTTTTGGTTTAAATGCGGTTTGATACCGGTTAAGAAACAATTTCGGTTCACTTAAATTAAACCGCTATCTAATCCTACGTGTCTTCCACGTGTCATTTTATTTTAAATTTTAGGGAGATTCACATATTAAATATTGAACTTTAACCAAATTTCCAAATTAAATACTTAACTATCCCACTTCCAAATTAAATACTCAACTATATTGAAATTCACAAATAAAAACTAAACTTTTCAAATTTTAACATATACCTAAAGGATAATCCAAAACAAAACCCTTTACTTTTTTTTTCATCACAATTTAAACCCTATACTTTTTTTTATCCAAAAAAATCTTATACTTTTCAAAATTTTAAAAATTATACACATTCATATACATATATTAATTATTATAAGCACAAAATCAATTACACATTTATTTTCCACAAAATTAATTGTACATTTATTTTATATATTTATATGTATATATATGTTTTATATATATGCGTGATATATGTATTTTTTTCCTAAAAAATTATTATATATATAAAAAACTATTTATTATTTGTATATTGTTTTATATATAAGAAACTATTTTCCAAGAACATGTTTTTTTGGACAATTGAACTCATATAAAAATAATAAATAGTTTCTTATATATATAATGATTTTTAGAAAAAAATACATATATCAATTTATGTAAAATAAATGTGTAATTAATTTTGTAGAAAATAAATGTGTAATTAATTTTGTGCTTATAATAATTAATATGTGTATATGAATGTGTATAATTTTTAAAATTTTGAAAAGTATAAGATTTTTTTGGATAAAAAAAGTGTAGGGTTTAAACTGTGACGAAAAAAGTAAAGGGTTTTCTTTTGGATTATCCTTAGATATATGTTAAAATTTAAAAAATTTAGTTTTTATTTGTGAGCTTCAATATAGTTGAGTATTTAATTTGGAAGTGAGATAGTTGAGTATTTAATTTGGAAATTTGGTTAAAGTTCAATATTTAATATGTTAATCTCCCTTTATTTAATTCTGTTAGGTTTCAATCGGTTCAAACACATGGATATTTAATAAATACAATGGATATTTATAAGGGTAAAATCCCGGAAAAATCTCGAACTTGCTAAAATATAGAAAAAAAATCTTGAACTTAAAAAGTTGTCAATTAATACCCCGACTTGAAACTTTTAATTGGAAAATACCATGAACATGCAATTTGGTAGTTTATAAAACCGTTGACCACTTTGACCAAATTTTCAGGCGAACGGAAGTCTACGTATTATCGGATTGTTGATGACATCACAAAAACATCAACGATTTTAATTAAAAGTTTTACACAACAGTAATTTTTTTAAAACGAAAACCGGCTAAACCTGGTCTTATTGGTTTATGTGCTCTATGTTGTTTTACGATATGAGTAACGTCGTTGGTCGTGGCTTATTTACTAAATTTATAATAATTAAATAATAAATTTAAAATATAAATATTATCAATTTAATTTATTTTTAAGTAAAAAAATAATTTTATTATAAATATTATTAAAAATAATCATTATTAAATCTAAAAATTATATTATTATATATTGTTTTTTATTAAAATATAGCACTAAAAATAATATCAAATCATAACACTAAACAAAATCATCACCAATATATATATTAATGTTTTATATAATTTCTAATAAAAATATTTTAGTTTTTTTGTCAAAACGCCGAAAACCGCTACCAAAACGCAAGTTGGAAGCTGCGATTAGAAAACATGGTTGCGGTTGCGGTTGGTTGCGGTTCAACCAGTCAGTTTTTCAACCGCCTGCAACCGCCGGAAATCACAACCGCTCCGTTTGCGGATGGCGGCGGTGCAACCAGTCGCCCCTGAGAAATAAAAAATAAAAATGTGTTTCATATATTGTGAATCGAGTTGTAACGTAGAGTTGTGATACAAACAAAACCGTGATTGTGACGAGCACCAAAATACAAATTGTGATTTTTTTATGTTGTATCGTTTCCGTCCAATCAAAATCATAAATGACGTGGATATCCTATAAAATCATATGAAATGGTTCATTTATGTATATTATATTTGGCCACAAAAATAAATTTGATATTTATGGACAGACCATTATAAAGGATACACATTTTCTCTAGGGTAGTTAACAGTGAGGGTCAGTCACATTTTAGTCATGTGCTTCAAAAGTAGTTAGCCCATGACTTTTTTTTTGGTGCTTCATATAATCGTATAATACCATAGTACCTAACTGCAGTAATTAACAACTTAATTAATGGTTTAATAGACAATTTTCACATTGCTTAATTATATAGAAGCATTAGGCTATTACCATATGAAATTAATCACTTTGTTAATTTGTATTACTATAAACTAATAGAAGTTTTTTGTGTGAAAACTTGTAAAATAAAAGTATTTTTTCTCGAATTTTCATCTTTTGCTTTAATGTCTTATATAATGGTTTGTTTGTCATTAACCAACAAACAAATTTTTTTTTTCAAGACGTCTAATTTGAAAATAATAATTCAATTCGAGTTTGTTAACTAATGCCTGGGTCCATTACCGTCACGTGTACCACGTGTGTAACCGATTGATGAAACTCGTGTGTAGAGGATTATAATATAAAATTAAATAATACAATTAATTCCTGTAATCCCAATATGAAAAAATATATTCTTTTTTTTATAAGTAGTAGGTTCGTCGGGCCTTCGGCCCACTTAATCTCCTGGGACCGGAGTCAGCCTTTAGACACGCAATTAATTGCGTTCCCTCCTCCCCACCAATGGATTCGCATCCGTCGAAGATGACTTTGTCACCTCTTCGCCAATGGCCGCCCACTTTTGGGTGAAAAAAAAAAGATCATTCATGGATAGTATATGTATTTTTTTACAACATATATTCTTACAACATATTGGGTCGTATATGTATTTTTTTTTTCCCACTCATGGAATTTAATAATATTATAAAAAGCTCAAATATTAAAGCTCTACGATGCGATTTATGAAGTTTGTAAAATTAGAGAAAATAATAATATCGGTACCAAATGGGGCAATAAATAGACATCGTTGGAGCGTCACCTACAACTCACTCTTGCGTTTCCTCTTCTCGATTGGAGAACACAAACCCGAAGAAGGTGAAATACATCTTATCTTTATTTTAATATGTTTTATTTAACATTTTTTAATTAAATTTATTTCTCAAATATCTATTTTAAAGTACTTATTATATGATTTTCGTGGGGAACTAGGATACCCATAATTATTTTTTTAAATAGAATTTTAATTTAACACGAGGATTATAATTTAATCTACAGAAAAATTCTCGAGCTGTTGTTCATCAAATTTCCATTTATTTTTGTCAAGTTCTGGGTTGTGGGTATCTATCTAATTGATAGAAATGATAAGTTGTTGCCAAAAATTGAATAACATGAAAATTAGAATAAAAATCGTTACTAGTGTGATAGTTTGATCGGTTTGATTTATATAAAGGACAAAAATTAGAGCAGCGTTTCTTATTCAAACCCACAAAAAATCTGGAAAAAAAACATATTATTTTTTATTAAGTTATTGTAAAGATGGTTTTCAATAATAGAGGGCTCAAAAGTCAAAAGCAAAAGTAAAAATGGTAGGAAAAAGTATAAGTAAACAAACAATAAAGTAGAAGTTAAAAAAAAAAACTTTTTTTACTTTCTCCATTTGTTTGCTCATGGACTAATCTTAAATTGTCCAAGTACCGCGACATATCACTTTTTTACAGATCTGAAATCGTAGACTCATATTGGTTTTTCATCCCTCTTCTCGATACTGGTTCCTTGTGTTCCATGAAACATTATGAAGCAGTTGTGTGTTGTTTTCATGTCGTTTGAAGATCAAAAATGGCTGCGATGTCGAAAAAGATGGGAGCTTATGGCGGCGGCGGGGGGAGTGGATGGGACGATGGAGCTTACCTCGGGATAAGAAAGGTGTTCGTCGGACGAGATTTCACGCGCATAACTTACGTCAAGTTCGAGTACGACAATGGAGACAGATTCGAAACACGTGATCATGGGAAAATCCAGCAACAACCTCAAGAGGTGATAATATACAACTCCCATCACGACTATGAACATTTGGATAGACAGGGCTTGATTATTCAATTCAGCGGAATATGTTACGAGAAACCCTAATCCTAAACCCTATACCCTCGCAGTTTGCGCTCGACTATCCGAACGAATACATCACATCGGTGGAGGGAACGTACAGAAATGTCAAAATCTGTGGTGGTACGGACGTTGTTACGTCCCTTGCCTTCAAAACATCAAAGGGGAGAACCTCTCCGAGGTTCGGCTCTGATGTCGGCACAAGATTTGTAATTGAAGACAAAGGTCGTAGAATTGTCGGGTTCCATGGACGAACAGGAAACGCTCTCGATTCTCTCGGCGCTTATTTCGCCCGAGTTTCATCGATCTCGTATCCTATCAAAGAACTGGATGCACAAGGTGGCAATGGAGGAGATCTCTGGGATGACGACACCTACGACGGTGTAAGAAAAGTTTATGTCGGAAGAAATGATCATTGCGTGACTTACGTTAAGTTCGACTATGATAAGGGCGGTCTATTGGAATCGCGTGATCATGGGAGGAGGGCCCAATCACCGATAGAGGTCTTTCCCTGCTTCTATACTTTGAAACTTTTCATATAGTTTGATTTTTATGTACTTGATTTGCTTATATATATGACCACCTTTCTCTCTACGTGGAAAATTATTGCAGTTCGTGCTTGATTACCCGGAAGAGTATATCACATCTGTGGAGGGAACTTACAGCTTCGTTGGCCATTTTGGCAATACGATTGTTACGTCACTTAGCCTCAAAACGTCTAAACAAAGAGCTTCTCCATTGGTCGGAATCGTGACGGGTACGAAATTTGTACTCGAGGACAAGGGGGGGAAACTTATCGGGTTCCATGGACGTTCCGGCCATGCCCTTGACGCCCTCGGAGCTTATTTCGTGCCGAGTTCCTTAACTCCTCCTTACAAATCGCACGCGAAGGGTGGAAGTGGTGGGAATGCTTGGGATGATGGCACCCATGACGGTATAAGGAAAGTTTACGCCGGGCGGAACAATTCGGATATATCCTATGTTAAGTTCGAGTACGACAAGGCTGGAAAATTTCAAGCCCATGATCATGGAAAGATAGTGCAACAACCTATCGAGGTAGGCGATTTCATGCTCATACAATTCAAAGTTTTGTATATAGTTTGAATTTCCGTTTGATTATATGTGTTGACAAGCATTTCTTTTATTGGAATATGTTGCAGTTTGCGCTTGATTACCCGAACGAACATATCACGGAAGTGGAAGGAACCTTCCGCAACGTTGTAACGTCGCTTAGTTTCAAAACATCTAAGAAGAGGACATCTCCTACGTTTGGTGTTGTGTCCGGTACGAAATTTGTGCTCGAAGGGAAAGGAAGCAGAATCGTCGGCTTCCATGGTCGGGCGGGCGATGCCGTCGACTCTCTCGGAGCATATTTTGGTCCGATAATATCTCGATCCAAGAAACTTGAAGCGCATGGCGGAAACGTAGGGACTGCATGGGATGACGGTCCACATGACGGTGTGAGGAAGATATACGTCGGACAAGGCGATTCGGGTGTAGTTTTCGTCAAGTTTGTGTACGATAAGGGCGAGAAAGTTGTAGCCGGGGACGATCACGGGAAGAAGACGCTCCTCGGAACAGAAGAGGTCATTTCGTTTATCATTTATAACCCAAGTTTCAATTCAAATTATCGTCCCTAACATGCGTTCTTGTTCCGATTTGGCAATCTTTTTTCAGTTCGAGCTCGATTATCCGGACGAGTACATCACATCGGTTATAGGGCGTTACGACAAAATCGCGGGAATTCAAGGCGAGATCATAACGGTGCTTAGGTTCAAGACGAACAAGCGAACGTCCCCGCCGTTCGGGCTCGATGCCGGGACGGAGTTCGTGCTCGAGGAGAAAGGTAGCAAAATCGTGGGGTTCCATGGAAAAGCGAGCGACGTTGTTCATCAAGTCGGAGTTCACGTCTTGCCGATCTCCAACTGATCAAAGCTCTCTCGTCGCAGAGACGAGATCAGTGTCCGTGTCTAACTACGCACACTGCCGAATAAGTTTGAATAAGTGTGTCGTGGAGTTGTGTTGTTGCTCTGTTTCTCATCTTCTTATGTTGTTGACCTGCTTTTCGGTGTCGTTCTTTGTTTGGTCGATGAGGGTTGCATTGTATATCGGTTATTAATCGAACCGAATAAGAGTGTATTAGGGTTTCTTACGTTTTTATTGTATTCCTCCCCGTCTCTCAGACTCCCGGGGGACCTTCTTCATCGCCGTCCGACTCACCTTCTTTCTGCTGCCCACTGTCTGTGGATTCCTCACGCTCGGCCCTTGATTCCGATTTGTCGTTCTACTCTCTTCCTCAGTTGATTGGATTTGATTGAGGACTCTCTCTCCAGCAATCTACGTGGGTTGCTCTCCCTGCTTCTGCTTCTAGTTCATCATCTTTTGCTGCTTCCATCAGGAAGTTCATTCAGCATCCGTGTGCCCACGGATACCCAGATATCTTGCTTGGTTCTTGCTGGCCGGGCACTTGAGTCCAGGTATCAAATTTTGATACCCGAGCCCTTAGGGTACGAGTCTGGGTACCCTGTACGTATTCTCTGCGTATCTCACCCGTACCCACTCCTACCTTGAACCCTGCAACATTTGTAACTTGGTCTCTCACAGCTTTTTTTTTTTTTTAATTCTGAATTCTATTTCTCTTCTTCCGGATTTTCATAACAAAAATATTTGAATATATTAGATAAATTATAAAGAATAGAGGAAATAAAAAAAATATTAAAAAACTAAAATTAAATAACAAAACATATAGAGATTATCACACCAAAAAAACCAAAAAAACAGTGATAGTCTTGGTATTTTAAAAAAGTATAGCACATAAAAATTATTTATTTTTATAAAATATTTTGCTAATTTCGTTTGTTTTTTTATATATATATATTGGGAACTTACCCCCAATAAAATATTGACCATAATAAAGGCCACGATAACGCTAGCATGCAAGTACTGGTTTGACTTTATCGATATGCAATTAATTATATTTGAAAAAAATTATATCATTTAAGAGCAATTTAGATTTATCTCTAGAGACATGCGAGACATTAAATACGCAAACAACACTCAGGAAAAAAAATAAACGATTAATAATACAGGATTTAAACTAAGGGAAATACAATTTGAATATATGCTTTTAATTATCGAAAGTCTCCGTGTGTTTATTTTAACATAAAGGATAAATAATACAATTTTAACAAAAAAAGTTCAATTATAAAATACAATTTGAACATAAAGGATAAATAATACAAATTGAAGGTGAAGGATAAACAATCATCCGAGATGGTCGGATAATAGACACCGAAGTACCAAACAATAGTAGCATTTCCGTCACGTGTAAAATGAATGTAACGGCTTTGACATCGGTCCAAGAGTTTACTTGTCACGTCGGTCCAAAATGTTATAGATTCATGCAGGATAATCAGATTAATTTGCTGAATTTAAAATGTTAGAGTTTATTATATGGTTGAAAAATAAAATAAAAAAAAATGTTTTGAATTTAGAGGGAATAGATGTTTACATTTGTGAAACTAGAATATTTGGATTGTAATTTTCAATCAATTAAACTAGATGAATACGAAATTTTTTAATTCGTGTTTTATATCAATTTGAGAGAATATTCATCTTAATTTATTTCTGAGCGAATACGTTCTCAAGATAAACAATTGAAAATATACATATATCTTGTTGAAATAAATAGTTTAATTAATTTTTTAAGTTATTATTGATTATATAGTGTCATATATATACATACGTTCGAACCCTTCTCATTACGATACGTTGGATTCGTCCTCGTATCACTCATACCTAAACAATCTGTTAAAAAACGTTTATTATTCATTTCACGTCGGCAATCAATTTCAACTCTCATCAATATCCAGAATATAACACTTAACCTACATAATTTATTATATCCTAGCCTCGTGATTTTTGTTAAAATAACGTATGATTCAATTTTCTACAAAATCAGTTACAATGGAAATGTAGTACGAGAAAAGTATATGAAATTTAATATATTCAATATTAAAGTTTTTCTATTCAACTACTCATGTTTTTATCTTAAAAAGATATACAATCGAAAATTATTTTAATTAGAAAAAAAATATAAAAATTATACAGTGGTTATTGTTCCGTCATATACTGAAAAATTGTAGTATAATTTTTTTCTTATCCTACATAATTTATTTTATATCCTAATTACCTCCTGATTGTTGTTAAAATGACACGCGATTTCAATTTTCTACATAATCAGTTACAAGAAAAAAGTAATACATGAAAAGTGTATGAAATTAAATTAATCAATATTAAAATTTTCTATTCAACTACTCATGTTTTTATCTTAAAAAGATATACAATCGGTCATAATTTTAACATGAAAAATGGTAAAAATTAGTAGAAAGGATAAAATAATTTTAAAAATTTTATAAAAAGAAGGTAGGTAACACACGAAGAGTACATGAAATTAATTACATTTAATATTAAAATTTCTATGCAACTGCCAGCTACTGCTGTCGTCAAAATACAAACAGATGGTCATGATTTTAACAAAAAAAATATAAAATTTTTTTGAAGAGATAAAATAAATTTTAAAATGGTGAGAGGAAAAATAATTAAATGAGAGAAGCAAAGTTAAAGAATAGTTCTTTTTATATTTTCTATATTAAAATATTTTAGATCATAAATAGTAGACTTAAAATTATTTTAAATAATTTTACAAAGTAGATTATAAATATAACAAACATAAATGGCAAACATTTTCTGGTTCGTCAATCCGGACAGAATTAAACAATTTGTACGAAAATTTATAATTTGCAGAAATTCTACTTTTCGATATTTAAAAATATTTTCCACAAATACCAAAATCATAATCACGTCTATTGTAAGAAACTAAAACAAGAAATTGAAAGATCAAATAACCAGTAGCTCATATCAATACTTACCATATTAATTAACAATAATTTCACAAATACAAATCATAACCTAAAATTATATATGAAAAATACGTATATTCAGACATTTGAATTGTGAAAATTAGATATTTCGAAGAAATGCATAAAACATTTTTATTTCCTAAATGAAAATAGCGTGGGGAAAGCAATGGAAGCAACCAAAAAATGGAGGTCAATAAATACATGCCAATTCCACATCCATTATCACGACCACAAATCTCTCACCCCTTCTCCCTCTCAATAGAAGGAGCTCACAAACTCAGGTATCGTCTCTCTCACTTTCTCCCTTAAGTTTTTCAAGTGTTAATTTACATATATTTATTACATAATATAATATTATGTAATTATATATTCTTTGTTTTGACACTTAAATCATTAGTTAATATTACTATTATCATAAAATTATTCTTCGTTTCTCTTTGTTTCTTAAATGAGATTTGCGAATTATATGGCAGCTAATAAAAGTTCCGAAGTTATAAAATGTTTGAGAAAATAAACCTATAGATTTTTTTCCGAGCCCAAAATAATGAATATTTTTCAACCACTTCCCTACTTTTACATTGATTTTTGTTGCCGTGCTAAAAAAAGTTAATAATAATAATAATAATTATTATTATTATTATTATTATTATTATTATTATTATTATTTCTTTTAGTCTACTTTCGACTTTTGAGTAGTCCATTTCAGTATAAACGTTATTTTAGAGATTATTTTTTAATAAAAGGTTAAATTAATTTATAAAAGAATGTTTATAACAGATCGAGCCGTAGCTGTCTACATCGAAATACCATGTTCCAAAAGAAAGCCAAGAACACTAGTGAATACTAGGGTGGATGTTTTGAGAAACGGTTTGGTTTTTGGACGTGAATGGATCGGTTCATTTTTTTTGGTTTTGCGAAAATATGTACCAATCGGTTTTTATATTATACATGGGTAGAGATTCTCTTTTATTAAAAAAAAGATAGATTTTCTTTAAAAATATTCGGTTTTTCGGTCCGTTTTGGTCCGGTTTCAAAGAACAAAACCGAAACGACCACCCTTAGTGAATACAAAATAGGTTTGCTACCCAAGTTTGGGTGGCCTAGTGGTGAGAGAATATGCAAAGGATATTTTCACCCTGGGTTCAAATCCAAGCATGGGAAGAGGCATTCGCCTGGGTTTCTCCGGTCCTCTGGTAAATGTAGTCGGGTCAAAGACTCGGTGAACTTCCGGATTATTCAAAAAAAAAAAAGCTTGCTAGTTCGTGCAGTGTCGGGGTGGAATACTTTCCGATAGGAGAACCAATCTGAAAGAATTGAGCGGTTTTCCTTGACAATGGTAGAAGTATTAATAAAAAAATTATTTTTTGTTTTAAAATAATTATCATTTTAGATTTTCTAAGAGATTTTTAATAAAAATTTCAATTTTATCTTTAATTAAAATTAGTAAATTTCAATAGAGTATTAATTTGGATATTTTTTAATAAGGGTATATATGATTTTTTTTAAAAAAAATTTAAAAAGTGTGAAACGATAATTATAATGAAAGGGAGTATGGAAGAGCAATAATTTAAAGAAGATGCACATGCAAAGTAAATAAAGTAACGAAAGAAAGTAGGGCCCAGAAAAAGGGGAAGGACGACACAGGATATGGTTTCATCAATTTCAACCCTACAGTTAAAGTTCACCTTTTTATCCGCCTCGTCTTTCCCTTCGGACAGCCACAAACATGGATTAACTACAAACTGAAACCGAATCGAATTATCATGGATTAACTTTTTCGTTATTAATTTTTAAAATTCGAAATAAATCGAATCCGAGTTTGATTCCGTTCATCCAACGTTAAACACCATTATATTATAATTGTTCGTTTTTTTTTCCACAGAACCATCATGATTTAAATCTTGAGATATATAACAATTAAAGTCCCGAAATAATTTGTATTAATCACGTTTTTATTTTATGTTTTAGATAATTAGAAACTACATCGAAAATGGCACAAAAGGTGGAAGCGCAAGGAGGCAGAGGAGGAAAGCAATGGGACGATGGATCCGAACACGACGGTGTGACGAAGATTCACATAGAAGTTGGTCGCAAAGGCATTCAACACATCAAGTTCGATTATGTCCGAAACGGACAACTCAAAGAAGGATCGGTCCACGGTCTCAAACGTAACAGAGTTCAAACGGTGATTAACGTTTTTATTTAATACGTATTGCGGCGATTAGTGAATCCAATTCTGACGTTAATCATAGGATTTAAAAGCTAAATATACTCGTATAGTCTTATAACATTGATGCTACGTATACGTATATGTATTCAATCGTATGCCTTTTGGGTTTCGCAGTTTGAGATTAACCATCCTGATGAATATCTCGTATCCGTGGATGGTACGTACTATGATGACAACGGTATCATTCAATCGCTACGGTTCAAGACCAACAAGAACACTACCGATGTCTTCGGATACGACGTGGATGATGGTACTTCGTTTTCAATTGAAGCCAAGGACAAGAAGATTGTCGGGTTTCATGGGTTTGCTGGTAACGATCTCAATTCGCTTGGAGCATATTTCGTACCGAGTTCATCGTCCTCGCCCGGTTCGTCTCTGTCTCCTCCGTTGAAATCGGAAGCGAAAGGTGGTAACGGAGGAGAATCATGGGACGATGGTGCTCATGATGGTGTAAGAAAAGTGTTGGTCGGACAAGGCGATTCTTCTGTCGTGTATGTCAAGTTCGAGTACGAGAAAGGTGGCGAAATCGTAGCTCGTGATCATGGCAAGAGGACTCTACTAGAGCCCGAAGAGGTCGTTGCCCATTTCTAAACCCTCCTCGTATTCATGGAATACATGATCATAATCTTGATTTTCGGACATTATTGCAGTTTGTGCTTGGACAAGACGAGTACATCTCGTCGGTGGAGGTTTACTACGAGAAAGTATATGGCAGTTCGAGCGAAGTCATCATGGCTCTGATCTTCAAAACGTCAAAGGGAAGAACCTCTCAGCCATTCGGTATAGTGTCCGGCACAAAAGCCGTGCTCGACGGCAAAGGTGGCAAACTCCTAGGGTTCCATGGACGAGCGGGCGAAGCTCTTAACGCCATTGGAGCGTATTTTGCTGCTTCGGCCGCTTCTTCTCTGTCCCCCGCCAAGAAAATCGAAGCTCAAGGCGGCGATCTGGGAGATTCATGGGACGACGGCGTTCACGACGGCGTTAGGAAAGTGCACGTCGGGCAAGGTGATTCCAGTGTCGTGTACGTTAAGTTTGAGTACGACAAGGGCTCAAAGCTCGTGGTCGGAGCGGGTCATGGAAAGAAAACGCTTCTTGAGCCTGAAACGGTTGATGTTCTTTAAACTAACTTAAGTCTTTCATTCCTAACATTCTTTGAAATATTATTTCTGAACTGAATGTTTTGCAGTTTGAGCTCAACTATCCAAGTGAATACATCACGGCGGTAGAGGGCTACTACGATAAAATCTATGGAATCAAAGCTCCCGTCATTACCTCGCTTAGGTTCAAGACGAACAAGCGGACTTCTCCACCGTTTGGGATCGAGGCCGGTACGAAATTCGTGCTTGGAGAGAACGGTAGCAAAATCGTCGGCTTCCATGGGAAAGCAGGCGATGAACTTCACAAGATTGGTGTTCACGTTGTGCCAACCGGCTTCACCAAGCCTTTAGGGAAGTGGATTAAGGTACAGTCATTCCACAATTTTCACTTCTTGCCAACTAACCTAAGGAAAATCGAAACATATCAGGTTTCAATCTCTGTCAATGATCGTAATCCGATCCAGTTACAAAAGCCAAAATCATTGTTTCAAGAATTTGGTAAAATGTTTTTTTTTTGGGATTCAACAGATGAAGCAACAAGGAAGGGGTCCAGCGGAGAGAAGCTCACACGTCATAGCCGTGGTGGGAGACAAAATGTACTCATTCGGCGGCGAGTTCCGGCCAAACACTCCCATCGACAGCCACATCTATGTCTTCGATCTCAAGACTCAGATATGGTCAATCGCTCCGGCCACCGGCGACATTCCCCACATCACCTGCATCGGCGCCTGCATGGTCTCCCTCGGTCCCACCCTCTACCTCTTCGGCGGCCGCGATGGCAAACGCAACTACTCCGGCTTCTACTCTTACAACACACTCACGAACGAGTGGAAGCTACTAACCCCCGTGGGTGAGGGGCCCGCGTCTCGGAGCTACCACTCCATGATCGCTGATGACAAGAACGTCTACTTATTTGGCGGCGTCAGCGCTAAAGAGCGGGTCAAGACCCTTGAAGCTTACAACGTCGGGGAAGGGAGATGGGTCCAGTTCCCGACCCCTGGCGAGCCCTGTAAAGCACGAGGGGCTCCGGGACTGGTCGTGGTGAAAGGGAAGATATGGGTTGTATACGGATGTTGCGGGGAAGAAATGGACGATGTCCATTTCTTCGATCCCGTCCAAGGGAAATGGACCATGGTCGACACGAAAGGAGAGAAACCATCACCAAGAAGCGTTTTTGCCACTGCGGTCGTGGGGCGATACATCGTTATATTCGGGGGCGAGATAGAGATGGACCCGAAGCCGCATATCGGACCGGGGAAATTCGACGGGGATACTTTCGCGTTGGACACGGAGACCTACGAGTGGAAGAAACTCGACGCATGGGTCGATGGAACGCACGAGGAGCGTCCGGGGCCGCGTGGTTGGAGCGCGTTTGCGTCTGCGTCCATCGACGGGCGTGACGGCCTGCTGATGTACGGAGGCAACACTCCGACCAACGACCGCGTCAGCGATATCTTCTTCTTCAGTCCTAATCTCTGAGCTGATTAGTATGCCGATGCAATATACAATATGGTTTTCTGTTTCCAGTTAGTAATTCAATAAAGTTGCGGTCGTTAAAGACACGCATCTGGTTTGTGTGGTTATGATTGATTTCTTGTTTGTCTATTTTGTGGTTTGATTTATGATTGAAATTTTTTAAAAAAATTAAGTCTACAGTTCCATTTAATTAATTTTTAATTTTGTGAAAACGTAATTCAATGATTTTTTAACTTAAATCGATTCGATCCTATTCAATGATAGAACGATTCGAGTTGATTATATCAATTAAAAATTATAAATAGACAATAATCAAATTAAAAATTTGGTTATGTTATAATCATAAAATTCGGTCGGTGTTGTCCCATTATAACCAACAATAAATCAACAAACATAATAACAATGTGGCATTTCACGATGTTGGACTTTTTCAAAGAAAATAAAAACAGTGTATTTAGAAATTGATAACAGTATTTGTAAAAAAAACTGTTTTATTATATATGTATGTATTTCATGATATTGAAATTTTAATATATATATATATATGCACATACACATATTTGGATTAAAATAAACAATTGAACCGATCAGAAAAATAATCGATCAGCCGATTTTATAAGGATAATAACTCAGTCGAATTAAATCCAATCTGTCGTAAAAAAACAAACGGAATTAAATCCCATCCGATTTTATTTGATTTTATTCTTTTTAAAAAGGAACAGTTGGTCAACCTACTAGATAGATAAGATCGATCATCTTAAAAATGTTCCCAATTGATCAAATTTAATTTTGAAATTTATATTTTTCAAATAGATTATGAAAATAAAATAAATTCTGGCAAACTAATTCGTACGAACCTTTTCAATTCACCAGATTTATCATAGTTTCTCGTTTTATTCGAATGATTTTAAAATGGATTATAAAAATAATTATTTTTCTATATATATTTTTAAATTTAAAAGTCTGCCATAGAGTTTAATCAAACAAGGGATACCTATAATGCACTTGAATGATTAAAGTCTTTTAATCCAACACAAACTTTCAAACCTACTCTTGAAATTAATATTATTATTATTATTATTATTATTATTATTATTATTATTATTATTATTATTATTATTATTCAATGATCCGAATCAAATAAGAATATGGAGGTACAGATGCGCATGATTATGTGGGTCCATATGTCCCACTGAAAAAATCAATAACAATAAAATACTAACCTTTTGCACAACTCTGTAGCACATTAATTTTAATTTTCAATTTCATATTCTTAGTATTTTATTTTCTTAACAATATAAAAAAGGACGCATACCAAATTCCAAGAATCATGGTCAATGATCCGCGAATTAAATGTCGATCCAACGCTATCTTTTAATCAATTTTTAAAAGCCAGTTTTTTAATATTTAATAGTATAAAATAGGTCAACGGAAACAAAAATTGACTCTAAATGATCTTGTAAATTCTTTTCGCGGTTATTAGCGACTGGTTTAGTAATCTGTTTATCATTTTATAGTATACTGACCGAATATTAATTCACCAACCATGAAAATCAAATTCATACCGACAAAATATCGCCACGTATTGAACCTCATAAACCTAACATCATCATCTCGAGAATTAAAAAGTGAAAATGATAAAACAAAATCTACAATTAAATGTAAATATAAACCACAACCAATCAACACCAATATTTTAATGAGTTATTGCCCATATAATTGTATTATGTGACGTTAGCCTCGTGAAACACGACATGAAACAGTAGAGAGAGACCCAATAAATACACATGCAGTATCCTCCCTATGCATCACCACACTCGTAACTCTCTCTCTCTCTCTCTCTCTATCTCGATCGATTTCAGATTCAGGGACTCAGAGGTAAGCTTTCTCTCTCTAGAATCAGAGTCATAAGCTTTCTCTCTCATCATATCAGTATATTTTTGTCTATGATTAATGAGAAAAATTAAAGTGGACTTGTTATATATACTGTATAGTGCATACAAATCGTTACTATTAATAAGGGTGTTACGGTCCTTTTACCAAACGCGGTTCTTCTGTTTCATAGTATGGAGACAGTAAAGATTCTGGTTAGGATCTATGAACTCGTGAAACACGTGTTGATTCTTCTGAAATAGTTTGTAACTTTTTCAGTTCATTTTCGAAAGATGCCGACGTTGTCCGAAAAGTTGGGAGCTCAGGGTGGCAATGGAGGAAACGAGTGGGATGATGGTGTCTACCATGGTGTAAGGAAAGTGTACGTCGGACGAGACCTTTCTCGCATCACGTATATCAAGTTCGAGTACGACAAAGGCGGCGAATTCGAAACACGTGAACACGGGAACATACAACAGGAGCCGAAAGAGGTTTCTTCCCATTTCTATTCTTGGAAACTATATCCATAATCCTAGGTTTGCGGCTTCTATTTATGTCAATAGTAGTTACTAATTCTTGAAAACGTATCAATTCCAGTTCGTGCTTGACTATCCGAACGAATACATCACGTCGGTGGAGGGGACATACAACAAAACCCGACTTCTTGGCACTGACGTCATTACATCTCTTACCTTCAAAACGTCCGACGGGAGAATCTCCCAGACCTTTGGAGTGGTTTCTGGTACGAAATTCGCACTCGAGGACAAAGGTCGCAAACTTGTCGGATTCCACGGGAGGGCGGAGGAAGCGATCGATGCGATCGGAGCTTATTTTTCACCGATTTTCTCTACTTCGTATCCTGTTTATAGGTTGGGAATCCGAGGCGGTAGCGGAGGAAATTCTTGGGACGATGGAGTTTACGGGGGCGTGAGAAAAGTTTGCGTCGGAAGAGATTTATCTCGCGTGACTTATGTCAAGTTCGAGTACGGCAAGGGCGGGGTATTTGAGGAACGTGAACATGGGAAGATAGCTCAAGAACCAAAAGAGGTCCTTTTTATATTTGATATATCGAAAAAAATAATAATATATACTTAGTTACATATCCTAAAACTATATATTATTTGATTCGATATTGTCGCAGTTTGCGCTTGATTACCCGGACGAATACATCACAGCCGTGGAGGGAACCTACAAGCCGATTCTTCTCCTCGGCCCTGATTTCGTTACGTCGCTTACCTTCAAAACGTCCAAGGGGAGGACCTCTCCGACGTACGGAACTGCGTTGGGCACGAAGTTCGTACTCGAGGACCAAGGTCGCAAGCTCGTTGGGTTCCACGGACGGGAAGGCGATGCTATCGATGCTCTCGGAGCTTATTTCCTGCCAATTTCCTCGCCCTTGTCGTCTGTTTATCAATTGGAAGCGCAAGGCGGGAACGGAGGAATTCCTTGGGATGACGATGTTTATGGCGGTGTGAGAAAAGTGTACGTTGGACGAGATAATTCCTGTATAACGTACGTCAAGTTCGAGTATGATAGGGATGGTAAACTCGAAGCTCGTGACCATGGGAAGAAACAGGAACATCTACATGAGGTCCATTCTCAATCTATACTATATATATCAAACTTCTATATATATACATTGCATTTTGTGTGGCTATATTCATTTCATTTTTTTTTATTTCTGAAAAAAAAAATGTTGCAGTTTGTGATTGATTATCCGAATGAATACATCACATCGGTGGAAGGAACATACAACAAGGTTAGTCTCTTCGGCAGCGAAGTCGTCACGTCGCTTACCTTCAAGACATCCGCCGGAAGAGCCTCTCTGACGTTCGGAAACGCAAGCGGCGGTAGTAACTTTCTGCTCGAGGTGGAAGGTCTCGGACTCGTCGGATTCCATGGGCGGGCAAGCGACGCTCTCACTGCCCTTGGAGCGTATTTCGCTCCCTTGGTTCCTGCCAAGAAACTTCAGGCGCAGGGCGGAGATGGAGGATCATCATGGGACGATGGCGTATATGACGGTGTGAGGAAGATATATGTCGGGCAAGGAGATTTCGGCGTGGCCTTTGTCAAGTTTCGATACGATAAGGGCTCGAATGAGGTAGCCGGAGACGATCACGGGAAAAAGTCACTTCTTGGAACAGAGGAGGTCAGTTTCCTTCAACTATACTATCCGCTCAATAAAATGTGTTCTTGATCCGATCGATCCACCGGCTTTTTTGCAGTTCGAGCTCGATTATCCGGACGAATACATCACATCGGTGGAGGGATGCTACGATAAGATATTCGGAACTGAAGCCGAAGTTATTACAATGCTTAGGTTCAAGACAAACAAACGGACATCTCAGCCGTTCGGACTAGAAGCAGGAACGAGGTTCGTGCTCGAGGAGAAAGACAGCAAAATCGTCGGATTCCATGGCAAAGCGAGCGATGTCGTTCATCAGGTCGGAGTTCATGTCATGCCGATCGCCAACTGATCTAAAGACAGAAGCTGTGTCCAAGTCGACTAAGTTTGTGTTTGAATAAGGTTGTGTGTTTCCTGCTTTTGATTTATGCTCTTTACGTTTACATAATAATTAATCAAATTTATGTGAAATTACGTTATCTACAAAGTGAATGGAAAGTAAAACCTAGAAAAAATAAACCCATAAAATAATGAAAGGATAACATGAAAAAAATAGAGTAATGGACTAATATTAAAGTCAGATGAAAATTTTTAAGATATTAATATATGATTTGAATTATGTTCAAAAGGCCGTATAACATCCTATCAAGATTATCATTGATCGTGAACCGACTTTTTATATTTATGGGAGAATCTATATAAAACTACTTAACCGGGCTTTTATCAAAAATACCCCTATTATGCTACAAAGACTTCAAGGCATACCCCTGCAAAAATAAAAAAAAAAAGTTAGTTCAAAACATACCCTTATAATTATGTTATTCCCATAATACCCATTGACGTGGGTCCCAATGACAGAAACAGAAGAGAGAGAAAACAGTTTTCGGTTCCCTATGAAAAAATTTAAATATTTTAAAATTTTTAAAACTCCCTCCGCCACAAAAAGTTAAATTTTTCGCGTGAATTTTAAAATTTTTCGGTGTGACCAGTGTGACCAGTGTGCCCAAGTGACCAGTGTGACTAGTGTGACCAGTGTGACCAGTGTGACCAAAACTAAATTTTGAACGGCGTGACCAGTGTGACCAAAACTAAATTTTGAACGGTGTGACCAGTATGATCAAAATTAAATTTTGAACGGTGTGACCAATGTGACTAGTGTAACTAGTGTGACCAATATGACTAATATGACTAGTGTGACCAAAACTAAATTTTGAACGGTGTGACCAGTGTGACCAGTGTGACCAATGTGACTAGTGTGACCAGTGTGATCAAAATTAAATTTTAGACGGTGTAACCAATGTAACGTACCTTTGTCAATCTGTTCCATTATTGCTCCAAACATTTATTTGGCATTAAATATACGCTTCTTGCATTTCTTCGACGGATTTGCTATGCATCTATCTCATTTTCATGAAAAAAAATACACGATTCACTCTAAAAATCATAAAACTCAAACCCAAAACACAAAGTTTATGCATCGAACCAATCTCTTGTATTAATGAACTTACCTTCAGTTTTTGTCATTTGTTCTGTCTTAGACCGACCCAAGAAGAAGATATGAGGTCGTCGGTGAGGATATGCTCAACGAAATAACCATTTTTCGTTTGTTTTTCTATGTATAAAAATGAAATGAGAAGAGAGAAAATGAAAGAGTTGAGAGAAATATAAGAGTAGAGAGAGAAAGTTAAGAAAGAAATGAAGAGTTATCAAAGAATGAAAACGAGAGAGATGAATTCAAAATGAAGAGAGGAATATCACGTTACTTTTGTGAGAGGGTTAATTATGTCTTTTGTTCCTTTTATTTTTTTTTCCAAAATTTTAGGGTTTTGGAGGGTAGTCCGTGAAGTCTATGTAGCAAAGTAAGGGTATTTGTGCTATATTGCCTACTTAACCTGTAAAAATAAAAAACTACACGGATGTATGAATTCTAAAGCTCTTAAATAAATAAAGATAAAAAAAATTGCCGGCATCTGACGTGGCTCTTGGCACCTCCACCAATGGTGCCATGTCAGCTAAGTCACTGCCACCTATTTTTGACACTTCAATAAATTCAGGAATCGGTTTGGTCAGATTTCGGTTTTTAAAATCCGGGGACGGTATGAAATTTATATATAACACGGTTTATAGGGATAAAAAACGCATACCGCATATATTAAAATCATTAGCTCTGCCGCGGTTAAAACTTTGACATCGTCCCCTTCCTCCGTTAGAAACAAAATTCCTCCATTTCCGTCGTGGAAGCTGTACCCCATCGCGAGATTCCTCCATTGACGACCAAGCTTTTTCCCGCCAAAGGAGTGATTTCGAGTTCGAAGGTAAGTTTCGGTTTCAAATGCGAGGGGTTATAGGGGATTAGGGCTCATGAATTTAGGGTTCTAGGGTTGTAAAAAAAATCATAATTTTTAGGGTTTGTGCTCGCGAGTCGCGATGCTTGTTTCGGATTGTGCCCGAGAAGTTTGTGCTGGTCTTATTTGAAATCGACGAGTTTTCGTTTCGACTTGTTTCGGTTTCCTGAAGTGTTGAATTTTTAAAATTGTTAAGAGCTCTAATTTCGGTTTATTTGAGTGATAGAATTTGTTATTATCGAGTATGTGTTGTTGTTAATGTTTAGAAATTTTGGAGTTCATAAATATGTGACATATTTTTACAATTTTATGGTTTTATACAGGATTCTCCTCTTATTATTTCAATAACTAGACTTTACTTAGAGAAATTTTTTGTAGTACTTTTTATAACAAACAAAACAAAATTTCCAGTGTCAATGGTGTCCAAGTTATCTGCGAGGCCGAGAGAGTGGAGCAAATGGCTCCATAAGGCAACGATGTCTACTTCTGAAAAGCTCGGAGAACAAGGTGGTCCAGGAGGAACTACTTGGGATGATGGTTCATTTGGTGGTGTAAGAAAAGTGTATGTCGGAGAAGGTGATAACGGTGTAACGTATGTGAAGTTTGAGTACGATAAAGGTGGAAAACTTGAAGTACGTGAGCATGGGGAGAAGAAGACAGAACGATTAAAAGAGGTCACTTCTACCCTTATGCTCTACAACTACAAGCTACACCATTCTACCATTTTTCCTCAACTTGCAATATTTTGATTGCTTATTTTTTAATGAATTCTTTCAGTTTGTTCTTGACTATCCGAACGAATATATCACGATGATACACGGAACCTGTGGCAAAGTCCCTCAACATGGATTTCCGATCGTTACATCACTTACCCTTTATAACATCAAAGCAAAGAACCTCTTCACCAGCTGGATCTGCGATTGGCTCCCGTTTTGTACTCGGGAAGGAGGGTGGAAAACTTGTTGGCTTTCATGGACGTTCTGCTGCTGCTTTAGATGCACTTGGAGCGTACTTTGCTCCATTCTTCCCTACAAAGAAACTGCAAGCTCAAGACAAAGTGCCCGAACAAGGTGGTCCTGGTGGATTTGTATGGGATGATGGTTCATTTGATGGCGTAAGAAAAGTGTATGTTGGAGAAGGTGATAACGGTGTAACATATGTTAAGTTTGAGTATGATAAAGGTGGAAAGCTTGAAGTACGTGAGCATGGGGGAGAAGAAAACAGAACGATTAAAAGAGGTCACTTCTACCCTTATGCTCTACAAGCTACATCATTCTACCATTTTTCCTCAACTTGCAATATTTTGATTGCTTATGAGGCCCTATCTTTATTTATTTTTTATGATTTCTTTCAGTTTGTTCTTGACTATCCGGACGAATATATCACAATGATACACGGAACCTGTGGTAAAGTCCCTCAACATGGACTTCCGATCGTTACATCACTTACCTTCATAACATCAAAGCAAAGAACCTCTTCACCAGCTGGATCTGTGATTGGCTCCCGTTTTTCACTCGGGAAGGAGGGTGGAAAACTCATTGGCTTTCATGGACGTTCTGCCGCTGCTTTAGATGCTCTTGGAGCGTATTTGCTCCATTCTTCCCTTCAAAGAAACCGCAAGTTCAAGACAAAGTGCCAGAACAAGGTGGTCCTGGTGGATTTGTGTGGGATGATGGTTCATTTGATGGTGTAAGAAAAGTGTATATTGGAAAAGGTGATGGTGGTATAACATATGCGAAGTTTGAGTATGACGAGGGTGGAAAGCTTGAAGTACGTGAGCATGTGGAGAACAAATCGCAACAATTGAAAGAGGTATTCTGTTTTTAGGCTTCTATAGCTACAACCCTTGCACTATTTTTGTTGATTGCTTTTATCATTTCTTTCAGTTTGAGCTTGACTATCCAGACGAATATATCACCATGGTAGAGGGAACCTTCCGCAAAGTTCCTCAACATGGACTCCCAATCATTACTTCACTTATCTTCAAGACATCGAAGCAAAGAACCTCTCCACCAGCTGGGAATGTGGCTGGCACACGTTTTGTCCTCGAGAAGGACAGTGAAAAGATCGTTGGCTTTCATGGACGTTCTGCTGCTGCTCTAGATGCTCTTGGAGTGTATTTTGCACCACTCTCCCCTGCACAGCAACCACAAGATCAAGAGAAAGTGGAAGCACAAGGAGGAAAGGGAGGCAAAGAATGGGATGATGGAGGAGACCATGATGGTGTAACAAAGATATTTGTCGGAATTGGTCGTGGTGGCCTTCAATACATCAAGTTTGATTATGTACAACTAAACGAAGGTCCAATACATGGAACGAAGGAAAGGACATTCACACAGCCGGTACGAAAGAGAATACTACTACTATGTTCTTTCACTTCATTGTATTTCCTCCAACATCCATTCTTTTCCATTATGTTGTAGTTTGAACTATTGATATTGTAATTTCAGTTTCATGAAGTTTCACTGTTTATGCAGTTTGAAATTACCCATCCCGATGAGTATATCGTGTCCGTGGAGGGTTACTACGATGATTCTGGCATCATTCAGGGTCTTCGATTCAAAACCAATAAGAGGACTTCTGATATCATTGGATATGGAGATGATGGTACTAAATTTATACTTGAAGTCAAGGATAAGAAGATTGTCGGGTTTCATGGGTACGCTGATAAGAATCTTAATTCTCTTGGAGCTTATTTTGTACCAATCTCCTCCTCCTCCTCACCATTGTCGCCTCCAAATAAAGTTGGAGCCCAAGGTGGTAAAGGAGGGAACACATTTGATGATGGTGCTTTCGACAGCGTAAGAAAAGTGTATGTTGGTCAAGGTGATATTGGTGTGTCGTATGTGAAGTTCCACTATGACAACAGCGGAAACTCAGAAACACGTGATCACGGGAAGAAGACGCTACTTGGGACTGAGGATGTATAGTTTCTGCTTCTGCGTTCAATGTTAAATTGTATGGCTTTCGTTAATATTAATACGTAGAGTTGTTCACATATTCTCGATTTTTTGCAGTTTGTGCTTGAATATCCAGATGAATATATTACATCAGTGGAGGGAACCTACGACAAAATCTATGGCAGTGACAGCGAAGTCATTACCTCCCTTACCTTCAAAACATCCAAAGGGAGAACCTCTCAACCATTTGGAATTGTAGCTGGAATTTCTTTCACACTTGATGGCAAAGGCGGAAAACTTCTCGGGTTCCATGGCCAGGTTGGCGAAGATCTTTATGCTCTTGGAGCATATTTCGCTCCGACCAGCACTCCATTGATTCCCCCCAAGAAACTTGAAGCGAAAGGTGGAGAGGCAGGGAATCTATGGGATGACGGTGTGAAAAAGTTACTTGTAGGTCAAGGCGATATCGGTATATCGTTTGTCAAGTTTGCATACGTGAATGGCACAGAAACAGTGGTTGGAGATGGCCGTGGGAAGAAATAGCTGCTCGGAACAGAGGATGTGATTTCCATTTCTCTATCTCACAACTTGAGTTTTATTTATTCATTACTACTCTCCATACACTGTCTGGATTCTTGATTTACTTGCGGTTTCTTGTTCTGACCCACAAATTTTCTCAGTTCGAAGTTGACCATCTGAACGAATAAGAAGACATCCCCACCATTTGGGAGGTGTTACATCACGTCGGTGGAGGGAACCTACGACAAAATCTACGGAAGCCCCAGCTGAAGTTGTTACCATGCTTAGGTTCAAGACGAACAAGAAAACATCCCCACCATTTGGGATCGAAGCCGGCGAGAAGTTCGTGTTCGAGGAGAAAGATCAGAGTCGTCGGGTTCCATGGAAAAGCCGGCAACATGATTCATCAAGTTGGAGTCCATATCGCTCCAATCTCCAACTGAGAACTCTCTTCATCAGCACCATAAAAGCGGTTCCTGCTCTTTCTTTTCTCCTTGTACTGTTCTGTTTGTGCTCTCTGTCTAAATGTGATATAACGTGTTGTTGATGTCCTCTTCATGTAATGTTCTCTATCTGAATAAAGGGGTTGCTTTGTTCAATATGTCCTAATCATCTGAATATTCGACTCACCACCATCGCTCTTATGTAAAGAAACCCTAAATCTTGCGGCTTTCATATCAGAAACCAAAAGGTATACGTATATATGTATATATAGAGAGATCCAACAAAGATGAAACATGCTTTTATTTAAGAGTGGATATAGAAACCGTTCATCATGAGAAGTGGGAAACACAACACATCTCAGGGAAACAACAAGCCAACAAACAGAAACCACCATCAGTTTATTCATAACTTAAAAGACAGGCCTTCATCCATCCGTAGCTGCATGCGTTCGGATCGCGAAAGGTATCAGTTGGTGATCGGAGCCACGTGGACTCCGACTTTGTGGAGCTGCTCGCCCGCCTGTCCATGGAACCCGACGATTTTGCTGCCGCTCTCCTCGAGCACGAACTTCGTACCGGACTCCATCCCAAACGGCTGCGACGTTCGCTTGTTCGTCTTGAACCTCAGCGCGGTAATTGTGGGAGCTTTGATTCCAAAGACTTTCTCGTAGTAGCCCTCTACCGCCATGATGTATTCGCTTGGATAGTCCAGCTCGAACTACAAAATTATTCAATTCAGAAATAATATTTCAAAGAGTGTCAGGAATGATGGTAGTGATCAAAGAACACCAACCGTTTCAGGCTCAAGAAGCGTTTTCTTGCCATGACCAGCTCCGACCACGAGGTTTGAGCCCTTGTCGTACTCAAACTTAACGTACACGACACTGGAATCGCCTTGCCCCACGTGCACTTTCCTAACGCCGTCATGAGCTCCGTCGTCCCATAAATCTCCAAAATCGCCGCCTTGAGCTTCGATTTTCTTGGCGGGGGCCAGAGAAGAAGCGGCCGTAGCGGAGAAATACGCCCCAATGGCGTTAAGAACTTCGCCCGCTCGTCCATGGAACCCTAGGAGTTTGCCACCTTTGCCGTCGAGCACAGCTTTTGTGCCGGACACTATACCGAATGGCTGAGAGGTTCTTCCCTTTGACGTTTTGAAGATTAGAGCCATGATGACGTCGCTCGGAGTGCCATATACTTTCTCGTAGTAAACCTCCACCGACGTGATGTACTCGTCATGTCCGAGCACAAACTGCAATAATGATGTCCGAATATCAAGATTACGAGAATGTAATCGATGAATATGAGGAGGGTTTAGAAATGGGCAACGACCTCTTCGGGCTCTAGTAGAGTCTTCTTGCCATGATCACGAGCCACGATTTCGCCACCTTTCTCGTACTCGAACTTGACATAGACAACAGAAGAATCGCCTTGTCCGACCAACACTTTTCTCACACCATCATGGGCGCCATCGTCCCATGATTCTCCTCCGTTACCACCTTTAGCTTCCAATTTCAACGGAGCAGACGAACCGGGCGAGGACGATGAAATGGGTACGAAATACGCTCCAAGCGAATTGAGTTCGTTGCCAGCAGATCCGTGAAACCCGGCAACCTTCTTGTCCTTAGCTTCGATTGAAAATGAAGTACCCTCGTTGTATCCGAAGATATCGGAAGTGTTCTTGTTGGTCTTAAACCGAAGTGATTGAATAACACCGCTGTCATCGTGCGTACCATCCACGGATACGAGATATTCATCGGGATGGTTAATCTCAAACTGCATGAACGGGCCAAACATTAGGGATTTGTTCGTAATCCGAATTAATTAATTAATTAATTAATTAAAAGGTTAATCACCGTTTGAACTCGGTTACGTTTGAGACCGTGGACGGATCCTTCTTTGATTTGTCCGTTCTGTACATAATCGAACTTGATGTGCTGAATGCCATTCCGACCAACTTCGACATGGATCTTCGTCACACCGTCGTGTTCGGATCCATCGTCCCACTGGTTTCCTCCTTTGCCTCCTTGTGCTTCCACCTTTTGTGCCATTTTCGATGTTTCTAATTATCTAAAACATACAATAAACGTGATTAATTACAAATTATTTCGGAATTTTGTTATGTAACTCAAGATTTAAATCATTACTATCGTTTCGTACCAATATAATAATAATAACTGTTAGGTGAAAAACTAGGGTAAATTAACTTAAAGGGAATTGGTGAAAACATATCCCCTCCTCCTTTTTTATTCTATGGGACACACTTTCTCATTATTTTATTCCTAATAATATTATATTATTCAACACTTCGGAACTCAGAAATATTAACATTGAAAATAAATTATAAAAATACCAGAAAAAAAAAAGAAACATCTAGAAAATGCACAGGCGACTTAAATTCTTACCAAATAGATAATCAAAAGTGGCATTTAAGACAGATGAGATTTCATTTTTCATAATGTTTTCAGAAATCTAATGTCGAAAAAACGATGAACGAGAGAGAGAGGGAACCTGAGTGCTGTGAGTCTGTGACCAAGAGAGAGAAGGCGATGAGAGATGGGCAACTATGAGTCTGGTATTAATAGAACTCATTTATTTAAATAATTTTTCATTTATTTAAAAGTTTATAAGACGAAAATATAATAATAATAATGGCCATGATAAAATAAATATTTTTATTTTAGTACCAAACTCGAAAAGCAGTTCCACCACGTGTACAACGAGTGTAACTAACGACTTCATGGATTATTAACCCAAGTTTTCTTAAAAGTTGCATGAAAAATGGTTAGAAAATTTGCTCGTAAAGAAGGAAAACGTTCACAAAGTCCACATTTTTCTTAAAAATTTAAATCTATATATTTCTATAATATATTGTTTAAAATGATGCTAGTATTTTGTTCAAAATGATTTCATTCTTTCATCTATTCTATTTATTTAAAGTTTTAATTACTCGTCTCTCTCTCTCTCTATATATATATATATATTGTCAACAGTTTTTATTTGTATTTATATTCATTGGACGGATAATTAAAAAATAATCACATATTGCAAAAAAAAAATAAAAATAAATGATCATGTACAGATCAAATATTTATAAATCCGATTTCCCAATATTTACATTCACGCATAGTTTTACGGATATAACGTTATAATAATTATCATCTCCTATTGGTGGAAAAATTATTATAAATTTTCTAAGATAATTTTCCGTATTTAACGTATTGTTCTAAACCACGAAAAAATAACGTGTAAGATAATTTGATGTATTTTCGCACATTTTACAAAGGTCCGAAAAAGCATAACCTCTGTGATAACAGTGGGCCCACTAAATGTTTGAAGTTTGGGTGAAAAATTAAACTAAACCAAAGAAAATAAACTTTATTTGGAGATGGTGACATTTACTTTTATTTTTGTCCTCAATTATTTATTTACTTTTTCTGAGATGGTTATTATTATTATTGAGTATTTATGTATTGTTTTAAATTCACAATAAATAATTATTAATACTGTTAGCTTCTTTTTATTATTTTAAATTCAAAGACTAACGATGCCAACAAAAAAAAACTTATATTCCAAAGTGTGCCAAAATGTGAATTATATATATATAATTATGTATACCTTTAAGTAGATACAAATGAGTATATGTGAATGATATATTTTCGAATATTTTTTTGTTATCCCTTTAGATAGAAAAAGAATCTAAGAAATCGGATAATTTATCCTCATAAATTCACATCTTTAGTATTTTCTTTGATTGACGGATCCTACTAACAAATTCATTTTTGAGGATAGAATATTATATAAAAAAACATTTATCTTTTATTCTAAAATTCTGTAAAATTTCTAACAAAAATAATTAATATGAACTTCCAATTTTTTAAAAAATATATTCTAATATTTAGTTGTGAACATGTGACTGCCATTTCGCTCCCAATTCCTTTTTTATCGCTTAAAAAGGACAAAGTGCTAATAATAGAAAAATATTCGAATATTTGGTTAATAATAGAAAAACTAAACCGGTTTGAATCTATTAACACGTAATTGTAATCGAACCAAATCTGATTGAATAGTTGTTATATTTCTAAAATCGGTGAATAATGAAACTGAATTCGAACTCAAACGAATAAAAAATAATCGAGAAAACAAAGATTTTTTCAAAAACGAATATTTTTATTAATAAATATTGAAACAAATTGAATCGAAAATGATATATAATGGAATTCAATATAAAAGCGGAATAGTTATAATTTTTTAAAATCGAAATAGCAGAAAACATAAATCGAAATCATCAACCTTATTAAAGCCTTAAAATTATTACAAATCATAATTTAAAAAATCATGGGCTTTATCTTTTTTCGAAATTGCGGAGAAAAAAGAAAATGTCGAATGGGCCAGGCCCATCATAACAAAATTTCACCGAGCGATGAGATGCATGTTGCTCGATCGAATTATAATAAACAAAGCCTGGTTTCTTCTCTTCTCCATCAGCCTCCGCCTCTCTCCGTCGTCCACTCCAAAATCAATCCTTCGCCCTCCGATCTAGGGTTTCGCAGTCGCCGCTATGTATCGCACGGCAGCTTCACGAGCTAGATCCCTCAAGGTTAGTGTCTCCTCGTGTGCGGGCTTGTGTTCCTGTTCTTGTTTCTCGAAGTTTCTGATTCAGTGGTGTCTGTGAGGCGAATCAGAGTGTTCATCCAATATTTTTCTAGATCTAAATCCATTTTGTTTTCTGATTTCTGATTGTCGAGCTTTTTCTTGCCTTTTGGGTTTCGAAATGATTTCTGTGTTAAAAGGTTGCGTTTTTTTTTCTGTAATCTTTGCGTGCGAATCCATGGGTTTAGCTTTTTGGCATCGTGTTTCCGTTTCCCCGGTTTCTGGTGTTTTGATCGGGGGATGAGAATGGTTCATTTGCCATGCCGTTTAAGGTAAATGGGTATACTTAATCGATTGCGTTTTATTTCAAGCTTGCTATTTCCCTTTGTCTCAGTCGGGGATCATGAATTCAATTATATTTCGTCGAGGCAGATAGGCTTATTTCTGTTGTTTTCTCCACAGTTTACCTTTGATTGATACAAAAGCCTTATGTTTTATGATGGGTCGGATTCATGTTTTATAGGGCTGTCTTACTCGTAATGTGCGGGCAGCACGCTATGCGAGTTCGAGTGCTGTTTCTACAAGTTCTTCGTCGGGTGGCTTGTTCAGCTGGTTGACCGGCGAAACATCTAGCTCGCTACCTCCGATGGACATGCCGCTGAAGGGTGTCTCCATTCCACCACCGCTCGCTGACCATGTCGAGCCAAGCAAAGTTAAAGTCACTACTCTTCCGAATGGCCTTAAAATAGCCTCAGAAACATCGCCCGTGAGTTTCTAATATCTCGGTTTGTCTTCTGAAATGTCAAAGTGCCAAGTGATTGATCAAGTTATGTTGTGTTTTCTATCAGAACCCGGCAGCCTCCATTGGTTTGTATGTTGATTGTGGTTCGATTTACGAGACAACTTATTCCCATGGAGCAACACACTTGCTCGAAAGGATGGCTTTCAAGAGCACATTGAACAGGAGCCATCTGCGTCTCGTGAGGGAAGTAGAGGCTATCGGAGGAAACACAACAGCATCTGCATCTCGGGAGCAAATGGGGTATACTATCGATGCTTTGAAAACCTATGTGCCCGAAATGGTGGAAGTGCTTATTGACAGTGTGAGAAACCCTGCCTTCTTGGACTGGGAAGTTAATGAAGAGGTATATCTCTTTTCTTGTATGCCATTTTTGTAATTCAGAGGTTAACTTCATCTGCACTATGTTGCAACTTTCTGGCTTATCCTTCGATGCACTTTCCGTAGCTGCAAAAGGTGAAATTGGAGATTGGGGAACTTTCCAAAAACCCTATGGGCTTCATCATGGAGGCTGTCCACTCTGCTGGTTATGCCGGTGCATTGGCAAATCCATTGTATGCACCTGAGTCTGCATTAAACCGATTGAATGGGGACGTCTTGGAAGACTTTGTTGCTGTAAGACCGCATATGAAATTATGCTGTCCTCTTAATTCTCTATGATTAGGGTAATTAGCTTTGGTTAGTTTATCATTCATCCCTTTCTCGTTTCGTCTGAGGATTTCAGGAGAATTTCACTGCTGGACGAATGGTACTGGCAGCAAGTGGAGTTGATCATGAGGAACTTTTACGAGTTGCTGAGCCGCTGCTTTCTGACATTCCTAAAGTAGCCCGCACAGAGGAACCAAAATCTCAATATGTTGGTGGAGATTTTCGTCAACATACTGGAGGAGAGGTATTCATGATTAATGGTTCCAGTCATTAGATGTCTGCTCGAGTAAAAATGGTATTTTTTTAATGACAAATACAATTTGGATTTTTGACTGTCATTCTCAGGCCACACACTTTGCCCTTGCTTTCGAAGTGCCCGGCTGGCACAACGAGAAGGAAGCTGTGATTGCGACTGTTCTTCAGGTGCCTAACTAAAAAATTGCCCTTTTACATCTTTATTTTTTTCAAATTTTCTCACATTTCAATTTCGTAAATCTAATTCCTATTAGATGCTGATGGGAGGAGGAGGCTCGTTCTCTGCCGGAGGGCCTGGAAAAGGAATGCACTCGTGGCTGTGTAAGTTCTTTCTATGTCTCCATAGCTTTTCCTTTCCATATAATTTTACCCTGCATCCATCCATTTAACTCATCGGTAATTTCCGAAATCACGATGTTTCCTCTTTCTTTGTACAGATCTCCGAGTCTTGAATGAATATCAGCAGGTTCAATCATGCACTGCATTCTCTAGCATCTTTAACAACACTGGTTTGTTTGGCATCTATGGTTGCTCGGTGAGTTCTTCTATGGCCAATCTATTCATTACCATTACTCTGCCCATTGTGACAAAGTAGCTAATAGCTATTCGTGGATTGCCTTGGTCATAGACCAAATCAAATAATCATTTTTGTGGTCATAGACCAAATCAAATAATTTCCTGGTTTTATAGGCTGTGTTTCACTTGATAGTTTTGATTGGCTGTAATTATCTCACCATAACATTGGGGCATGCCCTCCTCATTCTTGATTGCAGAGTCCTGAGTTTGCTGCAAAAGCAGTTGAAGTAGCGGCTAAAGAACTGAAAGATGTTGCAGGAGGAAAAGGTTTTCATTTTCTTTTGAAATTTAGCTCTCTTAATCTAAGCTGGCTGACCCTTTTATTTTTTTATCTAAAACATATCTTAACTGTTTATGTCTGCTAGTTAACCAGAAGCATCTCGACCGTGCCAAGGCAGCCACGAAATCTGCCATTCTCATGAATCTGGAATCTCGGGTACCTATAACTCTCAAGATTAACCTTTCTGTCCGAAAATTCGCTTTTACCTGGTCATTCACTTGGTAATGCGAACCATTATGATGTGGTTATAATGATCAAATTTTCTCTGGGCTGACAGATGATTGTAGCTGAAGACATAGGAAGACAGATACTGACATACGGGGAGAGGTCCATACAAATTTCTTCAAAACCGATTCGTTAAATTAGTCGTCCGAGAAATATGAACCGAGCATGGGAGTAGATTCTGTAACATAGTTTTTTTCGTTAATATTGCAGGAAACCCGTCGACCAATTCTTGAAGACGGTGGACCAACTCACCCTTAAGGACATTGCCGACTTCACCAGCAAGATTATCGCAAAGCCTTTGACAATGGCGTCTTTCGGAGATGGTAAGAACTGTTGGTTTGGTCATATGATTTCTGTATCGATCGAAAAGAGATTCAATATTTTCGCCATTTATTTTCCGATGGCAGTGATGGGTGTCCCGACCTACGATACCGTAAGCAGCAAATTCTCTTGAAGAAGAACAACGAGAAATTCTTTTGTGTATCATCAACTGGAGTTTGGGACTCTGCAGAATAAAAAAGAAAAGCCCCTTTGAAGAGCCGACCGTTTTTGTTTCTTTTTGATTCACCACAACAGTTTCTTCAGCCAGTTTCGGAGTATTTCTTCTCTCCGATAAGCGATCGGTACGTGAATAAAGATCGAAACGGTTTTCGATTCTTACGGGCATTGCTTGTCTGATTGTTTACAGGGGAATGCAACTGTTTCTTTTTCTTGAGCTTGAAAGTTTTCTTGTTTATTTGATCATATGACAATGCAACTGCCAACGTCCCAACTCGTTAACAAATCTCGCAGGACGTTTCACGTTTCGGGTTACGTTTATATTTCGTTTCGGGTTTGGTCCGCGTCTCTCGAGTTGGCGATGTAAAAATCGGATTGATTTCGTTTCGGGTTCATCAAATCTGGTTTAGAAATGAATGACAAGTGTTATCTAATTTCGGTTCGGTTTGGTTTAGCTTTGTTTCGATGGCCTTTTCCGACATTGTCAGACTGCCTCAACCTCTCTCCCACCCTCAAATAAAGGGGTGGGAGAATCGGTTCGGTTTTGGTAGTAATTGTTCCTTCCTAGAAAATTATGTACCAATTGATTTTTATATTACATTGACAGTTATTAAGAAAAATGTATATTCTATGAATAAATTTTTCTTTTTTCAAATATTCTGTTCGGATTCGGAATGTTTGTTTTTTAAAAAACACTACAGTTCGTGATCTTTGACGGTTTGATTCTGTTTGGTAAGGAGAAAACAAAACTTGAAACGACCATCTCTAATCAAATTCCTACATTACCCCTCGATTTCGGATATTTTTCGATTTTGCCCTGATTTTTAACCAACGTTGACCCCTTCCTTTATATTCGTACCATTCTTTTGTGGGTTTTTTTCCTCTATCTCTCTCTCTGGCATTCGAGTGTGGTGATAATTTGGTTAAGCTTGTGATGAAGATTGACTATACGTCTATCACATTCATTATCATCATCATCATCATCATCATCATCACCATCAAAGCTTCGGTAATACAGACACTGATTCAAGAGTGAACATCGTTCTTGCACTTCCTTTGTATCTAACTGATTTTACTACACACACCATGTGAAATGTTCTCTATGATTTTGCAAAGTCGCCTATATAGATATATATATATATATATATATATATATAACTTGAGAGGAAAAGAAAATATTCAAGATTCGCATTAAGGATTCAGCAATGGTTGAAAGCCATACATAGAATCCTGGATCGACCAAACTTGACAACTATACTCGTTGGGCACAACATGAATGAATGAAAAGTCGGCCGAGTAACAATTAACAAATATCGAATCAATAATCTAATCTACACGATCTCTATAAAACGCTCCAAAAACATTTCACGCGAACAAAATGGTGATGGTGCCCTTTTTTCAAGATGAACAATACCATAACAAATCATACCCACACATGTACGTGCTCATCCTAGGGATCCTTTTTCTATATTTAACCTTCGATACATAAAATGTCGGTAAATTTGAATAGAAGATACAAGGGCTCAAAATGGGTCGCTGAATTCACCACATCACATATACTTCAAATATCTACATACATACATACATACATATATATATATATATCCATCATCGTATATAAACTCTACGAAATGAGAATACAATCATATTATTATAGATGATGATGATGATACAAATTAAGTTTATGTCAGGCGTATAAAAAGATCCATCTGTGTACGAAAACACATTAACCTTACGTCTCTTTTCATTTGCCTGGCTTCACCCTGCGTGCCCCCTCACACACACACTCTGCTACGACGCTTTCACCTTGATTTTCCAATGGATTTATTCCGAACGACGACGTCGTTTTCTTCTCTCCATCTCCTCTCCTTTGCCTTCCTTTTGTTGCTGTGAAGAAGAAGAGCCAAAGTATAAGTAGGGTTTTCGGGGGGTGAGAGAAATATTAGAGGAAAACAAAGATATATATATATATATATATATATATACACACATATATTAGGTCCTTTTTTTTAGGAATTTACTCACATTTCCATATAATTACAAGAATACATATACTAGGTCCTTTTTTGTAGGAATTCACTCATATTTCCATATAGTTACAAGAATGCCCTTATATATATAGATATTAGGTCTTTAAATTAGGAACTCGATCATATTATTTTTGACCCAAAAAAAAAAACTCGCTCATATATCTCCATATAATTACGAGAATGCCCTTCTCAAATTTCATCCCGAGTTTGTTTTCCGTGACTCGGAACCAAACTTTTAGGTGGAATAACCAAGTGGTTGGATGCAGAATGCCGTTTACCTTCTGTAATAATCTTATTCACTTGAGAAAAATCCGAGATCAAACAGAGAAATATATATATATATATATATATATATATATATATATATATATAGCGATATCTAAACTCCGCAAATGTAAACTCTCGATGGCTTTCAATGATTCCGGGTTTGAATGTCTGCCGTTCGCAACATATAAATTGCTTAATTTCAATATATTTAAAACTGAAAACCCACTAATCAAAATGCATCATGATGCCACGAATGTTCAAAAGAAAGCTTCTGGAAGCGCACTCGATTGCGTAGAGACCACATGCACTTTTTGAATACGGGTTGTAAGTCATGCGCCTCAATCATATTATATGCATACACATTACACAAACACAATATGAACCACTGATTGTCGGTTCAATGGAATGTGAATATTTGTGTAACCGAATCGATATTAATTTATTACGTTAGGTTTCTATAAAGATATAAAAAAATATATATATTCATATGTGTAGACAAATGATCATATGATAACTTCGAGATATATATATATTCATAAATTGGAAAAATCTTATATATATAATCTCGAACGGATCTCGGACAATGAGAAACTGTAACAAAATAATTCAAAGAATCATCATATGGTTGGGGGGGAAGTGGGGCTTGAATAATGGAAAAGGATTCAACTTCAATTTCATTTCACTGTTGGACCATATAGTTACATTCATTCATTGGACGGACCCAATAGCTCTTGCGGCCAACAGTTTTAGGAGCATTAATAAACTTGAACCTTTCATATATTGGAGAATCTCTCTCTTTCGTCAAAACATATAATCAATACAATCCATATATATATATATATATATGTATTATTTTATATAATAATAATGAATCGTATCGACAAATAAGTCATGATATTGCAAGTAGACGAATCTTTCTGCTGCCTTAAAATATCATATTCAAGTTTTTTCTACAAAGTGTTTTCTATGTTTCAAGATTATGTCGGAGAAATTTTCCCATCGTGTCACGGTGCTTAGTTAGTGGCTGCACTTCGATGGAAATAAAAAAACATAAAATAGAAAATTTAATATATTTCACCCTTATGTATTATTCTCACAGTATAATTTAATATCCCCCAAAAATTAGTTTCATGCATTTTTCTATAGAAAATTTTTTATTTTTTTTACGTGTTTAATCATGCAACCGTACATTAACGTTTACTAACTTTTGATATTTCAGAATTAGAGAGAGATATTGAAAAAAGTTTTTCTTATATTGTTCATTCATCACAAGTTCCTTAAATACAAATAGAAAAATATAAAGAGAAACCCTAACAAATCCTAACCAAATTAAACCAAAATAGATTAAACCAAACCAGCATTAAACCAAACCAACATTTAACTACATATATATTCTAATAATAACCGGTCGGTCGAGTTACCAACACGATAAATTAGTACACCGATGCCGACACATAATTGAACAACATGGCGACAAATATATCATGGAGTCGGAAGAAAGAGAACGAAAACAAACGTCAAAGTTGAAAATTAATTGTTTTGATTGGTCGGTTTACGGAAGAGAATTTATACGAAAAAAGTTTGGGACATTTAAATGCGCGATTAAGAATAATGTTGGACTATGATAAATGAACAGGAATATTTCCCAAGGCATCGTCTCAAAACGGTGGTAAAATTTTGTATATCATGACTCTATACAATAATCATTTTCTTCAAATCTTATTATATGTCAGAGATTGTGCATATAATATAATGTAGTGCTATCTAAGGTTGGGTGATTCAACCGATAAAGAAATGAACAAAACTTATTTCCAATTCGGATTCGAGTCCTTATTCACATGCGTTTTTACAGTTCTCTAAAAAATATAATTGGACCAAAGATATGAGAAACATTATAAAAAAAAATATAACATAGTATTTAACAAAAAAAAATTCATAGTAGATGAAAAATGTATATAGAAATTTTGATTAGTGATAGTCAAAACCAAATCAAATATAACTCAATAACGTGTTACCATAATGTCTGAATAAAATCTAATACGATATTATTATTTTTAAAACCATATTAATCAACTCTGAATCCAATATCAACAATAGAACCTTCATAATGGGATCGAAAATCGATTAAAAAAACCAAATAGATATTATTTTTACGAAATCGAAAAAGGAAATAACCTAATTAAAATATAACTAAAATCCTGTATATGTACCTTCCAATATGTAGATAAAAGAAAATTTAATTGTAAGGATTAATGGATAATGGTTTTGGGTTTGAACTTCGAGACCCAAACGTTAGGACAATCAAGGCCCATGCTCAATGTCAGCTTTAAACGGCACACAGTCTAGCCGTGAAATCGTGAAACTGCAAACGGTGTTTTTATTTCTTTTCTTCGTCGTGATTCCATTCCATGTGTGCGCGTTTTATTTTATTTTATTTTTTTTGGTTCGCAAAAGGTAAATTTTAAAAAGTATTTAGCGACTGCTAGGCCCGAACATGATTCCATGTATTTTATATCTTATGGGCGGTTGATTTCATACTTTTGGTTTAGAGTAAAGTTTTAGCCTCGTCCACCGGTGATTGCCGGTCTTTAAATTCGAATTTATTTATTGAGTTCTCAAACTACGGTTCTTCTGAAATTATTTTCCTCAAACACCCGAAAATAATTAAGGTTAGATGTTTAAATATAATCAAATTTTCGAGAGACATGGTTATTAATAATTATGCATGTTAGATTTTGCCAAAACTCCCAATTTTAAAGCACCACATGCATCTCATCTTCGCTTGAAGGGTATCTACAGAAAACCCATTATTTGGTATATCCACGCAATATCTAAACCTTAGGTTTCCCAAAAATAAAATTCCGGAATCAAGTTCTCCAAAAAAATTAGGGTTCAAGCCCTCTCTCTAGCGTCTGCATCCAATTTTTCGTTCAACTAGTCGATGATCCAGTGGTTGAGAGATAATAAAATTATTTTAAGGTTTTGGGTTCGATTTCACTAATGGAGAGAAGGGAACACAATTAATTGCGTGGCTAAATACTGACTTCGGATTCAGATGATTAAATAGGGCGGAGACTCAATAAGCTTTCTGATTATAAGAAAAAAAAAAGGTTTAAAAGCTCGACTGTTTGAATTCGAGATCGAATATTTCTATATCTCTATGTCTGAATCGTTTATAACAATATAATCCGAAAATATCGTGAATCAATGGGGAATAAATTATAGAGATAGGAAGAAGAGAATAGTCTAAGATTTCTGCTTTTGGAGAGTTAGGCAAAGTCCCAACGAAAATGACTGTTCAAAGTCTCCCCCTCGAAGCATTCATTCCCTCTCTTCCACTTTTGTGGGTTTCATTTCATGTCTCCGTCTCTTTCCCAAACCCCAAATCTGTAAAAGCCTAAGCCTTGTAACTATCTAATGCCACCACAAACTCTTGCTCTTGAATTATTTTGTCATGATAAAAAGATACGTTCTTTTATTTTTATTGTATCATATAGTTTCTCATATCAAATATACGTCATGAAAATTTTTAGATATATGTAGAGGCACTAAAAAAAAAAATCTTCTTTTATTTTTCTTTTACTCTTAATAGAGAAAATAGTGGAAGGTCGTTGTATTTCTCATTTTTAACATAAAATATTAGAATATTTATAGGTTTTAATATAAATAAATCATATAATATTATTTTATTTGATTAATATAAATATCTAAAATATAAATATCTAAATATTATGTAATATTATTATAATCTTCTCTAACAATATTATATAATATTCTTCGTCTCTCGTAGAGTCCTACATTGAAAAATATATTGCAACTTAATATTTAGAAACTTTTTTACTTATCAAAAGAATCGTATATATATTGTGAATTTTTTTAAAGTATATTATGTGCGCCTCAAACGAAAATTGAGAAATATCCACATATTCTAATTATTTACAATAATATTTTTAGAAAAAAGATAATACTTGAAATTGCAATATAGAAAGAGACTATTTAATCAGTACTTCTCAAACTTAAATTTTTAATCAACAAAAATACAAAATAATAACACAGCCAATTTATATATGGCATGATTAAGGGCACTAATCATTTCACAATTCAATGTTTGGAAACTCATGTTGGAATCCATAAAGGCAAGAAGTTAAGATTACAAAAGCATGGAAGCCAAAGCCTGGACTATGAAGTTTCGAGGAACATCAAAGATCAGATTCAGATCCAAACTCTCAACAGAGTAAAAGGACTTGGACAAGAAAAAAAAGACAATAATATGTAACAAACCACATGTACATGAAGAAAGCTGTAAGAACATGGCCAAGTAGTAGAGAGTTTTCAAGGCCAAATTTCAGACAAAGTGAATGGTAAGCAAAAACATCTCTTCTCATTCAAAAGATCTTCATTCAATGTTTCATCTTCTCTTGCTTACTGCTACCAACTGCAGAGAAAAAACCCATTTCTGGTTAGTGATTTCGGATTCGTATAAAGATCGGTTTAAATCCCGAGGTATCATCACACTTACAGGTTAATGCAGAAGAAACTTCAGAGCTTTTGATCACCCGCAGCCTCTTCACCGACGATACGAACATGCTGTAATCAAATTCGATATATGTTCAGACCCATAAAACAGTATCAGTTTGCAAGATTACATGTAAGCTCCAAGCAAGATTCCTTCAAGTTAGATTGGAGAATCAATGAAACAGAAGGAATCTGTTGCTATTGTGATTAGGAATCTAATTCTGCTTCCCATAGAGCACTATTTTCCACTGTTGGAATATATTCCCAACAATAATAAGAGAAAAGGAGAAAGGGTCTTACTGCCATGGAACATCCCCAACAAGCATCTTGTCGCCTTCGTTGTCTTCGTAAGTGAGAGTATATTCTCCATTACCGTCCAGCAACCGGGTGATCGGTCTCTCCTCTCCTAGCTTGTTTCCACGACCAGAGGAATCTATCTGAGCTGAAAAACACGTACGTAACAAAGCACCATTACTTGAAGAACAAGAAACCCATGTTCGAGTTTTAAAACACAACCACACAAGTTAAGGTTGAGAGAAAGATCATCTTTTTCATCACAACTCCATTATCACCAAAGCTGAAGCTTACAGAAGATAAGACTAAATCCCTAGTTTCAAGGCACTTAGACGATTTTCCGCTCCAAGGGATAAAGCAAAGGCTTTGAGGATTTCCTTCTAAACCCTTTCAACTATCTGAGGATTAACCACTCAGATAAAGCAGAAGAAGGGCTTTACTCATTGTCTTAGTAGACTCTTAATCAAAGTATCAACAATAAAGAAACATATCCATAACCAAGGGATAGTCATAGAGCCAAGTATATGAAACAAGGGAAACATTTTAACAAAGAGATTTTAAGTTATAAACCTGCAAGAAGGCCTCTGAAGAGCTTGTCGACGGCCGAAGACAGCTGTTCATAGCTGCTGTAGGCGTTGAGATCGACTTTACGACCAATAGGAACACCATCCATGTTGATCTTCACAAACAGACCTTTTGTCTTAGATTCGAATGGTTTTTCAGCATCACACTTGCCCTGTCCGCCATTGGAGGACTCGTTTCCCGCCTTCGAAGAGCTTGCGCTCGCTAGATTCTTCCTGAAGGAACGGACCGGTGGCCAACCCACCACTGGACCAGGAGCAGTTCTTCATTTTTTCCCACCAAGAATATAGGGGAAAAAAAGAAAAGTTACTAACTTTCAACCAGAAAAGCAGTAACAGATCTTCAATACAGGATCAAATAAAAAACTACTGAGGGTATAAAGCATGGAAATGGTATTGTTGGGTCTTCAAAGAAAACAGCTTTTTACTGAAAAGTCTGACTTTTTCCTCGATTAAGGAAACAGTCACCAGATAATAATACAAGCAAACAGGGTAAAGAAACTACTGTAAGGGTGATAACTGATAAGGTCAAGGAAAAGGGCAAAGAAAAGACTGCAACTTTCGCATATGAGGTAAAAAAAAATTTAAACAACAGAAGAAGGTAAAAAAAACGAGAACTCTGAGATCCATTTACACAGGAAATGATCAAAATTTGCAGGATATGGGACCGTATTTTAAGTGAATATACTCTGCCATAAGAATACAAAAGGAAAACAAAGACCAAAAGCAAAAAAAAAAAAAGGGCCCTTGTAAGGAAAAAAAAGAGGATTACCTTTTCTGGGAGCTGTGAGGAACAGCTGTGGTTTTGGTTGTGGAAGGAGAAAAGTGTCTACCGAGACAGAGCAGGGACTTGTCCTCTGTTTCATGTTTGACGTTCAGCATGTTCTTGTTCTTGTTTCTGTTGTCTGTGTTCTTCTTCATTGCCAAGCAACCTTCATCGCCACCAGGGGGACCAAGCCTCAGCTCGAGCTTCTTCTCCTCTGTGTTGCAACATCCATGGCTCGATTTATCGTCGTGGAACCATTCTCTGTCTTTAGGGATCAGATTCAGAAGCTTCGGACAGATTTCACCGTTTCTTGCAGAACCCTCCATTTGTTAGATGGGTATCAAATCTTCTAGCGATCGTTTCGCTAACAAGATGGCCAAACACGGAAGTGATTCAACGGCCCAACACTTGAAAAACCGAGAATTTTTGTCCAAAAGTTAACAACTTAACGCAAAAGAAGAAACTTTGCCTAAACCCATGAGAACCCACATCTTGATATCATCACAAGAACCCTTTTCAGCATAAAAAATGAGCTTTTATGAAACTAGAGGGAGAGAGAGAAGAACCCTACAACTCACCAAACCCCTAAGCCCTGCTTAAAAACCTGAAAACCCCTTTACAGAAAAAGCCCCACAAAAAAAAAAAGGAGAAATGTTCTTAAACTATGATAAGGGTTTGTGATGGATGGTGGTGGGATTTTATACGAATCAAGCTTTGCCTTTTCCTCCTCTTTTTTTTTTTTATTTATCTCTCGCGTTCTTTTAATGCACGCTTTGGTGGGTTCTCATCTTTCACTCCCTCTTTTTACACTTTGCCCTCTCTCTCTCTACTCTGAAAGGGACGAGAGAGATGGAAATACAGAGAAACAGGAGAGAACTTGGATTTCTGGAGAGAGAGAGAGAGATTCCAATTTGATCCTAAACCCAAAAGAGAAAACAGTAAAATAGAAAGGGGAAATTGAAGAATTAGGGATTTTAGTGTGAAGCACACGCAATCCCTCTATCTCTCTCTCTCTCCCCTTAAAGAACACTAAGGTTGGTTAGTGGAGGAAGCAAAGCGTGCTGTCCTGTTCCTGTCCTACGCACCCCTACTCTGCCTCTCTTTCTTCTGTCTCACACATTTAGGAAATTAAACTATTTTATGCGAAATTAATTTATATGTTAATTAGATATTTCAGATAACATAATTTGAACTCATGCACTGTCCATTATTTACTTTTGAAAAATGTACGTTGTATTAATGATTCAAAAGAAACTGTTTTGAACGTGAAACTTATTCCGGACATTAAATTAAAAATTTTATAATTCTTTAAATTTTATTCCAATCGATTTTTAAATTTTTATTAGAAATAGATTTATTTTCTATTTTTTTTTTGTTTTTTCTACTTTCATAAATTTTTTTATCCGATATGTTTATTTTGTTTTTTAAAAATAAATATAATCTATCTTATATTAAGATTTATTTAAATAAAATTATGTACCATTCCTTTCATTTCGAGTCAGTTCAATTTTTACTTGAATAACCAAAATATATGTCCATATATCAAGTTAAAAAAAACTTTATTCATTGGATTATCAATTATATGTAAGCATATGCCAATATATTAATTTGTCAAACTGCACTGTTATTATTTGGAATCATAATTTATTAAATAATTGGATAGATACTTTGTTTTATTTTAAATTTTTAATCTTGTCGTCTTATTTAATTATCCTTTTGCTGATGTTACATGCAGTTATCTAAAACTACAACAAGAAAAGAAAGAAGCCATATGATGACCAATAGAGAACTCTCTAGGTCATTGTTTGCAATATATAATGGTCACCTACTATATATATATATATGTTAGACGATTAGCTTAAAGAAGATAAAAGATATTTTTTGCATACTTATCTTCTTTTTTGGCATACTTAATTGTCCTTAATTGAATGATTATCCGCCTTGCGTTTTTTTTACATATAAATAATGTTTTTAACACGCGCATGCATTGCGTACACACGGTCACTTCAAATTCCAACATAAGAGAGAAAAATAAAGCAAGGAATCGTTATATATATATATATATATATATATATATATATATATATATGATGTATATTTCTTTGAATATTCGGACGTATGACAAATATAACAAGATGTTAAATGAAAAAAACGAAAAAAAATATATAAACTCCATAGGAAGATGTAAAAGATATTTACAATTATGGCAAATTTACCAAAAAATGGGAGAATCTGCATGGCGTCTTAGGAAGAAAAAAAATAATTTGTCAATTTTTGTTTTGATAAATAATTTGTCAATTTATTAGGTGTGCTTATTATTTTTATTTTTATTTTTGTCAAAGTTAGAGACAATACATACGTGTGGGTAGGGGAAGAAGGGTGACTTTGGACATGTTCAATTATTTTTTGCAATTAAGAAAAACATATGCCATCAAAACGGAGGAGTCAACTGTTACTTTCATTGAAAAAAACCGGATATCACTATATTCAATTTATGGAAATTACGCACACGTATACACATGTATACAAGACGTATAGCAAACAAAAATTATTATCATTCATATTATTAATACCATTCAAAATATAAATATTAATTTGATTTTATTAGAACAATATCTCATATCATTCTTTTTAATTTATATAAATAAAATGATATATATGTATACATAAATTGATCGAATATGTAACTCCTCTTTTATTTGGAGAATACAAAATACTTATACATCTTCTGAGAATCACGACCACGACATTAATTTCCCATATTTAACGAAACAAAAATAAATTCATCATGTTTCTAACATGGATCGATTGAATTAATTTAATCTCTTAATTCTTGGAACATAGTCATATTCAATTAAATTAATGTAAACCGTAATTTCTATCTATATCTCGTATTTTAAATCATAATTTCGAATTACACACGCATTGCTTTTTTGCGTCAAATTCGAACGTATTCTCCGGGAAAAAGCAAAGGGCACATTTATCATTAATATTATTCCACGCAAATCTATAGAACAACGACAAGGGACACGAAATCTCACACGTGTGACAACGATATTACGAAAATGCCCAACCAGAAGAATCAAAGGTAGGGGAGAGTTTCGGTCAAGCAAGGAAGGGTAATATAGTAATTTCAGTGAAATGTGACGCTGGTCATTTCCTGTCCCCGTATTACCCAACTCGTAGACTTTCTTTTTCCACCCAGCGGCAATAAACAGACAAAAAAAAATACGGACTGAAGACGACAAACAATTAAAAAAAAAAACAGACCTCGACGATTCACATTCTCATAGAGACAACCTTAACCACGGTTCGGTCCCCTAAACCTAACCCCTGGTTTAACCTGACCAGATATCCCAGAAACCTTCCGTTTCACATTTCTGCATCTGCGTCTGCGTCTGCGTCTGCGTCTGCCGTTGGGGTTGCGGTTGAGAACAGTTGCATGATTTTTTAATTTTTTGTACAGATATTTAGCTAATGTTGTGAATATAGGGTAAATGAAATCGACCGTACACTACTGATTATATTTTTATTTTAAAATTATAAAACTTTATCTTTTACAATAAAACTAAAAAAATTTGGTTTGGAGGTCACTCAATTTTGACATATCATCTTTGTAATCCTATAATTTAATTTATAGTTTCAATCATAACGAAAATTTATAAATGATCAAATGTAACCATTACACATCGATCATCATTAATAAAAATATTATTAAACATGATAAGAATTTTTATTTTTATACCATGATTATTATTACTAATAATATCTATCTTTTATTTTTTAATTCAATTATTCTTACTTCATTCCTTTATAATTCAAATCTCATTACCTATTATGATAATTTGTTTATTATTACCGTATCATTCGATGATTAATAGGACATCACTTGTTATTTTGATAAAAGTCGCTAAAATTCGGTGCAAATAGATTTCTAGAGAGGAACAATCTTGTAGGCGTCGTGAATCATTTTAACAGTCACGTGCGAAATTATTCCAAACGTCGACATTGACATGAAAACACTATCCCCTAGCGTTTGAAACGCTGACCAGCGTTTGCGTTTGAATGTTCGCGGATAACGCCGTTTTTATTCCATTCGAGGCCACGTTGCGCTAGAGTTGGGTAGAGAGACACAGAATCCATGATTTTGACAGCAAAATCTTAGACGGGCCGAAACAGTAATTAGATCCTCCGATAACGTTTAATTTTCAACTGATCACAACCGTACATGTAAGCACAAAACAATATCAACGGCTCAGATTAATTATCAGGTCCAATAAAAAAATCGCCGACCTATTTTAAAAAATATTTTGATAAATAAAAGGCGAAAAAAAAAGGAACAAAACAACTCGTGAATTGAATGTCAAATCAAAAGGAATAGTGGCTGTAATGATGCCCCCATAAGACTAATGCCTTTTGATAAGGCTCCACTGTGAAATTATAATCGGATAACTATAGCTTTTGTTTATATTTATATATATATATATATATAAATAAATATATATATATATATATATATTCTTGACTAAGCAAACGTAGGGTAGGGCTTTTTTTATCATGTAGATTTTTTTCAGCCGAATAATTTTTTCATGAATTATATTTATGAAAAAATATAACAAATTATAAAAACGTGATAATTGTTACTGCTTTATAGGCGTTATATCACTTAGTTCATGAAAAATACACAACGTGAAAATATCCATACAACTGATCTTGTTTTATGTACTACCTTTTTCTCTCTCTCTTTACAACACATGTTAAAAACATATATGTGGTAAGCAAATTTGATTTTCTTTATTTATATAATTTATTATATTTACAAAGATATTAATTGAAATATGAATGGTTATATAAAATTAAATGGAATTTAATTGAGTTAAACAATAAATAATCGTACTTAAATAAAATTTTATTAAACTAATTGATGACAGTTTTTTTTTATTTGAAATATATTTAAATGAATATAAAAATAAATAAATAAATAGATTGTTCAAGAAAATAAATGCTTTCAATAAAATTTTAATAAAACAAATATAACGTAGACATAAAAAAAAAAGAAATTCAATAAACTAGAAGTATGGAACTATAATTTGATTAATTCTAGAATCTTAGATCTCGCTATTATGATGGGCTATAATTGAATTTCTTTAGGAGCAATAATTATGACAAAGGAAAGGATTAAGTAAAATAAAACAATTGCCAAAAAGGTCCATTTTATTTCTTATATAAAGTGGCATACTCTCTTGTTGTTGTGATAATTATAAAAGCATCAAGCAAATAAGAAATGGACGATGATGGCCGCAAAGTTCTCAACCACGAGGCACCAATATAAAAAGCTTCTTTGTTTTTATTTTTAGTACAAGATAAGTATTATATTTGAATATTTGTATATAAAAAAAACAAGAATTCAATATCATAATAGATAATTGCATAATTGAAATTCTTTTGTTTGCTATAGTTGCGCATAAATTCTAGTGAACCGTCCACTAACAAATTAAAATCTATACACATAAAAAAAAGTTTTTTTTTGAATATTTTGATAAATAATTCAAACCGCATGCTAGTTTTCATCTAATCTCGCGCGAATTAAAATTGGGTGCAATATATATATATAAAGACAAAAAAAAGCCCTAGGTAATTTGTTCATTTGTATAGGAAGTCGGCCCATTGGAAATAAAGCCCATTACGAATCAGTCCATAACTATGGGTTTTATAATGGCCCAAATATTCAACAAAATGAAGTGGATCGACGACCATATTTACATCCAACGTACTTGGGTAGGCATGCAACATCCCAATTGCAATTGTTCAATCATTATATGTAAATATTATGATATATATATCAATATCATGGAATATATACATATTATTTTTAGACTATGTATATAATTAATAAGGGAGAACAAAACTTACCATGGTATGAATTCTTTTCCGTTTTTTTTTTTTTGTAGTTTTAGCAGATGAGATATTTTTATGGTAATAAAAAAAATATACGTCATTACATAAAAAAATCTTAGCAAATCTATTTAACCATTCTCAGTTACCACAATTTTTTTTTTACAATTATGTAAGCCTTTTCATTAATCAACGATTCCTATCCTATTTTTTTGAAAAATATGGAATCTTTAAACTAAAATATCATAAATAGGATCAACAAAAAGGAAAATCTTATATGCAATATTATTAAGACAACCTCAAAGTCTAAAATTAAAATAGAAAATGATATCAAATAACACAGTTTTTTTTATAAAAACTGTTTCACAATCTGACGTGATGTAATTTTGAATGCATGCAAAAATAGATATATTTTTTTAATATAAAAGTACATACTTTAATTGTCTTTGGATGATATTCATATGTAAATTTCGATAATAAATAAAAAAAATAGAAAAATAGGGTAAAAGCAAAAAGGAAATTAAAGGAGTTTCCTAAAATATATTGATGCCCCCACTCCCACTGTCCCCTGTCAGTCACAGCTCATTGCTCTCTGTACTAATACGTCCCCTCTAATTTATACTAACCCTCTAAAAAAAATTATTTTTTATAATTTCCCTTATTTTGTCCATATATATATATATATTTATAATTTCCCTTTATTTTGTCCTTATCCTACTCGTCTCATGTCTCTATTTTATTTTTATAAATTACCTAATTTGGTCCTTATATTTTTACATTTTCTCTTAATTTGTTCTCAATCCTTTTTTAGAGGCTTACTAATTTGGTTCTCTACTGTCACAACAAAATTCCCAAACTTATATTTAATGGAGTTTAGATTTGCTGCCCTTTTGATTAAGAAAAAACAAAAATCTTCATATGTTTTCAAGAGAAAGGAAAGGAAATCTAATCTAATGTTCTATATTATAATATTGCGGTCATGATCATTGCACGTGAACACATAATACGTATATATATATATATATATATATATATATGTTGCAACGTTATTTTTTCCTTATCTGTCTTATTTATAATTCTTTTAATAACGAACGAATAATATATAGTATATAATTATATCTGAAATATATATACAATTTATTTGAAGTATAATTTAAAACTAGAATATTTCAATATAAATTAATGAAAAAAGTAAATTTGTATTCAAGTTTAATAAATTTAGATGAAAATATTACTTTTTAAAATTTAATTAAAAAATAACAGTTATTCTAAATATTTAATTTCTATATGTTGAACGATGAGTAATTTAATAAAATATTATTATTTTGTTTGAGAAAAAGAGAAACGAGACGATGGATATAAATGCTCTTCTCTTAAATACAACAATGGATACTTTCTATAGTTTTAACCTCCAACTCAAACTAGCAATTCCATATTATATGATTTTAGAGCATAAATCAACACCCAACACATGTGTGAAAAAACAATAATGCATTATTAATTTATTATTATTATTATTATTATTACAAATTAATTTCCTTTGCTCATATCATGTCTATGACAGATTAGATACATGGAGAGGTACGAGCAAACAGTAAAACACTGAACTCAAACCAATTTCATGTAAAAAGGTTTTTTTATTTATTTTATTTTAATTCTATAAACGAGTTTGAGCTTTCACTCTCCTCTCCTCCGTTTTCTGCTCAATCTGCAAGAATCATCTTCGTCTCTTTTGTTTAGATTCTCTCCACAAGATTCTTGCCGAGGCAGATCTTCCATCCTCTTCAGCTCTTTTCCGAGGCGAGTAATTTATCTGATTCATCTTCGCTTCGCTCCGTTGATTTCTTATTGCTTCTCTTTGATCCTTCGAATTTCACTCTTCTGCTGAAATTCGCCGCCATCTTCTCTCTCCCGAGCAAATTGGCAGCTGGGTTTGTCGATTTCTCTCCAAATTTACTCCCTTTCAAATCAATGTCTTAGCTTCTGTCCGGATCAAATTCGTATCTCCGACGAAGGACACGATGACGCTCAGAGCTCAGAGTTTCTTGATTCTTTTCTTCTTCTTCGTCTTTGCCGGAATCTTACTGGGTTTCTCGTACTCGGCACCGATGGATTGTACGGACACCTCCCGTCTCTGTACTTCTTTCATTGCCTTCAAACCGGACCAGAACCAGTCACTCCCAATCATCCAGAGCATGTTCGAATTGCTTCTCTTTGATCCTTCGAATTTCACTCTTCTGCTGAAATTCGCCGCCATCTTCTCTCTCCCGAGCAAATTGGCAGCTGGGTTTGTCGATTTCTCTCCAAATTTACTCCCTTTCAAATCAATGTCTTAGCTTCTGTCCGGATCAAATTCGTATCTCCGACGAAGGACACGATGACGCTCAGAGCTCAGAGTTTCTTGATTCTTTTCTTCTTCTTCGTCTTTGCCGGAATCTTACTGGGTTTCTCGTACTCGGCACCGATGGATTGTACGGACACCTCCCGTCTCTGTACTTCTTTCATTGCCTTCAAACCGGACCAGAACCAGTCACTCCCAATCATCCAGAGCATGTTCGACGCCTCGCCGGACGCCCCCCCCGCCGATGAAGGCGCCGGCCTCGGCGGCTACGTCTACGTGAGGAAGAACTGCTCCTGCCTTCGGACAACCCATAAATACGCCACGAACACGACCTTCACCGTGAGACAGAATCATGGGTACGTGTACGATCTGGTTATGGATGCGTACTCTGGTTTGGCATTTCCGCCGAACACTACGAGGGCGGCTCGTCCCGGTGCGGTGGTCTCAGTGCAGCTGCTCTGCGGCTGCTCGAGCGGCCTATGGAACTACCTGATGAGTTACGTTGTGTCCGATGGGGACAGTGTTCAGTCGCTGTCGAGCAGGTTCGGTGTCAGTATGGACCGGATCGAGGAGGTGAATGGGATCTCGAATCCTGACAATATCACAGTTGGAGATCTGTTCTACATTCCTCTTGATTCTGGTCAGTGTCTGGAATCTTGGGTTTCCTCTCGTTTCGTGGATTCTGGTCACTGTTTGCTTCATTGGAAAGTTCACATTGATGTTTCAGTGTACTGATTCTTTTTCCTGGTGGATTTGGTGTATGCTTTTAGTTCCTGGAGAGCCCTATTCAACGGAGAAGGCTAATCCTGCAGCTCCTGCTCCGGCACCAGGGTCAAACAATAGCGATGTTTCAGGTAATGTGTTCTGTCTTAACTTGTGCTTTGATCAAAAGGACATGGTTCAGTTAAGTATCTTGAATAAGCCTTGCTATGTTTTGAATATGGAAGCTGATCAGAAGAGTCACAGTGCTAAAGACCATGTACCGTATATATGGATTGTCGGCGGACTAGGGGCTGTTCTTGCACTTCTTGTCATATGCATTCTCATCTGTGTCTGCATGAGGACATCCAGTTGCTTCAGGGATGGTCACTCGAATGATGAAGACGATGATAATGGCCGGAAGGTTTCTCACAAATTCCGAATTCTTAGGAAGTCGGGTTTCTTTTGTGGGTCTGGTCGGTATATGTGTTGTAGATCTGCCGACATTAGGCAAACCAATGGTGAACCTACGAGCCACCAGATCACTGTTTCGACAGGTCTGGTAACTTTCCGGGTTTTTACAATTCCTTGCTTCCTGTGATTTCAGCTTTCAATGACAGAACATAAGTTTGTTTCCTGTTGTGTTTTTTTTCCTCACATCTAGCTCTTGCCCATGACATCTTTGATGTGGACAAGCCTGTTGTTTTCACATATGGAGAAATTCTCGCTGCTACTGATGAGTTCTCAGATTCTAATCTTCTTGGCCATGGAAACTATGGGTCAGTTTACTTTGGCATTTTGCGCGACCAGGTCGGTAATTGCTATTTCGGTTTGAAATGTTGTCTATTGGTTTCCTAGTTTGAGTTTCCTTGGCAGCTTATTAGGAACTCGTTTGATACTATCAGGAAGTTGCGGTCAAGAGGATGACTGCTACGAAAACTAAAGAGTTTGGAGCCGAGATGAAAGTTCTTTGCAAAGTTCATCATAGCAATCTGGTAGTTTCTCTGAACGTGTTTCCCGTTATCCATCTTCATCTCTCGGGGTTTGTCACTATTGCTTACTCTTGTTTGGTTTAATCTTGTCAAAGGTAGAGTTGATCGGATATGCGGCAACCAATGACGAGCTTTTCGTAGTGTATGAATATGTCCAAAAGGGTATCCTAAAAAGCCATTTGCATGACCCTCAGAGCAAAGGTAAGATACTATATCGGCTGCATCATAGAATATGACTAATGTTTTGCTTACCGGTAAGAAACGACCTAAATCTTGATGATCTTTCGTAAATTCTTGATTCCCCGTGAAGGTAACACCCCGCTATCTTGGATAATGAGGGTTCAGATCGCTCTCGATGCAGCGAGAGGTTTGGAATACATCCATGAACATACGAAAACTCATTATGTTCACCGAGATATCAAGACCAGCAACATCTTGCTCGATGAATCTTTCAGGGCAAAGGTCAAGTTCCGATATTTGATCCATTTCGTGTTATGATTTCAAACCCTTTTTTACCTTTATTCAGTTAAAATACTTTTATCGTTTTCTGAATTTAGATATCGGACTTTGGCTTGGCAAAGCTTTTGGATAAACCTGGCGAGGGAGAAACTACGGTTACCAAAGTTGTCGGTACATATGGTTACCTTGCACCAGAGTAAGCCTTTCAAAAAAACATGGAAGTTCGGTTCGACGGTCAAGAAAGATTGCTTAAGTAAGGATAGTGCTAATATTTTCTTTTTCGGTTCTTATGCAGATATCTAAGTGATGGTCTTGCCACCACGAAGAGCGATGTCTATGCCTTTGGTGTGGTCCTTTTCGAAATTATTTCCGGGAAAGAGGCTGTTATAAGAACTGAAGCAGTAGGAACCAAGAACCCAGAGAGGCGTCCATTGGCAACTATTGTAAGTCCGGATGTTATATGCAAAAACACGTATTTCGTCATGTGATTCTTTAACTTTTAAACGAAAGACGGGTAGATTGGGTTTGAAATATATATATTCTGATTGTTTTCATATACGAGCTTTTGCAGATTCTAACAGCTCTTAGGAGCTCGCCGGATTCTACGCGCATGGCAAGTTTGAAGGAATTCATCGATCCAAATCTGGTGGACTTATACCCGAATGACTGTTTGTTCAAGGTAAAACCTTGTGGTCACAGATGAAACTTGTATCGAGTTATGGGTTTATATATCGAGATACAACTTTTGGGGACAGGTGGCTATGTTGGCGAAGCAGTGTGTGGACGATGATCCGATTTTACGACCGGACATGAAGCAAGTGGTCATATCACTGTCTCAGACACTCTTGTCTTCCATAGAGTGGGAAGCAACTCTTGCTGGTAACAGCCAAGTCTTCAGCGGTCTTGTCCAAGGAAGATAGAAAGAAAGAAACCTGAGAACACAGGTCGAAGGCCCGGCAAATTTTGAGACCCTTTCTGCCGTTTGCCCGCCCGTCCGTTGCGTTGTTATCGTTGGCTTACGAGGTATGGTCGGATACGTATTTACAGACGGTATCTAAATCTTGAATGTTGTTGAATCTTGTCTCTATATGTTCATTCTTTTTTTTTTTGGGGGTCGTTGTATCTGTATGTTGAAAATTCTGGGCATAAAACTACTTCCATCTTTGAGAGTTGTAGAAGAAATATCTCCATTGATAATCAGATGCTAATGTAGATTCAAAATGATGGCTGGTTATCATTTGTAAGACATCACGCTACAAGATGACCAGCAGGATTACGTTCTTTCCTCGAGACTTCAGAACTGAACTCAGAGCTTCCATTGCACGGAAGGCAGATGCAAGAACACGAGCGAGGCGGACCAAATGGTCAGCGCAGATGAAGAAAAAAACATCGCCTTTCTTTTTTTCTTTGCCGAGGTATACATACAGCAACTAGGGGTGGGCACGGTGGGTATCCGAGATTTTCGGGCAACCTGGCCTCGGCCTCCCCTCCCTCGGTAACACTTGGTATTGGCCTCGTAAAAGTCTGGATATCCAACTTTTGGGTACGCGCGAGATTAGGTAAAGATACGGGTACCCGACAGGTCGAGGTTATTCAGACGGGTAAAAAGTGGGAGAGAGTCACGCATGTGGTGGACATTTCGCTTCGGCTCTCTAGACCGGAACTGAACCGAAAAAATACATACCGTTTTTCAACCGAATTATCAAACAAATTTTTCTGAGAATAAACTTTTTTCCAAAATAAAATCGAGTCGAATAATATAATTTTTTTATAACCGAATGATTTGAACCGAACAAATATCGGGCCGAATTTCGAAATATAGTGATTTCAAAAATGGGCTTAGATTTAGTGTGTTAATTTAACTCACTAACAATTGGAAATAGATTTAATTTTTAACCAATTTAATTCAATAGTTTTTTTTTTCAAGTTTTGGAAGAATAATGAGTCGTTAATTTCGAAATATAATAATATTATATCGGACTGTTTCATAAAACCGAACCGACTATATCCGAATTAAATTTGATTTTAAATATTAACTAGATATAGTAGCTATCATATAAAAAAATAACGGAATTAATATTTTTCCTAATAAAAATCGAACCCAAACTTAAATAAACGCATATTAAATATAAATATCTAAGAAAAACGAAACAAAAAATAAATAAATAAAAACGTAAACGAAATCCGAAATATTGCAACTACATTCGTCATATAATAATAAAAAAAACACACACTATGAGCTACTTGTAACAAAAAAATAAAAAAAAATCAAAGTCAACGACTACTAATAGAGAGTCGGGCATTGTCATTGAGGGCACGTATATAAACTTTGAATGATTCATTCATTTATAATTCGGTCGTTCGTAATATCTATTAAAGCCAAATAATATACCAAATATTTATTATCCCATCTGTTATTGATATCGCTGACTCCAAATTCGGAGACTGGTCTTTTCACCAAAAACAACCTTTCGACGAAAAAGGGACAATAAGTACAAAGATGTACGATCAAGATTCTCTTGACTTACAAGGTTGTCTGAAAGAGACATGGGAGCTACTAGTGTGTCATTTCTCTTTTAACTTTTTTAAATATCCATTTCACATTTTTAAAAATCGGTTGAAATGTTATCAAAATTGTTGTTTAAATGTCGAAGCCTGATGCATGATAACTGAGGCAGTTCTCATCTCCGAGATCTCCTTTCCTTCAAAAGGGGTCTGAAAATGGAGAGTCTTATCGGGATTTTATTCGTTTCGATCGCGATATTTTCCGTTATACATCTTGTTCATGCTCAGAATCAACAAGGTAACGAACATTTTGACGGTTCATATGCGTATGTCAACGTGAAATATGATGTGGAGTATGAATTTATCATTCGTATATAACGTAAGAATTACATGTCTTTGATCCCATTGGATTTGAGACAATTACTTATGGAAGCTGAACTCTTTCTGTCCGTTTTATGACATAACTGCAGGTTTCATCACTTTGGACTGTGGGTTGCCTCCTGGTCAGTCTCCTTACGTTGAATCAGTAACCGGACTGACATTCACGTCAGACACCGAGTTCGTGGAGAGCGGAAAGAGCGGAAGAGTTCAGAAAGAATTCGAGGAAGAATTCAGGAAGCAGTATCTGAGTCTCAGATACTTTCCGGATGGAGAACGCAACTGCTATAATCTGAACGTCACACAGAACACAAACTATATGATAAGGGCTTTCTTCCTATACGGAAATTACGATGGTCGGAATACTTACCCGGAATTCGATCTACACATCGGCCCTAACATGTGGGACACTATAGATATGACCAAGGCAAGAAATGGAACAGGCAGAGAGATCATTCACATTGCAAGGTCGAGCATCTTGCAGGTATGTCTTGTTAAGACAGGAACAACCGTGCCGATAATATCCGTCTTAGAGCTACGCCCGATGAGAAATGATACTTACATTGCTCAAAGTGGCTCCCTCAAGCTTTCTTTCCGGGAATATTACAGCGATTCCGTTCGCTCGATTCGGTAAGTAAACTTGTTTTCTGATTCATTTTGTCAGATCATTACTAACTTTTCGTAATTCGTTCTAACTAACCGTAACAAAACTAGTTCAGTCACTTGTTTATGTCTGATACAAGATTTGTTCCTGCAGATACCCGGATGACGTCTATGATCGTAGATGGTTCCCGTACTTCCAGGACGACTGGACGCAGATAAACACCGATGTCCATGTGGTTACGACAATTGCAGACGTTCCACAAGGCGTTGTCGCGACAGCGGCCACACCTACAAATGCCAGTCAGCCGTTGAACCTTACGTGGAATTCGGATAGTCCTACCGATCAATTGTACTTGTACGTCCACTTTGCAGAGATTCAAACCTTACGAGCCAATGACACGAGAGAATTAAATATCACGTGGAAAGGAGATGTAATTTATGGACCTTTTAGTCCTCCGATTCTCAAAGCGACCACTATATACACTCCGTATCCTAAGAAATGCGACGAAGGAGTATGCAGCCTCATGCTTGTAAAGACCTCAAGATCAACTCTCCCGCCTCTAATTAACGCCATGGAAGTTTTCCTTACATTGGAGCTTCCACTGTTAGATACTAATCGAGATGATGGTACGTCGTCGTTATACATATTTATACATATTTGTTCATACGTACGTTAAATCCTTCAAATTTGTCGGACTGTATGTATCACAGTTGCTGCTGTGAGGAGGATCAAAGCTATTTACGAGTTGAAAAGAATAAGTTGGCAAGGAGATCCATGTGTCCCTAAAGATTTCTCATGGGATGGCGTAGATTGCAGCGAGACAGATAAACTTACCGCACCAAGAATCGTTTCTTTGTAGGATCATATAGCCATTTTTGCCCGTCGTTAATTAAACTTCTTGTCTCTAAGTATCTAATTTATACTTGAAACGTTTTATGATCATGCATTTAGAAATTTATCTTCGAGTGGATTAACCGGGGTCATACCGCTCGTCTTACAGAGCCTAACTCAGCTACAAGCACTGTACGTATCTTTGGTCATATATAAGTAAAACTCGAAACTCTCTCGATTGCCGGGAAACGGATTAAGTGGCATGTTTTGTTCTTGCGCGCGCATCCTAGAGACTTGTCAAATAACAACCTGAGTGGAGGAGTGCCGGGATTTCTAGCCAACATGAAATCGTTGTCGGTCATGTAAGTAGCTCGAGAATGCGTCAAAGGAGGTTAATATATATCCAACTGTTTTGTTCATAATGTAGTGATCTTTAACCACTTATGTTGTCTCTTGCCTTATCAGAAACTTGAGTGGGAATAATCTTAGTGGCTCAGTTCCTCAAGCTCTTCTGGATAGACGGAGCCAAGGAGTACTAGAACTATTGTATGAACTTGTCATCGAGCGGTTCTTTTTTTTTTTAATCTTCGATGAATTATCCGATCCCATTTTGTATGAAGTATATATCATCATTAACAATTTCTTGTTTTTCTGCAGACTTAAAGGAAACCCAAAGCTTCTTTGTCAGTCTGTTCCATGTGATGATCCAAATCCGGACAATGGTGTACATCACAAAAAGAGTGTCATGGTACCGATTATCGCATCAGTTGCTTCCGCTTTCGGCCTCATCATGGTTGCATTGGTTCTCGTCTTCGTTTTCAGAAGGAAAAAGCTAGCAAGTGCCGACGGTATTTTTGATCAGTCGGTCCATTCATAAGCACTATAGTTGATATAAGACAACTGTAAAACAAGCTAGAATTCAATTGTTAATTTATGATGCTTGCTCTGTAGTTGGGGTTCCATCAACAAGTATGCCACCGTTGGATGGAAGATCGCCTCAATCGTCCCAACCATCGATCGTAACGAAAAATAGAAAGTTTGTTTATTCAGAGGTTCAAGCCATGACAAACAACTTCGAAAGAGTTCTAGGGAAAGGAGGGTTCGGAGTCGTATACCACGGTTATGTGAATGATACTGAACAAGTGGTCGTTAAAATGCTCTCACAGTCATCTGCTCAAGGGTATAAGCAATTCAAGGCCGAGGTACTTTGTATCGAAATCTTAACTTTTCTCGAGTTATTCGTGAAAAAGTTATATGGGTTTGCCTCTGAATTATCCATCTTTTCGATGATTTGTTAGGTCGAGCTTCTTCTAAGAGTTCATCATAAGAATCTTGTTAGTCTGGTTGGATATTGCGATGAAGGAGAGAACTTGGCTCTCATATACGAGTACATGGCCAACGGAGACTTGAAAGAACATCTATCAGGTAAAACACGTGTCACTACAAGAAGACTTGAAAGAACATCTATCAGGTAAAACACGTGTCACTACAAGAAAAACTGTAATTTGCGACAGAAAAATCTGTCGCAACATGAAGAAGAATCTGTCGGTAAAAACAATTTGCGACCGATTACGACCGATGATTGTCGGTCGCTAAATCGTTGTCGCAAAATCTGTGTGGTCGCGATTCTGTCGTAACGTTGCGACCGACAGATCTGTAGGTAGTCGGTCGCAAATATACGACAGATGGCTATATGTCGGTAATCTGTCGCAAATCGGTGAATCCAGATCTGTCGCATATTGCGACAGAAATAGGAGTAGGTATTCGGTTGCGACGTAACGACAAATTCTATCGGTCGCACTCTGTCGCAAAATAACGACCAAATATATCGGTAGGTATTCGGTCACAACTGTCCGACTAAATTAATTGGTCGCACTTTGTCGCAAATCTAAATTTTTTTTAAAAAATATTAATAAATAATAATTATTTAAATTAAATTAAATTTTAAAAAATAATTTTAAAAACATAAAAGAAAAAATATTTATTTAAAATTAAAAAATTATTTATTAAATAAAAAGTATTTATTAAAAACAAATTAAACACTAAATAAAAAAGTTATCCGGATTGTCTGATCCGGTTGTTTGGTCCGCTGGTGTCGTAGAAGGTCCGACTCCGGGCTGAGGAGTCAGAAATGGGTTGAACGGCATATCTTGCGCCGTTGGTGGATCGTCTCGAGGAGGAAATAGCCGGGCGAAAAGCGTCTCGTAACGCGCAATTCGTGCCTCAGCTTCTTCAAGTCTAGCAATCTTCCTGCGATCGTCCTCGAACTCTTGAATCTTTTTCTTCAACAGCTCGACCTCCTTAGTGAGTGAGACGTGATGACCGATCGATGTTGCATCCGGATGACCACCACCCAACTGAGTCACCATTGCACCGACGCCGTATATACGTCATTTGGCATCGGGTTGGACAACCTACAAAATCAAAAGTATACGTCAATTAAACTAATTTAATAAAAAAATAAAAAAATAAATAAATTTACCTCCAGATAGAGGCTGTTGATTTCTGCTGGCGAAAGTTGATCTTTGCCTGAATCGCATCCTCGATTTCCTGAACGCGATCGCTGATATAAGTACCGTCAGCTCGACGGTGAGTCTCCTGCAGCAATCGCAACGCAGAAGGTTCTTCACCTTCCTTCTGCATCTGCACCCAAAAAATTTAATTAAAAAAATTTAAAAAAATTTTAAAATAAATACTTATTTACTTACTATCTCATGGGCGACTCGAGCAAATGATCTCCGTCCTGCAGTGTGGGTCGGGGGTGCACGTTCGACCTCCGCTCGGGATCGTCGATTGCTTGAGAATGTTTGACTCTTCTGCGTTCCTTCTTCTGAATCCCAATATTCAACTAGCTGATCGTAGATCGTCGTCGACATCCATGCAGGTCGTACACGTCTGCTCTTTACCCGATAAATGTTGTCCTTGAGGCGATCTCGGACGGCGAGCCTCCAAGCGGCGTAGATTTGGTCATGTACAGACTCGTCTCAATAATAAGCTTGCTATAAAAAAAATAAATTTATAATTTTGTATGCATATAAAATTGAACTAAGTGCCAAAATTCTTACCGCAAAAGCCCCAAACCAACGCTGCAGATCAGATGGAGGGACATGGGTAAGACTCCGCCACGGACCTTTGAAGTCCGACTGAAAAATGCTGACGACGGATGAAATCAGGTCGTCATTACGATCAAACCTGTAAAAATCGGATTCGTAAAATTAATTTAAAAGAAATTAAAATAAATATATATTATATGCATAAAATACCTACCAAATAGAACCGGGGGAACGATCCGGATCTAGACGAGGTCGGAGACGACGTTCTGCAGACGCTAGAATCTCCTGCAACGATGGCGATGGCGATGCACCATGACTAGATGCACCTTCATTCACGGATTGGGGGGAAGCCGCACCCGTGAAAGGTACATCAAGTCGATGAGGATCGACTACCACCTGATCCCGATGGACAGATGGTGATCTAGATGATCCGATCCCACGTCCTCGGGATCGTACCCCGCTACCACTACGACCACTAGAATGGGAGTGACTCATCTACAAGTTACATATAACAAAACAAAATCATGAAGACCCGTGAACTAGCAGTAAACCCTAATCCTAAACCCTAAACCCTAAACCCTAAAGAAACCCTAAAATCTACAACCCTAAACCCTAAACCCTAACCCTAAACACTAAACCCTAAATCCTAAACCCTAAATAAACCATAAACCCTACAATAACCCTAAACAAATCCTAAACCCTAAATTAACTCTAAACCCTAAAAAAACCCTAAAACCAAAAACCATAAAATCAAAAACCCTAAAATGCAAAAACCCTAAATTAAACCCTAAACACTCCCTAAACCTTAAATCCTAAACCCTAAATAAACTATAAACCCTAAAATAACCCTAAACAAATCCTAAACCCTAAATTAACCCTAAACCCTAAAAAACCCTAAAACCAAAAACCATAAAATCAAAAACCACAAATTAAACCCTAAAATAATTCGACCACAACCTTAAATCCGAACCAAAAACACCTAAAAATCGAAACAATTGAAAACTTTTTCATTAAAAATTGGAAACTTACTCGGTGACGGCAAATGACCGGCGCGGTGATGCGGCGGTGTCGCTGGGGGACGACGGCGCGGTTATGGGGCGGTGCAGCCACTGTTCAAACTCGATTCGAAAGCAAAAAATACAACGAACCTAAACTAAACCGATCGAAAAGGGGAAGAAGAGGGGAGACGCGAGTTCGGAAACTTACCTGGCGGCGGCGAAGGAGCGGCGGCGAATGACAGCAGCGTTCGAAATGGCTAAGTGTCTAAGGAAGAAGACGATTCGCGATGTTTTTAAGAATATTGCGAACGATTTATTCTGTCGCAATCTGTCGCTGTGTCATTAAAGCGGGAGACACGTGGACATTGCGACAGATTAATTCTTCGCCATCCGTCGTCATGAAAAAAAAGCGGGAGACGCAGATTATTGTCGACATTTTGCGACAATGTTGCGACCGATATCGTCGGTCGCAATATTGCCGACAACATTTTGCGACACTGTTGCGACAGATAGTCGGTCGCAAAATAATGTAACAATTAAAAAAAATAAAATGAAAAAATTTACGATAACTAATATTTTGATTTCGAATACAATATTTGTAATACAAATCGGTATTTTATACATAAAAAAGTTATTATTAATCGAACGAACCATATTCAGAAGTTCATGTTGTTTTTTCGTCCGACTCATCGGTATTGTCCTGCTCTTCGTCATTATTGTCTGCAAGTTCTTCAACTATTCCTTCTTCGGCTATTAACTTTCCAACCTCAAACGTGTCTTCAATTTGAAGAATGCTTTGATCGACATCTTGAAGCGGGATTTGTTCATCATTTTCTTCTTGAATAATAGTTCCCCTGGGGTTGATCTTCACGACGGCTCGCCAATCAATGTCTGACCTTCTTGTAATTTTCTTCGGATAAGGGATGTAACACACTTGATCTGCTTGAGAAGCCAATATAAAAGGATCATATTTTCCGTATCGACGTGTGTAACATATGTCAAAAACACCTGTTTTGTTGACTCTGATCCCTCGCATGGGTGTAGGATCAAACCAATCACACCTGAACATCATCACTTTGAGTCCAAAATGACCTGCATATTGGAGTTCAAAAATCTGCTGCAGTAGTCCGTAAAAATCGGGTTCGTTATCAGATGCACAGTACTCTGACCCTTTCACAGAAACACCAAAATTATGTGTCGAACGATGTTGTCCGTGTTCATGTGTGTGGAAAACGTATCATCTGGTAAAAAATATAGGCCAACATGTAACACGACAAATGGGCCATTGAACTAGCTCATGCAACCAAATGGATGATCTTTTGGTGACGTTCGAATCTGCAAAACCAAAAAAAAAAATAGGTTGTTTAAATATCAATATATACTTGATCGATCTTAAAAATGGGTATAAATAAGAAATTTGATGAAAAATTCTTACATATTCTTTTAACCACGTAGCAAACCCTTTTTCTTTAATTTTGGTCAATTCCTCGTCATTTACGTCACCATACATGTTGTATACTTGTTCATCAAAAATCCTGCACAATATATCAAAAAACTTGTAAATGAATTAATTTAAAAAAAGTGTACGCCATAAATAATTAAATGTATAAACGAACATTTCAAAAGGTAGTACTTCTTCTCGTGGTAGATGGATTGGTAAATGTTCCATCACATCAAAAAATGACGGTGGAAATATTTTTTCCAGATTGCAAATTACCAGAACTATGTTTTGTTTCAGCATGGTGATATCTTCAAGTTTAAGCGTCCGACTGCAAATCACCCGAAAAAATGAGCTGATCCCTGCACAATAACCACATATCAAGTTTATATATATATAGTTCACATATTAAAAAACAACATTAAAAAAATATATTGACATACCTGATAGACTCTCGTGTACATGTTGTGGAAGTAGTTCTGCAAATGCTATTGGAAGCAATCGTTGCATAAAGACATGACAATCATGACTTTTCATACCCGTTAATTTATTCCCTGCAATATCAACACATCGGGCCAGATTTGAAGAGTAACCATCGGGGAATTTCACATCATCCTTCAACCACTGAAAATTTTTTTTCTGCGCTTCTCCATATACACGAAAAACTGGAACCGGTGCTTTCCCATCTTCTGTAAGTTCCAACTCCTTCCTCAAACAAATTGATTTTATATCCTTCCTTGAGTTTGGATTGTCCTTCGGCTTTTGAGGTACATTTAACACCGTGTTTATGATGTTATCGAAAAAGTTCTTCTCGATATGCATGACATCAAGATTGTGTCGCAACTTGTGATGTCTCCAATATGGCAATTCCCAAAATATACTTTTTTTGTGCCAATTATGATATTCGCCATATCCTTGAATCGGCAAATGACCATTTCCACCGACTTCTGCAGTAACCCCTAATCCATATGATCTCACACAATCTTCAATCCGTTCGAATAATATTTCATCTCCCGTCAGTTGAAGCGGACTAGAATCACTTACAACGTGATTCTTACGAAAATTCTTCTTGTTTCGGCGCAATGCATGATTCCTTGGTAAGAAACGACGATGACAATCAAACCAACTCGTTTTTCTCCCGTTCGGCAACCAAAATGCGTCGGTCTCATCCATACAGTACGGACAAGCTAACCGACCATGCGTTGTCCAACCAGACAACATCGAGTATGCTGGAAAATCACTAATTGTCCACATCAGCACCGCACGAAGCAAAACATTTTGCTTTATTGACACGTCATATGCCTCAACCCCAATACTCCAAAGGTCTTTCAACTCTTCTATCAACGGTTGAAGGAAAATATCCAAATTCCTCCTGGGATGTTTAGGTCCCGGAACTAATATTGAGAGAAATAAAAATTCTCTATTCATACACATGTCCGGAGGTAAATTGTAGGGTGTTAAAATCACCGGCCATAGAGAATAATTTGGACCAGACATCCCAAATGGATTAAATCCATCCGTGCATAATGCTAGATATATGTTTCTAGTCTCACTTGCAAAATCAGGAAATACTTGTTGAAAGTGTTTCCATGCTAAACCATCGGATGGATGATGCATTTCTCCATCAGGCGTCGAATGCTCGCCATGCCATCGCATAAATGATGCTGTCTTTTCGGATTGATATAACCTTTTCAAACGATCTGTTATAGGCATATAAAACATTCTCTTCAAAGGAATTAACTTGCCTTTTTTTGAAGCTTTCCAGCGTGGTCGATATCTGTCTTTCCCGCAGAAACGACATTCTATCAATTCTGCATCTTCTTTCCAAAAAATCATACAGTTGTCTTCACAAACATCAACCTTCCGGTAAGGTAGACCCAACGTACGCATCAGACTCTTCGTCTCATAATATGATTCTGTTGCAGTGTTACCTTCCGGAAGATACTGTTTAAACATCTGACTGAAGCCATCCATACATCTCTCCGGAAGATTGTAGTCAGTCTTCATATTCATCAATTGTGAAGATAATGATAATCTTGACAGCCCTTGTACGCAACCTTCATATATCGGAGTGTTCGCCGTATGAAGAAGGAGCAACGTTGGGAAATGCATCATTCACCATCTCTGCATATAGATTTCGGTCTTGATCTTCTTGAAAGATCGGAGGTAGCGACGTGTTTTCCACAAGTTGTTCTTGCATTTGTGAAACACGTGATGATGACGACGTATCATACGTTTCTCCATGAGCCAACCAAACATAATAGTTTGACATAAAACCTCTTCTATAAAGGTGCTTACACACTTCATACTGACTTCGCCATCTTTTATTCTCGCATTTTGAGCACAGACATGGTAACTTCGAACTCTCAATATACGACGTTTGACTTGTTGCAAACGCCATAAAATGTTGTAATCCTTCAGCAAACTCACTCGAGATTTGATTAGAAGAATCAAATCTATTATACATCCACATTCTGGATGAAAAAGACATTTTTTTTGTAAATAAAGTTTTTTTCCTATCTATGCATGCTCATCGCGGATATATAGGAGAAACGTTGCGACGGAATTGCGACCGATATATTCTGTCGTAAAATGATTTGCGACCGAAGTGCGACAGAATTGCGACAAAAGTTAGGTGACATACCATTCACGTGTGTACCTAATTTTGCGACACAACGGTGAGTTGCAAGTCCGTCGCAAATATTGAGCGACTCCTACAATGTGTCGCATATCGGTCGCATAATATCCGCGACGCATAACATCTGTCGCAAATGTGTCGTACACGTACCCCGACCGAACATATCTGTCGCATATTGTGTCGGTACATACCGACAGACCATCTGTCGTAAAATATCTGTCGTTTTCCGTCGTATTTCTGTCGCAAATACGTGCGACAGAGATATCAGTCGCAAGCGGTCGGCAATTTGCGACAGATATTGCGTCCAAGTCCGACAGAGATATTTTTCCGAGATTGTGTCACTTTTTAGTCGCAGTCTGTCGCAAATTATATTGCGATTGAAATTTCGGTCGCAACAGGTGTCTCAAATTACAGTTTTTCTTGTAGTGTGTGGACAAAACATCATATCTTTCGTAATTCATCACCAAATACAAGGATAGACATATCTGATAACTCGTATTTCTGACATTGATAACGATAACGTAAGGATTCGATACTTATTGTCTTTGTTAAAACATCAGGAAAGCGTGGAGGTTCTGTCTTGAGCTGGGGAACTAGGTTAAAAATCGTTGCAGAAGCCGCCCAAGGTTCGCCATATTTGCAATCCTCGACACTTTTTTCATTCTTTCTTTGGCTGCAAAGAACAATATCGCAAGAACATAAGTCACTTCTAACAAAATGGTTGCTTCATATAAATCTCTTATGTCCTGTAAGGATTGGAGTACTTGCATAACGGTTGCAAACCACCAATGGTTCATAGAGATGTCAAAACTACGAATATATTGCTCAACGAGCATTTACAAGCGAAACTCGCCGATTTCGGACTCTCCAGATCTTTTCCGACCGAAGGTGAAACTCATGTTTCAACCGTGGTTGCTGGAACTCCCGGATACCTCGATCCCGAGTAAGTATTACTATTATAGCTTAGTCCCAAATGAAATTTCAAAATTTTCTTTCTTCATGATGTACCAAAAAAAACGTTAACCATGGTGTATTGTCGACAGATATTATCGTACCAACTGGTTGACAGAGAAGAGCGATGTGTATAGTTTCGGTATTGTGTTGTTGGAAATCATCACGAACCGACCTGTCGTTGAGCAGAACCGTGAAAGGCCACACATAACTGAATGGGTGGGACTAATGCTTACAAGGGGAGACATCGATAACATTACGGATCCAAAACTGTATGGAGATTACGACAGGAACTCGGTGTGGAAAGTGGTTGAACTGGGAATGTCGTGTGTCAATCCATCCTCGTCGAGAAGGCCGAACATGTCTCAAGTCGTGATCGAACTGAACGAGTGTTTGGTGTATGATCAGAACTCGCGGACGGGGACGAGCCGAGACATGGACTCGAAGAGTTCCGTCGGAGTGAGCATGACTTACGGTACTGAAGTGTTCCCCAAGGCTCGGTAGCCGTCTCGTCTACGTGAAGAATATCTCCTTTTTTGTCACGTGTCAAATTTCATTTTGGCCTGATTCATGTAATGTGAAACTTATGTCTGAAAAATATCTGGGTGTTAATAAGGGTCTCGACTGCGTAATGGCTCAAGGTTTTTGTTTAGTTACTTATTAGGGTTCCATGGTGAAATCTAAATTAGGTACTGCAAATTTTTTTTCGAATTTTTTTAAGTAGTTTATTTGCGAAGAATTGTACAATTCTTCATGAATAGACATAATACAAGAACATAAATATAGGAAAAATATAATGTCCCTGAGAGATTGTGAAGATCGTTATGGATAAATGTTTTATAGGAAATTATCGAGAGAATGTTTTTTTTTTTATAATGGAGGACCCTTAACTGCTATCCTTCGGACGCGCTGACTAGGTAAATCTCCGGTCCGGGAGTAGCCTTTGTATACGGATCATATAAACCCATAAATTATCTCCCTCGTCACCAGTGAGTAATCGAATACTCAACCTCAAAGTGGAGTTACCTCCTATCAATTTTTTGCCAAAAAACTTAATTTACAATTAATAATGTAGTATAAACCGAAATGGTTGTATTTTTTATTGTATTTCAAAGTCGTAATCCGATAATCTCAAGGAATAAAACATTTTAAAAAATGATTACACAATTTAAAAGTATATATGGAATCCTACAATTTCTACATGTTTCAACTTTTATTTTAGGTTCATATATATATTTTTTTCTTATTATCTTATATTTGTATAACAGGTAGCCGTATACGTGCAGAAGGCTAATCAACGTCTTAATAGCTCAATTTTTCTCAATCAACTGTGAATTATTTTATTCATCTTAAGAAAAATATTTACAACATGCACGACGACTTGGTACGTGCTTTTCAATTTGCTGCATTATGGCCAAATCGATGCACAATAGAGAGGCTTGCTTGACCTTGACTCGCATGCAATAATTGTTATGATTTTAATATATATATATAGAACACTAGGTGGAAACATAAATACACACTTAATGCAAAATCTTACAGCCTGTGCTTATTGTTGTTTTAATTGTCGGTTCAATGGTGTTCTTATACGTTATCTTGTTTTTTATTTAATGCATATTATATTATTTTTAAAATGCCTTGAAATCCTCTTAGGATATTTGTCGAGTCCATAATTTCTCACTATTTCTCAATGATTATAGGGACGTATATATTGTCAATTCCTTCTTTAAAAGAAATTAAGTATTAGCAATTTATAGCTCTTTTGTTTTGGCTGTATTTTCTTTTATTATTGATGAAACATATACACTCTTTTATTTTCTTTTATTCGATTTTCTTACAGAATGTAAATCATAATATTATGTTGTAAAATAATCAAATTAATAGTTAAATTCAGGTGGCATTCATAAAATAACGGCCTCTACAGGTGCTATAACAATTAGGGGTGGACATTTCGGAAAACGGTTCTGGTTCGGGACGGAATGGATCGGTTCGGTTCTTTCTGTTTTACAAAAATAGGTATCAATCGGGTTTTTTATTGTATTCGGTTCGGTTCGGTTTCGGTATCGGTTCGGTTCGGTTCCGGGTTTTATTAAAAAAAAATGATAGATTTCCTTTAAAAATATTCGGTTTTTCAGGATTTTTAAAGTTCGGTTCGGTTCGATTCCGGAAAAATTCGGTTCTCTAAAAATGGTACCATTCGGAAAATAACAGCGGTTTCGGATCGGAAAAAATACCGTTTTAACGGTTCGGTTCGGTCCGGTTCCGAAGAACCGAACCGAAATGTCCAGCCCTAGTTTTCGGAATCGAGATATATACATATATATATATATATAGGGGATATGTTTGGTAAATAGATTTTTTGAATAATATCCATTCATTTACTTGAGCTCTGATATATATATATATATATATATAGTAAATTCCAAATCCATATTTCAGCCAATGTAAACGTTCCAGCATCGGTTTTTTTTATTAAACAAAAAAAGGTTCGTAAATATACATTACGATACCTCCATGGAGTTGACTTATACCGGGTGGTCCGGACAACATGGGAGAATCTTCCACCACTCATTTCATCAAGCATTTTTCAGCGTTCACTGTATTGGGTTTCTACATTAAATTTTATTATTTTGCATTTCATAATTTCTTGATATTTTTTTTCCAAGTTGACTTGTCAAAGGGTTGACCTCGAACAAGCTGATCATTCATGCCACATAAATATGTAACATACATTCCATATAATATAATATATATTATCACATATACGTATAGGTGATTATATTGCCCATGAGAGAAGTTTGCTCATAGCTTAAATATTTGAGAACCTTGGCATTTCTCAGTTTCAATTCCTGGGGAAAAATAGGAGAAAATGAAGAATCCTCGATGGCTTTTATGTGGGTTTATTGTAACAGTTGCCCTTATGCATCTTATTCAAGCTCAAAACCAGCAAGGTATATACACACACATACACATATATATACACGTATATATATGTATGTATATGAACATTTTCATGTTGATGTATCATTTTGAGGTATTGATTCAGGAAAATGAACCCTTTTTCTTCTGATTGTGTTTACAGGATTCATTAGTTTGGATTGCGGGTTATCCCCTAATGGATCTCCCTATACCGAACCCTCGACCGGGTTAATATTCACATCCGACGTAAATTCCATCCAGAGCGGGAAAACCGGAAGAATCCAAAAGGAATTCGAACCGAACTTCATGAAACCGTACTTGATGCTAAGATACTTCCCGGACGGAACACGAAATTGCTACAACCTGAATGTGACGAAGGGCACGAGCTATCTGATCAAGGCAACGTTCGTGTACGGAAACTACGACGGTCAAAACAATTACCCGAGCTTCGATCTGTACATGGGTCCGAACATTTGGACGACGGTGGATTTGAGCGGGCGAGTGAACGGTACGGTCGAGGAGATCATTCATGTGCCGAGCTCAAAAACTTTGGACGTGTGTCTGGTCAAGACAGGAACAACAACTCCGATGATATCGGCCTTAGAGCTTCGACCGTTGAGAAACGGTTCTTATGTTACGGAGAGTGGCTCTCTCAAGTACTTTTTCAGGGTTTATTTCAGCAATTCCGGTCGCTATATACGGTATGCCTATACTTACTATCCCTCTTTATATATATATTATTGATACATAGTTATATTTGGGGTAGATGAATAGAAAAAACCTTTGATATTTTGGAAAAAGCCAAAAATAACTATTGTTATTACAGAAAATTTGTGTAGTACTAAAATTCACGTGTGATTACGGTTAGTATTTTGGTTGGTTTTTCATATTCCTTATAGATTAATGATTTCTTAAAAATACAAATATAATAATATATAATTCTACACCAACTGCAAGCAAAATCTAAATTAATGTCTTTTTTCGGTTAAATATTCGGATTTCTAAATCCTTATTTTGATATTTTTATTTTCTATTTTTCTTCGATCTAGTACTCGAAATATGAAATAAATAAATAAATAACCCATCATTTTGATCGATTATCCACCAGAAAAAAAAAGTCAACACTACGTGGCTTGAGCTGTTGAAAGGTAAAATATTGAGAGGTAGGTAATTAAATAAAGATCTGAAAGTTGAAGTATTCAAAATGAGAAGATATAAAAAGCTGATGGGTCCTTTTCTTTTTTTCAAATATTGGTTTTTTTTGTGGAATTTTATTTTTTCGGCCATAGTGTTTCCCACGTTGACTAAGACGACTTTTTCTTTTTTTTGGCCAATGTGTGTATATATATATTTATATATTTTTTTATAACGTAAAATTCCTAACTGCTACACTTCACAAGCGTTGACTAGGTAAAACCTCAGAACAATGTATATTAGTTATAAATACCATTTTCTTTCACTAAACAGCTGCATATATTATATGCATTTGCAAAATTATACCTATTAATACTCTCCTTAGAACCAAAACGTTGATTGAGTAATTAAGCCTCAACCTTTGCCATATGCGTTTGCGTTTGTTTGCGTTTGCGGTTGAAGTTTGCAAATGGGAATTTTGGATTCTTAGGTTAAAGATTGTTCGAAACACAAAAACTGTGTTTGTGATTGGGTTTGTATTCGGTGTTCTTTTCTATTCAATACCGATAAATATTTATTTTGCACATAATTAGAATCAATAATTTGGAATGCTAGAAAATTGAAAAAAAAGACACGTTGAATATTAATTTTTTATAATCTTATAACGAAACCCAAATACGGTTAAATAACCGTAACCTAGTTTGTCGGAACGAAACCTAACACAAGATATTGTTGTGCATGTAGGTATCCCGACGATATATTTGATCGCAAATGGTACTCGTATTTTCAGCCCGAGTGGACTCAGATCACGACGAGTCAGAACGTAAGCAACTCGAACACCTACGAGCCACCAGTGGCCGCACTCGCTACGGCCGCAACGCCCACGAACGCAACTGCACCATTGACCATTACGTGGAACCTTAAGCCTCCGACCTCGAATTTTTACCTTTATGTTCATTTCGCCGAGATTCAGAATCTAAGTTCAAACGCCTCGAGGGCCTTCAACGTTTTGTTAAACGGTGAAAATACGTTCGGGCCGTATAGCCCTAAGCGGCTGGAAATAGAAACCTTGTTCGACAAGAAACCCGAGAAATGCGACGGAGGAAAATGCGTCTGGCAGCTCGCCATGACCCCGAATTCGACTCTTCCGCCTCTGGTTAGCGCTATCGAGGCTTTCACCGTTATCGATTTTCCACTTTCGGAGACCGATCAAGATGACGGTACGTCATGTCTATGTTTTCGTATTCTTGGTTATAAAGCTGGTTCGTATTGGAATATTCTATATAAATACACCGATTTCTTAAAATGTTATAAAGAATATATATGAATTTTGAAACTTTCGAAATTAAAAATTCCAATCAGTCAAACCCTGCGAATTTTTTTGGTCTTTTTTCAGTGTTTGCTATCAAGAACATAAAAGACACTTATGAAGTGAGCAGAGTGAGTTGGCAAGGAGATCCTTGTCTCCCTCAACAGTTCACGTGGGACGGTCTGAACTGCAGCGACACGGATACTTTTACTTCACCAAGAATCACTTCCTTGTAAGATTCTTGTCACCGGTTTATCGTTAAATCTCCAATGTTTTCTAAGTGTCTGATTCATGAAAATATTACATTTATAATCAAACCGTTAGGGTTTTGTCTTCGAGTGGATTAACCGGGAGCATAGCTTCAACCATACAGAATCTGACAGAGCTACGTATACTGTAAGTAACCCCCTTGCTCGACTAAAGGCAAAACCATTCTTCTCGTTGGATTCGATCGTCCTAATGGCATTACCGTCTTTTGCGATTTCTAGGGACTTGTCGAACAACAATTTGACCGGAGGAGTGCCCGAATTTCTAGCCGGAATGAAATCGTTAACCCTAATGTAAGTTGCTCGAGAAAGAATGGAAAATTTCGTCTCAGGGCTTTCTCAGCGTTTCCTGATACATATGCTTGATCTTTGCTCTGTCTTGACAGAAACTTAAGCGGGAACAATCTTACTGGCTCAGTTCCTCAAGCCCTTCTCGATAAACGCGGCGAAGGACTAGAATTAAAGTATGATTTTCTCGAGAAAATTTTCGCCTTCGATGATTATCGAAATCCTTAGGGTCTTGAACAAGGCTTAATTTCTTTCTGCAGACTCAACGGAAATCCGAAGCTTCTTTGTCAGTCTGTCTCGTGTGATAATCTCGGTGGAACGGGAAAGCATCGCAAAAAGAGCGTC